AATCTAGCTTTGTGGTGCCATGTTCTGATCTCACCACTGCATTGGTGTCTTCTTTTGCATTTGAGATGCAAATTATTGATCAAGTGATAATGTCATAAGAAAGGTAGATTTCTGATCTATTTATTAAAATAATAATCCTCACTTTTGATGTAGCATCTTGTCATATTGTCGAGGCGTCTCAAAGAACGTCACAGGATCCAAAGTATAGTGACTTGAAAGCAATCGCAACAAGCCAATTTGCATGCAAACCTCATGTCCTACAAATGGCCTTGAAGTGAATGATCAATTTTATTTGAGAGAATTGTTGGCCAGGACATCACGAGAGATTCCTCCTTTGCAATAGAGCCACAGTATCTTTAACGTCCACCTCAACAAGCAGACCAATTTCACATCTCAACCAAAGAACGGTACCTCTGACAATTACGCAAAATGCTATTCCAGATATACTGCACACCTTACTGTGTTCCAGGCTTGATGAACAGAATTCTGAGGGGAAGTAAGATTCAAGTACAGTGGTGTTTGTGAATCAGGAAAAAGGTGGGAGTGTATGGAGCATAAACTGGGAGGGTATTTCACAGCACTGCAGTACATATTTACACCCACACAGTGTTCCCCCCCCCCCCCCCGCTTGCCTTGTCCTAGTTGCTTCTGGAAGTTTTCAAATAGATCAGATATTATTTTTAGAGCACCAAGAATTTGTCAAATCGTTGAATTCAGCCTTAATTTTAATGTCTGTTTTCTTTATTGCTTAAAATAACTTTAAGAATTAAGGCCATATCTAAACACCTGCCACGTTTTAGGTGCTCAGAAATCCTATATAAATAGAGTAAGTCAAGACCCAGTGAAATGTTTCCCCATCTAAACACAGTGGATTAGAACATGAGATTGCTGCACAAAAGGTGTCCAATTATATACTGACTTTAGTACTGCCCGTGTAGCACAAGCATGATTTTTTATAGCATCTCGAAGCCTTTGCACACCAATTGCAGGGACTCTTTTTGTGGCTAAATGCAGCAACTATTTTGCTCCAAGAAAAACCCCACAAATAACCATGGGGTTTGTGGGGACAAAACATTGCGATCCTAATGATCGCAATGTTTTGTCCCTACAAACCCTAACATTGCGATCCTCATGACTTTGCTCATACACTCCAACAGCATTTTTTTTTTGGTGGCAGCAAATGTGAATCATCATGATTTTTACAGTATATACTTTAATGTTAGAGAGTTTTTCGAAAGAGGGAGATTCAGAGAGAATGAAACAGATTTTTTTTTACCTTGTTGCGATCCGGGATGCACTGCCTGAAAGGTTGGTGAAAGCAGATTCAATAATAATTTTCAGAAGGGAATTGGATATATACTTGAAAAGGAAAAATTTGCAAGGCTATGTAGTGAGAGCGGGGGAGTGGGACTAATTGGATAGCTCTTTTAGAGAGCCGAGCACAGGCACGATGGGCCGAATGGCCCCCTGTGCTGTGAGTTTCTATGACTCTGAGATTGAGAGTCAGGGAGGGAATGAGAGACAGAGAGCATTGCTGGTATAGTGTGGTACTACAGTGTTTCCTAGTTGGCAGTGTAGCCAATGTTTGTTTTTTGTGATGTCCAATTATCTACCCTGCTTATTCGCGAAAAGACTGATCCCAATTAGCGTTCTCTACCGTAGTGACTTTTCTCGGATGGCACACACACGTGGGCAGATGTTCCATGTGGGATCAGCACATTCCCAGTTTTCGGTAACTTGTCCTCTGCCCCTTGCCTTGAAACAACTAACCATCCTCTAATCCATCTTGAAAATAAATGGCTGGCTAGTCACTGTTGTGCAGGTTAATTTTGACAAGAGATGCAATGAGAGGGGTAGAGGAGGCGAATCTGATGAGCACGTTCCATGAAAATTGCTGTGCAAGACATTTTTAAACCCAGTAATTTTAGTAAGTGCCTGCAGCATTCTGTAGCTCAGTGCAGGTTTATCAGCACCACTGCAGTCTCATCTGAACTCCTGACGGTATGAAGGAACAGTCCAACATTTAACCTAACTTGCAGTTCTGTACCACTTAGAATAATCAAGTCGGTACTAATGTTTTTCTCTCCGTGACCCACCTCGTTTAATCCCACTCTCCTGATCACCGCACATAGATCTTTTCTTCAAAGTTCCAATTACCTATTAATAGAATATATCAACTCTGCTTAGAACTGGGGATTGTGGCTAAGAAATCTGTCTTCCAAACCGTCCTTGTGCACAGCAGTTTTTTTTCTATCCTCTCAGTAATTATCTGACATTTATTATGTCCTCTTGTTACTTCTTGGCTGCTGAAAGAAAATAAATCAACATTCGGATCACCACCATCGTCGCTTCCTGTTTGCAGTGACCTGGAAATTGGTTTGTTTTTAACGTGGGAGGCTAAAATGGCCGACTCCTGGGTCATTAGGTTGGCCTCGCTTTCTGCGTGCTTTGCGTATGAGCAGCAAAGCAGAAAGTGACGTTAGCAGCAGCCCAACATCAGCTATATAATGTAAACGCCAGCCAGCACACTAAGCGAACCTTTTAAAGCCGTGAAATCCTCGTCTGAGTTTTGCAGATGGCCTAATAATAATAATAATAATCCGTGCATTTGATATAGCGCCTTATCACATCTTCGAGAAGTCTCAAAGCACTTCACAGAATATACTGTAAAGTGGCTGTATATTTTGTGGGCAAAATGCCCACAAGTGAGAGAGTGACTGAGAGAAGGGGTCAATTGAATGTGGCAGCAGCCTCCCTTTAATTTCTTTTATATAAGTTGTTGACTTCTATTTCTCATTCCCACTTTGTATGATTTATACAGCTGACCATGGTATTTGACTGTAATTTTCAGCAGCAGTGAAAATGTGTATTCATCACACTATGATATTGTGTGTAACTCAAAGCCACAATGCAGAGTTTGACAGAAATCTGGAAGGGGAGGAGCATGGTCAAATATTTCAAAAGTAGTGTTTTCATGAAGTGCAAATCCGTTACATGCCGTTAGCCAATATCATTTGTTTATTCAGCATCTGAGTTTAAAGGGAACTTAAACAGACTCTGAAATCAAACGGGTGCATTTCATCTGAATGGGACATGCTGATAAGTATAGAATTATAGAATGCAACCGCACCCAAATGGACCGTTCGGCTCGTCAAATGATCCACCTACTCCGTTCTCCTGCTCGCTCCCAAATCCTTTAAAGATATCTTCTCTTCAAGCATCTATCTCTTTCCCATTTTAAAGAATCTGTAGACTTGTCTTAAACAACTGTATTTATGGCACAGAATTTCACATTCCAGCCACCCTTCTGTGTAAAATATGCTACCCGTGTGCAGGGTGCCATATTAAGTAGACGTTATTGTTGTGGTTGTAAGGATTTTTTTTAACCTAACCTTAATGATTCCTTTTGTGATCTTAAATTATTATTATTATTATTAAAATAGTATCCACTGGGTAATGGGTTGGACAGGTTAATGAACTGGATCACGTGACTGAGTCCATAAGGTTTTAATTACTACAGATGGCTGAGAATGAAGCACTCTTGGCTTGGCGACTATTTCTGCTACTGTTCATTCTGTTTCCTCGTACAATCTGCTTTGATGCCTTAAGCTTAAAAGCCAGTGCGACCCCCAAACTAAATGATTCTGATGTTTAGAGGGAAAAATTAAATAAATCTTCTTGATTTGCTTTTGAAAGTAATTATTCATCCTTGTGTAAGTTTATTCCTTTACAGAACCGAAAAGACCAATGTTATTTTGATCTTCGGTTCATTATATATTTGCTTGAGGTGGGTTTTTGTGTTCATTTTCTTCAGTGCACGACCATTTAAAATAACGTTTGCATTGATTTTTTTTTTTTGCGCGTATTTTAACAGGCGGACTACAGTGCTGGGAAATCGAACACTCGATTTGTGTCCACAGCCAACGGCAAGCACTCCCAGAGAGATGCACAGAGTAGAGCTCCTCCCACACTGCCCCAGCGCTGTGCCCTGACCTCAGACTATCACTGGTGTAGCATTTCCATGTGCCTCTGAAACAAACTAATCGTTGATTGATAATTGTGGGAGTGTTTTGCTAATGCCCTTTAAAGTATTGGATCAATCTTTCTCCAGTCGGTTATTTTGGAACCTGTCAGGAAGAAGAGACATACTGGGATCTAACATATGGTTATTAATGTATTCAGTACGAATTACTTAGATGTGCTAGAGTTGATCCTTTCTTCCCTCCGATGCTGTTCTCAGTGCTGATGTCTGTGTAACTGGGCTGTACATTCTACTTGATTTTTGCGGGTTCACTGCTTTAATAAACAAGATCACAAGAGGTTTGGATGAAGAAGACCCTAAGGCCCATTCAATCACACCCTTCCAGATTACCCAACCTACCATTGTGTATTTGGATGAGATGTTAAACCGAGGTCCTGTGTGCATGCTCAGGTGGACGTTAAACGGCACTATTAGAGAAGGGAGTTTCTCTTTTCTCGGGTCCTATCCAACAATCTTCTAAATAAACAAATTGGTCACTCACTCCATGGCTGTTTGTGGGACGTTGCTGTGTGCAGTCCATTATTCATAGTAAATCATGTGGAGGGCTTTGAGATGTCCTTTCAACTTAATAAGGCACTATACCAAATGCAAAGATTAATTAAATTACAGCAACTAGCTGTTTTTAAATGAGTCCTGTGCCTTCCTACCACTGAACCAGACACACTGACACAGTATTCATTGTTAAATGATTAAATAATTTTCTTCCTCGAAAATGCTTGATTGTGTGGAGCATTCCCTTCAGAAAGTAATAACTGTACAGCTATAAAACATTTGGGATTATTATCACGTGACTTTAAATTTTGTCTAGAAGATGGGACACGGACACTCCACTTTACAGTATATCCTCTGAAACGCTTTGAGATGTCCTGCCGTGGAAGGCACAATATCAAGTACAGGGATCATTACTATTTAGTGTTTTTTTTACTACATGATTATAATTTGTGTGTTCCTCTTTCAGAGGTTCGCTGAAAACCCTGATTCACACAGTACACCTGCTACAGAAACAGACGGACCTGGGATTCTTATCTGTTACCGATGTGCTTCACAGGTGAGCAAAATGCTTGTAGGAAAATGGCGTTAGCCTATACAGAGTTCACCAACACCAGCATTACTCCGATTGGTGGTTCCATGAAGATACTTGTCCCTACAAGACTGCCCTATTCAAGCTTGCTCACAGTAGTATGGATAAGTTTATACCTTCAAGTCTGAATTACGAGCTGAATATTTATATTGCTCTATATTTTTTTAAAAATAATTAGATACATATTTTATAATAAATTTGCTAGAAAACATATTTCGCATTCTAAATGTATAATATTTTATAATAAATATATGGTGTGATATTATAATAAATAGTAAGATAAATTAATATTGTTATACCTAGTGGTGCAGTTGCTGTAATTTTAATGGAATCGGCCATTGAGCCCACCATGGTTGTGAGGGCTCTCTGAACAAGCTGTCTCTTTAATCCCCTTCCCTCGTCACTTCTCCAGAACCTTTTTCTTCATAAAATGACAGAACTGGTTCCAAGTACCTTTATTTACTAAAACAGTGGACTTGCGTTCTATTCCACCCAAGCCAGATCCTAGCTACAGGGCAGAGTAAAAAGTTGGGTGAGGAGCTATAGGATTGATAAGTCTGGCTTTAATATTGATGCTTTCAACTGAAAATTGCATTGATTTATTTTTACTTCTAGAAGTAATCTACCCAAGTCATTGCTTGGTGTGTAGGTTTGGTTGTTTTAATGTTCTTATTGGTGTCCCTCACTCTCTTTTCAGGCTCCTTCTACTTGAGGGCGGGCCAGGTTCTGCCTCCTGCTTGCTGGGTAACAAACACATGGTATCCTGGGGGTTTGAGGACATGCTGTCTGCACCGGAAAGCAACAGTGGCTCCAATGACAACAAAGGTACATTCCCTCCAGGGCAGGAGGTGGTAAGAGACTTCTGGAGGTAGAGATGGATAGTCATGTGTGGTTGCCTTGTTTAAGGTTAGAGCAAATAGTAGTGAATGTGTAGGGAAGCCTTATATAAGTAAGCAACAGAGTTATACAACACAGTTCATGTTCCTATAGTGACTTTCACATTGGAAGAAGTTATTGTAGCAGGGTCTGTTCAGTGTCCTGTGTGTGAAAGTTCTACACTGTGTAACCGTGCATTTCTTACTATGAAGTTCGGAGCAGTTGGTGCCTAGTACAAGATGTTCATAGTTTCGACTCATTCACTTTGATCGGGGTATTTACTTGGATGTTCAATACCTTAAAATCTGTTCTGGATCTATTTGGGACTGTTCTGCTTAGAAACTTCACTCTTTAAGTGCTATTAAATCTCGCTAAGCAAACTCTCAGCACAGTTCCGTATGTTCATGTATATTCGAGTCAGTTGTATGAAGCGCTTTGAGACGCCATCCTGACATGAAGGGTGCTATATAAATGTAAATTGCTGTTAGTGTTTACTCGTTAGTCTCAAGAATTGTAGGACCCTGACTGCTTTCTTCAACCTAGGTAGCTCAGGTGACTTGTATCTATCAACATGTTTGTACATATATATATTTTTTAAATATACCATGAATTGTACTGGATGTTGGGGTAGGCACTCGGCATCCTTTACTCTCCCAAACCCATTCATGTTCACATCTGTTCAGTGTGCTCGATTTGTCTGCTGCCTCCGGGGATGATTTGGATGGTTTCTCTCTTACAGCATGTTTATATGCCTCTTGATGGCTGCAATTAACATTGACCTATTTCATGATGAATTTGCTGTGCCTTCTCTTCTCTCTTTGGTGCCTGGTCTATAAATTGGTAGGACGTGGAACAAACCGCTGAAAATAGTTACTTCTGAGTGTAGGTTTTACGGTTGTAATCTAATCGGAGGAGGGAAACTTCTTTGAAACTTGATGAAACCTGCAAACTCTTCCTCCTCCCTCCGTGTGGGGAGAATTGTTATCGATACAGGCTTTTCATTTTGTTGACAGCAGAAATTGGCCATGTCCATTGTGTCATTGATATGTAATGACATTCATAAAATGGTATTTGGTGTCCATGGTAAGGGAACGCTGATTTTTTTAAACTTTAATCTGACAAGTAACAGTAGTTACCGCAGTGAATACACATCACAACAGGAGTGGGTTTAAGCTCCAATAATGCAGCAGATCTTTTGCGGATCGGTAGGTTTCGGTAATTTAAGTAGAAATCGACCCCAAATTTATTATTCTACACAACTGATAGTGTACGTTTTTGAGTGCTGGGAGAGATGCTCAGTGTAGCACACAGGAGACTGAATGATTTTTCCAATTGAGATGTATTGCCATGGATAATGGAGGCAGCAGACACAGCAGAGAATTAATAAAGCCTTATATACCAGAATATGTACCTTACACAATGGCAATAAAGATATTGCTTTATTAAGAGTGAGCTTCACTCTTTGATATTCACTGCTATCGCTCCTTCGTCCTTTTTGCTTAATTTTATCTTGGAAAATGGTAGGAGTGAACAGTGTCTGCCTTCGTCCTGAAGAGGTTAAACAATCATTTGTGTGGAAGGGGATGGAGCCAGCAGCCAAATGGAGTGTGTAACCTGATAACCCACAGTGCCAGGATAAAGGACTGAGCGTCTCGCATTCTACACAAAATAGATTGTGTGAGAAATGATTCCTCTTGCGATTTGGGGTCTGTGGCTATTGCAGCCGGTGCAGCCAGAGTATTTCACATCATTGACTCGTGAGCTTCTGCACTTGCGTTCTTCTTTGCTCTCTGATCAATGAACTTATTCCACTTCTTTTTAAAAAGAAATCCACCGAGGGAAATTGGGAATTGGGAAATAATTTTGATTGTAATTGCAATCGACAGTGATTGTAACCTGTTGTCAGCAGGTGTGTGGTCACTGCCTCAAATAAATACTGAAGCCTTCTTGATTTTGAGAGTAAATAGCTGCCTCCCATATTGAGCTTTTAATAGATCCTCACCCCCCCCCCCCCCCCCACTCTAGTCAGCTGTGTGCAGTTACAGCTGAAATCCTTATCCACACATTCATCACCTGATATTTCCAATACCCTCCTCATCATTCTTCCCAGCTCCACAATTCATAAGATTCAATTAATTTGAAACTCTGCTGCCCATGTTGTCATATGTACTACTCTTGTCCCCTCTCCCTCCCTCCCCCAAAAATTGTGTGAAATCAGGATGTTGCGTAGTTGAACGCATGTCCCTTCACACTGCACAGCGTGTAGAAAAGTTGGGGTCGCCCATCAAACCCACCTGAGAGGGCTAGTCTCTTTTAGCGAACCTCATCGTTGGAATTAAGTGTATAATGGGGAAAATGCGGAAAAGGCAAAACCTGCTTAAGCAACCGAATAAGAGGCAAATGGTGGAGAATAACATTTAAAGCCTAAACCACAAGAAAAGGGAAAGGAATGATTTTAAATGCATAATCTATTCACTGAAACCTACGGTTTGTAACGTTGCTCACAATATAACACTGTCGCTTTGTGATAGTGTTGCGCATAATCCGTTTTTGCTTGAAATCTATTGTTTTATCTTATGAGGCCGTCTCTTTGTGTCTTTCAGATGCAGATTTGGGTCGCTGCCTTGCAACAGATGGGCTGTACCTATATACAACTAACTCCGTTGGCAAGGGGATCAGCAAGCTGGGCTCAGGGCTCCATGGGACTCTACGGTAAATGCCTGCAAATGGCAGCATTGCTCTAAACCAATTGGGATTACTTTGTAAAGTGAGGCAGTCGCTGAAAAAATGAGCTACCTCTTATATTTCTGGATTTCTGTTCGAGGCTAATCCACACTGATTGCATTTCCACTGCCGAGGCTCGGTGACCACTGTACGGTGACTCGTGCTGGACTACCAGTGGAAAGCTTGCCAGCCAGCAATATCAATGGCAAGTTATGCAAATTTAGCTGGTCAAATTTAGCAGTTACCCCACTGCATACTCTGGGGTCCCCAAGCCTTGACCGTAGCCAGCCTGCGCCTCATACTCTCAGAATCAGATATGCAGGCTGCGCCCCTCCAGGGAGCGAGTCTGCATTCCAATCCTGGCAATCTTAGTGATGGTGTCCCCGTGTGTCAGATAGCTGGCTAGCTGACCAAAAGTAAATGACATTTTTCAAAACAAATTATTGTGTGAAAAAGCTCAAGTGACTCGACTGAAGTTCACTTTGGAGGGGGAAAAAACTAAGGATGAAATATTAAACAAAAAATTCAAAAATTGTTCAACACCATAATTGAGGTATTCCATATTTGCTTCCACCTCTTGACTCTTATATGTAACCCTCCCTCTGGGTGAGCTTTCAATATCTGATACTCACAGACTGCTTTCTATATCGCCTACATTGCATTAATTTAGTAGTGCAGCACAGACTGAATGGCCTCCTTCTGTGCTGCATAATTCTATGATTCATTTGTTCATAGATTTTGTTGGGGGATGATGATATTGTCTGGATTGATGTATTATACACAGGGTCAGCCGGTTTTGGCACTGCTGTTTCTAATCCACCGATTACTGTTTTTTTACAGGGGTTTTGTCTATTGTCGCAACGAGGACCTGGAAACTGGCTGGATTGCTTATGGCAAGAGAGCACTCCTTCACCGGCCTGCCTCATTCGATAGTAAACCTCATTACCTCTTCCAACTCATCGATCAGTACACCCTGCAGGTAATGTTGAAGAATCTGAGCGTTTAGATTGATGAGTCCACCACAGTCATTTTCCATGGTTAAAGTCTTTTGTTTCCTGAAAAATATAGGTCCAATGCCCCAGAGGCTGCAAGGCTTTATATGCAAAGTACGACAAAGTATGGGTCGTTGCTGCCATCTTCTTCCATAGTAACAATATATAATTAATAATTCTTCCATGTGAATATGAATCGCTTATGTCACTTTCTGTGTGATATACATGTCCACTAAGTGCAATAAGTGCCGTTAATGGCACTTTTCTTCACAAAGTAGTATTCACGGGATTTGCTGGACACATCCACATTGAAAGGAAGTGATGCTAGCAGTGCCAATACTTGCCAGAAGGGATTATACCAAGTTTGCCTTATACGCAGTAAGATAAATGTAGCCCCTCTCTAACATAAATCCTCTCAATAATAACTTTATTCAAACCGCACTTTCCCGCATTTCAAAGCCAAATGGTTCATTTTTACATTGATGAGTCAAACATTAAATAGACTTAACATTTCCAATTAAGCTGCAATTTGTTTTCTCTCTAACCTTGAGGGCTGTGAACGTCACTGTGAATTAAGTTCAAAAAATCTAAAAATGTATCTGAAGACTGGATAATCTAAAAGTAGGCAAGAATGAAATGATTTCCTTGTACATTACGCTAATTTAGAGGAATTGGAATGTGCATATCTAATTTTGCATGCAAAAATATGTAGTTAAAAATTAAATACTTTTTCAAAAAAAAAGGCCGGTTTACTGCATTGATGAACAAGAGATTGCTGTGCAAAAATTGTCTGCCATATTTGCATACAAAATAGTCACTCCACTTTATAGTATATCCTGTGACGCGCTGTGAGATTTCCTCCTGATATCAAAGGTGTTATATCATGTGTAAGGATCATTATTATTGTGTCAATGTGGATAGGACTGTGGTATTGACTGTTGAAAGATTAGCGAATGGAGAGAGGAAAGTGAGTCAACACTTCAGGTTGATGACCTTTCATTGGTGTTCCCTAACTCGTACAGCAGTTAACTGACCAAATCCCATACTCCTAGGTTGCAGTAACGTCTCCATGTTTTATCTTTGTTCCCCTCCCTTGCTCAGGTCTCCCAGATCGTGTCCATGCCCCCAAATCATTTCCCAATCGGCAGCAACATGACCACTGTCCACCTCTGCTCTGATGGGACTTACATCTATTGGATCTGGTCTCCTGCAAGCTTGAACGAAAAAACTCCCAAAGGCCACTCAGTTTTTATGGATGTCTTTGAACTTGCAGTAAGTTCACATGTTATTTGTTTGTCAAAAATGTAGGGATATTGGGTTATCCCTAAATTGTGTGGAATAAGAGTATTCAGGGTTATAGAGAAAAGACAAGAAAATGTGATCAAAAGACTTACTGTGGTTTACTGAAAGGGCAGAACAGGTTTGATGAGCCGATTGTTCTCCTATTCTAATTTTCCTGTACAGTTTACAATATACAACTTACATGATCATGGAGCAGCATTGTTACTTGAATTGGGTGTCTGAGAAATAAGTTATAAACTGAAAATGGACTCAGTCTATCTGGTTCTTTTGTTTAAAAATGCTTTGCAAACATGCTCATTAAAAGCATGTTTCAGTCTGGAATTAGCTGACTCCAGGGAAGGACTATATGGAATATGCATAAACCTATTTTTAATTAAAGGAATACTACAGGAAATGCAAATGGACTCTAGTTTAGCATGGGTTTGATTATAGGGCAGGTATACTTCCTGTGCTCACTGGTTGGCTTTGTGTGTATCGTGCGCAGGCAGTACTGACATCCCTTGCAGTGCGTTCTCTACAGAAAACAGCGCTGATGTCACTTCACGACCTGATTCTGGAACCACTGACTGGCAGCCATTTTTAGCATGTCTCCATAGGACTTGGAGAGGCAGACCAGTCATTGGGATCAGGGATTCTTCTCACTCAGTTTGTGTTAACCCAGCAAGCCATAACCTAGCTGGGCAAACAGCGGGAAGCTTGCCAGACGGTGCTCTCAATAGCAAGCCATGTGGTTCTAGCTGGCTAAAGCACTTGGTGTCCTGACATTTGTGGCTTTCTGTTGTAGATGCACAATGGAATCTGTGCAGCACACCCTCTCCAGGAACGTATAATTTTAACACGGAAGGAGGGGGAATCTGCCAAAAGCATAAATGAGATGCTGCTGAGTCGACTCTCCCGCTACCGTGCCTCCCCTTCAGCCACATTGGCTGCGCTCACTGGCTCAACAATTACCAACACCCTGAAGGAAGACCAGTCTGGTAAGAATGAATCGTGTCCACCAGCGTCAGGAGCTTTGAGCACTGCTTCCAATTTAAGTGCAAACAATCTTTTGAGACGATGGTCTTAAGGCTAAGACCATGCAAAATTCTGAACGTGTAATGTCCACATTCTAGCAGGAATCCAAAGAGAATCCCTGCTGATTTATTTGCCCTCTCTAAGCCATTGACGCTGAAAGCAGCTTCAGGACTTCTCCTGAGATCAGCTGGTCAGCATAGTCCAGGGATGCTATCTGTGATTTCCCCTGTCTGTCTGTTCAGGTGGGTGCGAAAGATCCCATGGCACTACTTGAAAAGCAAAGGGAGTTTCTCCCGGTGTCAGGCCAACAGGGAAAGGCGCTATATTAACTGCAAGGAGTATTATTACATTAGGCACTGATTTTAGCATCTGAACTAGTGAGGGGAGTTTGAAAGTTTTTTTTTATTTGGAGGGGGAAGGAAGCCAGGGAAAACCACAGAGACTGAAGAGAGTAAATCACAGCTCCGTGACCTGCTTACCAAAGCAAACGGGAACCTGCCTGAAATCAGTTTCTTGCAACAAACAAAAAAGCCTCGTTGCTACGGCACTGATGGTAAGCGACCAATTTCGCTGCATAGCCTTACGCTATTCTTACTCTGTACAGACCCCCATGGCGGGATCTTTGCAATGACCTATTTACTCATTCGTACTTTTGACAGGAGTTTATTGTAAGATTTCAGCATATGTAGTCTGCCTGCTTTCATCTTATTTTAAGTGTTTTATATTTTTTATTTCCCTGGTGTTTATTACACCACTTATACAAGTTGGAAATTTGGCCCTGTATCACTAATATTCTCTTGGCTGTCCATTAAGAGTGGCCTGGTGAAAGGTCCTCATGTGAATTTCTCCAGCTTTTGTTCGTTGCATCCCTGTAACCAGAGACCCAAGATTTGTCCTCCTTGAGTGGGTGGAGGAAAGGAAGGGGAATCTTTATAGCTGAGCTGGCTCTTATGTGATGTGCATGGCAATGGAATGTTGGAATCGAGTCAAGCCTCTGTCGAGGTCTTGGATATGCTGTTCCTGAGCCAGGTTCCTGATCTAACCACTCAGCCTGGCTCATCCGCAGAGGAGAAACTGAATGATAACAACAACAACTTGGATTTATATAGCGCCCTCCACGCCGAACGGTGTCTCAGAGCGCTTGTGCTGATGTGGTGTACCTACTCTGCAAGCATAGGATGGAATACAGGCAACCAAAATAACTCTTAGCTTGTGTTTTAAACTGGAATTGACCCAGCACAACAATTTAAATGTTTTGCATTGAGGATGATCACTTTTGAATACTGTTTATTGTAAATGTAGACCTTATACAATACAACAACAACAACTTCCATTTATATAGCTACATTTCATGCATGATAGCATCTCAGAACGCTTAACAATGGTGGAGCTTGACGCCTGGTTGGGCGAGGTGTTCACGATTGAAGAGGAAGGTCTTCAGGTGTGATCTGAAGATGAGGAAGGAGGAGGCAAGGTGGAGGGATTAAGGGGAAAAAAGCCTAAGTGTTGCACTTAATTTTAGATCTAATACAGTAGACCTAATAGAGGTGACATGAAGGCAAAAGGCGATGAGGAATTTCTTGAGCAGGGGATGGTTGTGAAATTTTGATCATACTTGTACTTTTAAACCATTTAATAATGTCATCATACCAGAGAATCCCATTGTGATGCTGTCAATCACATGGGCGAGTTTCTTTCCGTTACTTTAGATTGAGTTTTAATGCCCAAGGGCGGATTTTAAGAAGAGAAGCCATAAGTTTAAATTGATCAGCAGTGAATTTCTGGAAAGCTGGAAGGAGTGATTACCCAAGTAGTTCCACTTCTTAAGCGAGGATTTCAATTTGGTGAATGAGAGGAGAGAGTTTTTGTCAGTTATAAGGAGATTAGTGATGCCCTTCTCTGCGAGAGTTCACTGTTAGGATAAGCAGTACCTGCAGAATTCGGGTTAATCCAATAGCAGTGTCTTTATTTACTCGGGGGAATTGTAGGGAAGTATGCTTTTTTGACAGCTTCATCTCGGAATAATACAAGCAAGTCTGCTTTATTCCATGATGAAGGTGTCAACCTGATGGATCCCAAGCATTCATTTTTGGAACTGGCCGGGGCCAAAAGAATAGCGTGCCTGTGGNTTTTTTTGTGGAATCCGAAAATGTAGGTTAGCAGTAAAATGTGCCACTCAATAACCATTAGCAGTAAAGCCTTCAGCCTTTGTGCTCCTACTCACTGGAAATCCATCCCGAAATCCCTTTGCCTTGTCCCCTCCCTTGCCTCCTTCAAGGCCTCCTCTTCGACCACGCCTTCGGTCATCCTCCAACTCCCCCACTCCCCTTGCTCTCCACCCCTCTTGATTCCAACCCCCAGTTTGGGTACAAACCCTAATACAAACTGCCCAGGACTTAGGACGTCCTCCTGTATTTTCATTGGGGGTATTCTCCGTTCACAAAGTTTAGAGAATCTTTCCATGTGGGCTACAATTAACCCATCAACCTCTGGCTTCATCATGGGAAAGCAGTCAATTCACTACCTAATCTTCTCATTTTGCAAAGTCTTTACAACCTGGAGTTTATAAAGTTTATAACCTGGACTTTATAACCCAGAGCAGAATTGAGTTTATGCTCACCCAGCTATTAGTTGATTGGCAGATTGCTTTCCGGGGGTAATAATCCCTACATAAAAAAATAATTTTGAAACATTGGTCGCTCAACCCACACATGTTTGTGGGCCACTGCTGTGTGCAATTGGTTGCCACATTTCACCAACGAAGTACACAGGCATATGTTCACTTTGCAATATATACTGTGAAGTGCTTTGATTCCAACGACCTGGTAAAGCAACAACAACAACTTGCATTTATATAACGCCCCTCATGCAGGGTAGCGTCCCAGAGTGCCGTATCAAATGCAACGATTATTATTATCGTTATTGTTGCCGCTCTGACGGAAGGAAATGTTTATTATTTCAGCTAAATCTATTTTCCTCCCATCCATTTAGCAGCAAATACAAGCTGTGGCTTACCCCTGAAGACCTTAAGGAAGACCCCTATGTACACGTGTGGGACGTACCTGGTCCTGCTCAGTGCCCCGCCAGGAGGCTCTGGGAGTTCAACAACACGCTCCCTGTTTGGTGGCACGAGTGGATTGTCCTCTTTAAAAAGTAAGTTCAATTGCCTTAAATACCTCTCTGGTGTCTTAGTGTGAAGATTTGGAAAGGGTGCATCTCCTGTTACAAGGCAAGGCGTTCATTGCTGTGACTCGGTGACGTGCTGCTATGAAAGGCAATGTAGGAGCTTTTCAATTCAGCCAGCTTTCAATCACATCAGACTGTTTCAATTGTACTGTCTGTTGAAAAGCTATTCACCTCTACACTGTAGACCCCTCTGATGTAATTTATTTAAATACTCTTTGTTCCCCCAGCTACACCTTCTCCCCCCTTCCCCATTTTCTAAATAATATTGCCTCATTTCTCCTCCTCGAGATTATCTTCCTCCTAAATGGTTTTGATGGAGAGCCAGAGCTTTATCTCCTCAGTACAGTTCCATCCAGTGAATTGAATAGCAGCTCAGCCATTTCAATGTTAATAGCTTGCATGGAGTGTTCACTTAAGAGGAATCCATGAAGCATGCGCCGCATGAAAGCACTTCTTGCACTTCAAATGAACTGATGCCGTGTAATAATATAGTTACGGACAGCTTTAAGTATTTGGTGACTTAACCTGCTTCAGTAGGCGATGCGAGTTTGTGCAGCAATTGGATCCTTTCTCACTGAATTATATAGCAAGATATGTATACAACCTGTGTGCTCACCAGCGCTGATTTGTGCCAAAGATTGGCCAATATCGAATGGTTACGGAACCTAAGTCCCTGGTGATGGAGGGTGCCAGTACACTGAGCCACAGTGGGACCGGGAATCACAGCTGTCACATGGTGCGTTGCAAATCTGACTTGGACCACGTAGAACGGAGGATGTGAACAGAGGCAAAGTGGAAGAAAAACAGAGGCAGTAAACCTTGGGATACTCCTTGAACCTCTTGGATAGTGATTAAGAGCCACACCCTCCCTCCTGTCCTAGTGAGAAAATACATCACTGATTTGGGACGGAACAAAGCAAAATTGTGAAGGAAGGATGGTGTTTAACGCAGAGACTATTTACTGTTTAATAAGAGAGATTACAATGCGGATGATGATACGTTTTCTAAACCGTTTACATTCTCCAGTACAAACTGTACCCGACACCTTAAATTTTAGCACACGTCCATACATCTTGCCTTTATGAATAACGGGAGACAAATGTGATCCTTACATCGCTTTCCTGATACGTAACATGAGGTGGCATTGTCTGAGCCGGAGAAGTCCAGATTCTTTGCCTATCTGAAGAAGGGGGAGTGGGGTGGAAGGATTAGAGGAAAAGATGGCTATGGACAGGCGGTTTTCCAGGAATTGCATATTACACTAAAACCAGATATCCCCTGCTTCATCAGAATGATTCTTTGTCTCTCTCTTTCAGTTCTGTCCTCCAGCCTGGTGTTCAATATCTCCGATGGTCAATTCACCAGCCGTGCAGACCTGATTGATGCTGCCGGCAGTTCGCTTGGGCGAGGAGCTCTGGTACCAGGGCTGGGTAAGGATAGCAGTGTGAACCGAATACACTGAGAATCTCTCATTTGCTAAAATTCTATGTTGTGGTGAGCAGTGCCTTCTGTCTCATGCACAACAGTCATACATTGAGGTGACAATGCTCAGTTTATTATTCTGGGGTTTGGGTGTGTGTCACACTCCTATGTGGGTGCTTTTAACTCATTTCCTTCAATACAGAAATACCTATACTATCACAGTGGTGCAGTGTAGGAGGTGGAGGGGGGAGGAGGAGGAAGAAGAGTTCTGGAAGGTCAGACAGAAAGAACATTGTTGGTGCAGTGTAGCGGATGCTGTTCTCTGCATGTAGCTTAACTGTGCTTGAGAAGGACTGTTACACTGCTGAGGCAGACAATCTCAAAAAAACCACTCTGGAGTCCTCAAGCCTTGGCTCTTGCCAACCTGAGCCTAATACTTTCCGGAATTGGGTAAGCAGGATGCATCCCTCCAGGGAGAGAGTGGGCATTCCATTCCAACAATTTATCTCTGGAGTTTCCAGGTGTAGGTGGGATGTATGGCATTCTCAGCTTGGTTTGGATACTCGGTGATGGGTTTCTGTTTGTGCCAGACACCCGACTGATCAAAAAAAAAAGTGAAAAAACTGTTCTTTTCTCCAAATACTAGCAGTTACATTGATGAGCACAACATTTAAATCACGATGGGAATTCTTGCTGATGTGGGCAGAGGTCCAGAGGGAATCTGTCCTTTGTTTCTTCTCTTCTCTCTGTGCTCCTTTAACTGGCCAATGCATCTTTAAAAAAAAATTGTCATTCATTCATTAATTCTTCCTGTATCTGTTCCTGCCATCAGGCGCTTGCTATGATGCGATGAATAATATGATCTGGACGTGTTCTAGCGACTACATGGATCAGTGGTGTAATCCCGGTAACCAGGCCTTCCACCACATCTGCCAGAGGCTGGGTGTGAGCCATGTCATCCAACAACCCAAAGGTGAGAATGGGCACCAGCAGTGTCTAGGGTCAGCCTTACAGTCAACCCGTGATGCTTAAAACTGCGGCTTTCCATTCCCATTATTACCAGTGCACAGGAACTGTCAAGGCCTGAGAATGTGTGTGTGTATACACTGGCTCCTTTAAGAGCAATCCTTTCACTTCCTTTCCCCATAGCCCTACAGTAAACTTGTATGAGATATTCAGGGCCCTGTTGTGCCCACACAAAATGCAACTTGACTGGCAAACCGCAACACTGGTAAAGCACTACACATGCTGCAGGTAACCTTGCGTGTCAAGTGTCAGTGTTGTTTTAATATTAATTCCCGTGTAGTTAGAAAGTGCCAAATTCTTCCCACGGAACCATGTCTAGGATTCTTCATCATCCCCAAAAAATGCCCAGCAATATCACATCCATGTTTGGCTATGAAATTGATGCATCATGCTGGACCAAATCCACATTCTAGTTCACACTACGCTCCAGGAAATATTTTTTTTCCTGGAAGAATGTAGAGAGACTGAATCTGCCGTTAGTCTGTCTGCAGCACACCTCAAATTCAACTGAGGGAAATAAGTTAAGATAAATGAGCTAGTGCTGTACTTTAAATATTATGTTTCCCCTTTTAGTGAGTTTAAATCCTAATAGTCACATTTTGACAGACTTTGTTTCATTGCTTCACATCCTATATTGTGAAAACGGAATGAGGTCCATCACTCAACTGTGATCTGTAATTACAAACTTGTGCTGTTTGTATTTTAAATATGCTCTTGTTGAGGGCTCAAATTCCAGCATGTAATCTTCAACTGTATTGCAGCTATATGTATCCAGCAGAGCTGAATAGCCCCTTGCATTGATGATTGTATTACTTATCTATGTCTTGCAATATGTGCATTGTATTTCAGGAGATGGTCTGATAATCTCATTGTTCGCGCTTTGATAAGGAGGTACTGCTCATCAGTGGGTATCGGGCTTTCTACAGTAATTTGTGGTCTAGGGGAGCAACTTTACTACCCACAAATTACAGTCATTGCACTTTACAGTTTATGTCTTGTGGTGTTTTGAGACGTGATGAGGCGCTGTATCAAATGCTAAAGTTTCCGCTATTCTCTCCTCTTGTGTCTATTCATACAGCACATCTCTGCCGCCAGCTGAGAGAATTACCCCCCTCCCCCCCCGACTATTTGTGCGTCACCCTCAGCTGAGTGCTGAGTATATAGATTGGACCTGCTTCAAAGTGTGTCATGAGGGCCTCATTGGCATCTTTAGTACTAAGGAAAAATGTGGATGGCTTGGGAAAGACTGAGACAATCCTGGAACTAAAACATTGTTCGAGCAGAAGCAGAGCCTGAAAAAAAATAGTGCTTTCGTGTTAAGAATGTTGACTTCCAGGGGCTAATAATCGGTGATTTTTAATGGGATACTTAAATACAGGAGTCAGGACTGCTTCCAGTAACCACAATGATTGCAACCCGCAAGTTAGTCAGACGTGCTTCCTTAGTTAAGGATTCCATTGGAATTTGTTGCACTTTAGATCAAATTGTGTTGCCCAATTTTAAAGGTCATTGGAGCATGCAGAATGAAGAATATTTGAAAGAAGCCAAACTTAATTTGGTACAATTCATAATTCCTAAGTGTTCATAATGCGCTGGAGTGAAGCGCACGCTGTAGCTGAGAGTGGAGCCATTCTGTTTAATTCTTCCGTTTGTATGTCTTTTCCTTCAGACGCGGCAATGTCAACCAGCGAGGTGATTAATCAGCTTCTGCACCACGTAGGAGCCATGTGCATCCATCAGCTCAATCTGCTGGCTGCCAGCGTTAATCTGCCCATTTCCAACTTTCTGGGCAAGCAGCACCCAATCGAGGCCCAGCACCTCAGCAGTATCTGTGACATCATGGAGAAAGCCATGTCTAACAGTGATACCTGCATCATACGCTGCATCCTTGTTGTTTTTCAGGTACCATGACGGCCCAATGTATTGCAAACTTCGACCACGTTAACAGCAATTCCTTTGTACTAAGTTAAAAAAAAAAACAATGACCTTGGAGAGCAATGGTAGTGCAGAATTAACACCTTCCACCTAGAATTGTAGTGTTACAGCACAGAGCTGGTATTTTTTCTGCACACGAGCCATCTAATCTAGCCTCACCGCCTGGCTCCCTGTATCCTTTAATATTGCTCTTTTTCAAGCATCCCATCTGTAATTCCGGTTTCAAGGAATCTATGAGCTCTTCAGCTACAGTTCCTGGCAGAGAATTCCCTTCAACCTCTATGGAAAGAAACTTCCTTTTTCTGACTCACTAACCAGCTGAACTAGACTGGGTTTCTCCTCCCTCCTCCCTCTGTGCAACAAGATCACAAGAGTAAAGCCCTCATATTTCACTCATTGGATCTTGTCCTTCCAGAATAAGCACCTCACCTCCTTCCCATAACATACAGCATGCTTTCTACATAGGCCCACCTTTTGAGTGCTTGGCCCTTGATTAGTAGCTTGGTGTAAGGAGCAAATAAAACAAACGTACATCCTGCTACTAGGGCTTGTGTTCTTTAGCATGTCGATGCACAAAAGAATGAAAAGCTAAAGGAAGTGACATTCAATTTCCGATCCAAAGGCATTTGCATTCGATTCAGTCGGAGGGCGAGAATCCCGAGAGCAAACAGTACTGATCGTTAGACTGTCAGCTCTTTATCTTTATTTACAGGTTATATTCAAATTTTTCTTCAATCCTCAAACGGAGAGAAATCGGGAGATTGTACGTCGGTCGGAGCTGCTCTTATGGCAGCTTTTAAAAACGCCTGTTGATCAGATTGGAGTTGAGATTCAGAAGGAGGTGTGTCTGGCAATAAGGTAAGTGACTGTTTATGAGCTGCCAGTGTTTTTGCTGATTCAAATTACTCAAACTTCTTGTTGTATTTAAAACCACTACAGAATGCCAGATTATAATAATTAATGATAATAATAGTAATCTGTGCATTTGGTATAGCACCTAATCATGACAGAGGACATCCCAAAGTGCTCCACAGGATATACAGTAAAGTGGTTGTGACTGTGTACATTTTGTGAGCAAATGTGGTTTTCATGAACTTAACTATTTACATTCAGTGCAAATGGGAATGGTATGAATGCTGAGGAATAAAATATGAAGTCAATGAAAGATCAACAGCATTCCCCAGTGCCCACTGTGAAAGAGTAGAGGTCAACATGAATCTCACTTGATAGTGATATTTTTGCTCATGTTGCCCTAGAATCTGATGATAATAGGTTCAGTGAGGGTCTTTTATAGAAGGAGTAAGAAAACTCTGGACACATTAACTGTCTGTTTGGCCATGTAATAACACTGGCTGTATTTTTAAGAGGTATCTCTAGATTGAAAGATCCCAAGCTTCTAAATTGGGGATTATGATAGAATCGTAAAACGTTAATTTTTCTTCCAAGTATTTATTCAGTTCCGTTGTAAATGCGGTTATGGGCTCATTTCAACAGCCACAAGGCATTCTACATCCTAACAACTTTTTTTTTAAAAATTATACCCCACCCACTTCTTTTCTTCTGGTAATAGTTCTCAGTTTATGCCTTCTTACTCATCAATCAGTTGAGCTGGTCTCTTACAAAAATACTTTCTCCTTCAATCCACCCATTCTTCAGGTGGATTTTAAAGGGTCTACAACATCATTCCAAACAGAAAGGAATGTGTCCTGATGACCTAGTCAACAATTGTCCAGATAAATTGTTCATTCGCGTCAGTCACGGCTGTGTGGGACTGTGCTGGTAAAAACGGCTAGGGTAATCACTGTACTTGACACTAATTACCTGTGAAGCACTTTAAGAAGGCTTGATACACATAGTGTCCTGAAGTGCTTCTGTGACGAGATTTTAAAAAATGTGAATTCTTTCTTTGCAGAAACAGAATCTGAAGTAAACACAGTAAAGTAGCCGCATTTTTATTGCTAAAAGGTTCTAAATGACGGTTTCTCACCATAAAATGTTGTGATAGAAAGAGATGATGTCTTTGAATGAAGTTGGAAGCAGTTTCGCTTTGTCGGGTAACAGCAGTCTGGTGGCTGTCTTGACTGTCACTTCCTTCATCCGCAGCTCTGGACTCCACACGCTGTACCTAGGAGAGCTGGAGCTGAACAACCTACTGAAACTGGTCTTAACAGAAGGTGAGTGACCCCGGTTATGAAGTATCGAAATGCACGTGAGCCGAAGTTGGCAATTTGTCCCTCTCACTTCTGCACCCTCACCCCCCCGCGCCCGGCATTGTTCCTGAAAAGTTTTCATAAAAATAGAGGAGCAGGCAGAGCAGAGGACGCGGAGCAGTCTATATTCTATTGCCCTTTTAGTGGAAACTATTTTCTGACACTTGGTTTTCAGCCAAACCCATGATAATAGCTGTTGGATGTATAATGGGAACAGTGATGGTAAAATTGATAAGAGCATGAGCGCAGCTGATGCCTTGCTCAAGTCCCAGATGTGCTGATAGTGCCTTCTGTAAGTAGCAGCTGTTATTGTTCCAGTTAAAGTACTTGCTCCTTTACACATTCCTTTCTTGTTACAGGAGAGAGGAACAGTGGCCTTTGTCAGTTGCGAGACATTATCTTGGTTAACCTGGCTGAACAGCTGCAGAATAACAGATTTGGGAGCGAAGATGATGATCACTATAGGTATGGTATGCAGGTCCCTGAGCCTGACTTCAGGGCAAACTCCGCACAACGGTGAGAGAACTGATTCCAAGCGAGAATCCAAACACCACTATAATTAGCGTGTGGAGATGGGAAATAGAATCGGATCAGAAAGTACAGGGCTGCCAGGGTCAGTGGCCCTCCTGTGGCTGAATAGCCATTGTTGTGGCGATATGAGTGCTTCTGTTTTCCTAGCCAGCATTCTGGAAGCACAATCCGGAATGTTCAAACCGCTTGCATTCATATAGCAGGGGGTAGCGTTTACAGGAACCGGAGAGAAAGTTAAAGTTGTTATTCAACCCTCCTCACTCCTCCTCAATTACCTGAGCAGGTAGTCTGCAGTTAGAGCAGGAGTGTTGGCAGCATTATTTCGAGTTCTGTCGTTTGAGGGGAATGTCACACATTTACATTGTTTTAAAATAAGCTGATTATGTGTTTGCAAGATTTTATGGAAGATATCATCAGTTTTGAAATGTGATGACTCAAAGGGGATCTTCTGATCCTTAATGATAACAGAATAGAGGAAGTAAACCCGGAACAAAACTTTCGGATATTCCAAGGCAGCAGAATTAAAGATTGTGAAGGGCAAGCTTAGGACAGACACCTGGAAGAATATTTTTTTAGACAGAGGGCAACAGCTGGAACAGATTATGAGGAATGGCTCATTTAAGGAACAGTTTAATGCTGTGAAAAGTTTGGGCTGGTATGCATGGGCGACTTTCATCTGAACCTCATTTGTGAGTTGTGTTGCCCCAAACGGTCTTACCTTTCCATCTAAAGGAAATTGATGGATTCGTATTAAAAGAAAATTTGCGTTAAAAGAAATATAGAGTAGAGAAAAGTTATCGCAGTTCAAACATTGAAATACCGCACTAGCATTTTAGCTTGAACATATATGTCTGATCCGAGCAGTCTGCTCAATCTGAACAGCGAGTTTAGTGCAGTGTCTGTTGTCTGTCTGATGTGTGTTGCTGGGTCCTGCTCACTCCAGGCTGAATGATGAGCTCCTACACTACATCCTGAAGATCGTGGTGCAAGAATCGTGTATTCTCATCACAAAGTGCCAAACTGTCTCGAAGGAAGAATTTCTCCGGCTTCTTGCTACAGTGCCAGTAAGTAAGGAATTGCATACAGAGGTCTTGCTTTTGCCAAAGCTCTAATCGCTGGTTTTAGGAAAGTCTTGACTGATTTGGCGAAATTTAAGATAGTCTCATCAAAGATTTTCAATAGCGAGAGAAGTTCCAGCAAGGCCAGAAGTGCTTTGTTTTGGTCCCACTCAACTACACTACCAACCGGACTTGTTAGATGTTACCAATACATTTAAGAAAAGCTTAGCACAGAATAATAATACGGTGTATAAATCAGCCTGTTGGGCACTCACTCAAACCAGGCAAACCGTGTTGAGAATTTACTTATCAGATTTGTAATATTTTACTTTATGTAATTACGAATGTATAATGTATTGTATGTTTTCCTCTCTCTCTCTCGCACACGCACACAGGTTGCATCGGCCTGCCTGCGTTATTTGATGGCAGTGCAGAACCATCTCCTTAGTAACACGGTCTTGATCAAACCCGATGATCACGATGATAGTGACAGCTCCCTGCAGGGGGAGACATTGAAGGTACAGGTAAACAACAGGTTTCTATTCTAATACCACTCTCCTCATGCAGCGTGCTGGTGGCGGTGCTTGGCATTAGCGCATGGGAGGGTGCGGGAAGAGGGCTTTTTCAGCCTCAAGCTTGTCATCTGTGCTTCGAAATGTAGCCTCATGCCCATTGCCATTCACGCACTGCAGTTAGAGCAGAGGAAGAAGCCAACAAGCACCTGAAAGTCGGGCTTTGCCAAGGTCACAAATGACGCCCGACGGAGTCAAACCGGGATTTAAAGTGAAATCCTTTTGTGAATATTGAAAGTGGCCTTCATTTGCGATAAAGGCTAAGAAGTCTTTGCTGAGTTAGCCCCTTTCTCCCTTTGCCTCTGGTGGGGGAATGAACACTGCCCTCGTTTTTTCCCCACCCCACACCCTGTCCGTGTTCCTGCAACCGCGGTGATGTTGGATTCATTAGCTTGACAGAGCAGGTACTGGCTTTCCGTTCCATTCTGTGCTAATTCTAATGCTTGGTGCAGTGACTGCGCAGCTGCTTTGCTTTCTGTGTTGCATCACGGGCAATGTGATTTTTTTTTGACCAATAAATAATAATAATCCTTGCATTTGATATAGCGACTTACCATGTCGTCGAGAGGTCTCAAAGAGCTTCACGGAATACACCGGGAAGGGCTTCTATTTTTCCGTTCAATCTTTTGATAAATCATTGGTTAAAACTAAACAAAGTGAAAGCGGATTTCATTTGGGTTTCATTTTAGGCGTCCTCCTTTCAGGTGGGGGTGGGGGTGTGGAGTTGGGGGATTCATCATTTACATTTGCTGAGTTAATTGGACATATCATTGAGGTCAGGCCAGGAGGGAGGGAATTCCATCTGCAGAGTGACTCACACTTCAGCAGCTACTTTTAGACAGATTGCTGGAAGCACGAAGTGTATTGATTTACATTTCTACAGCTCTTTTCACTCCCCTGGGGGAGAAAGGGAAGGGAGTTTCTGCTGGTTTCCTAGCCAACAATGCCCCAAATAAAATTGGTCATTCACTACAGGGCTGTTTGTGGGACATTGCTTGTGTAAATTGGTGGACACAAAATACAGTCACTACATTTTGCAGTAAATTCTGGGAAGCGCTTTGAGCTGTCCTCCCAACTTGAAAGGTGCTATATCAGTCGAGGTGAGAGAGTGATTAAGGTGATGGACTGTTGATCCATTGTTCTATAAAGAGTAAGATACAGAGTATGGGTAAAGGGCAGGTATAAGGAGTAAGCTTACAGGGATATGGGAGATACGGCAATCAGATAAGGAAACTAATTATTTTGTTTGTGGCAAATTTGATTTGGACAAAAAATTGGCCAAGACGCATCACATTAAAAAGAGAGAATCTCATTTTTTTTTAAATCATTAATGATTCCAAGCATAATAAAACTGAAATCTACATTCCATATTGGATCCTTTGGTTGCAAGCGTAGCTGCAGTGGGTACAGCTCGTAATCATATGTTCATAAATATATTATAAATATTCAATTATTTAAAAAATCCTCTTTTCAGTTCAAAGGACGATTTAATATAATGTGATAATAGTCCATAAATGTAGGTCACACGTTGACTCTTTTCCTGGGTTTGGTTTCTGGCTGTAGGAGCTGCAGACCAGTATCTTGGCATTGGCCACTAAAATCTTGGCTGGATGTGACGAGGTGCTTGAAAAACTCCAACAGGTCACCACGTCAGTGATTAACAGTGAAATGGCCGACAAAGAGCACAGGTCAGTATTGCTAACTTTCTTCCCTGTTGGTTTATCTACGGATTCTGGGTTATTCCGTCCATCTTGCTGTGAGAATTCATATCCATTACCCAGCAGTACACTGATGCTGTGTGTGCGTGAGAATCCAGACCAGTCCTCTTCGGTAATCGAGGTTATTGGAGTGGACTGTATTCATTTGGCACTGGCAGTATTCATCGACATTTGCTCAAAAGATTCACATCGTTCTCTGTCCTCAGAATATCCATATCATCTTATTAGGATGTGCAGACCCTTCACAGCCGCTGAAGGACGTAATCCGATTTGTACAATTGCAGAACTTGTCAATACTTCAGTTTAAGTGAGCGTGACACTTTATGAGCCGGACACGTGTAACAATCTTTATATTGGAAGCAGTGTTTGAGGACTGTCCCTCTGTCTGGGTTTATTGTGACTCAGCTGAACGTTATTTAATATAATAATTTTTCCTGCAGCAGATCTGACAGGCAGGCTTGCTAATTGAGAGCGCCCTCTGGTGGAGCGCCTCCTGACTTGTAACGTGTCTGTCTGGAGTTCAAGCCAATAGGATAAAATAAATAAAATAGAGTAGAATAGGGGTTTAGGATGGGAACAGAGAGGGAGGCATTGGATTGGATTCTGGAATTCGTCCTGGGTGACTGAGTGTGGTTAATGACCTTTTCTTGATGCAGCGTTCTTCTGTTCATTATGATCAGCCTGAACGTAACCTGTGTTGTGTTTTTCACTGAAGGTTAAAGGGCTTGGAGCAGATCACCAAGGCCACGATGCTGGGCCATCTGTTGCCAGTATTGCTCACCTCCCTGATGCACCCGAATCTGCAGACACTGACCATGGCGGACGCTCTCATGCCCCAGCTCGTGCAACTTGTCCTCTACACCAGCCAGGTATGGCCATTTACAGAGATACCTTGTACCCTTGTGAAGAGCTTTAAGGCATTTTGAAGTTGCATATGCTGGATCAAGCGCGAGGAGTGGAGCCCTGTAGGGTAGGGGTTAGCGCACTTGCCTCACATGCAAGTTAACCTGGGGCGGTCAGGTGGGAGACATGGAACAGGCCAGAGCCTGCTGAGTGGAGGGAATGGATAGGTCAGTGAGGAGTTAGCAGATCACAGAGGTAGGGAGGAGCAAGGCCGTGGATGGCTTTGAAGGCGAGGACAAGGATTTTAAACTCTACCCTCTGGGGGTTGGGGAGCCAGTGGAGGATGTGGGGGGTGACAGGGTCACCGAGCTTGGTGCGAGATAACCCAAGCTGCTGCTCATCTTGTCCTGTTCTCTGGCACAGACGGCCTTGCTGTTGAAGACCCAGGCTCCGGTGTTTGGAGACGTGGGAGACGATTCCTCCAGGTGGCCGGAGCACAGCCAGAAGGGGAAGCTGCTCTCGCTGGACGACAGGTGATGGGAGTTCCTTGACCCGGTTGTGTCCAGCAGCGTTCCAATTCACTCCACACATTTTAGTCTGTGAGAAACATTCTTTTAAACCGAAATTAAAAAGAAAATGCTTTGACAAAACTAATGATGTTTATGAGTTTTCAGCTTTAGTGAGTTGATCCTTACCAAAATTTGTTTAGGTGAGAATTCCAGTTTGGATGAATTGACTGTGTTGAAAGACAATTACCTGTAGCTTTACAGGGACTAACGAGAACCACTGAGGCAATGTAACCTGCAGGAGAATCCCAGTTATATCACACTTCGCTATAATGTGGATTTGCCTACGAGGCAGGTGCTCTGGGGATCTGCAGCCATGTGTGTCCATGTTATACAATGGCCGACTATCAGGTCATTAGGTCACCACCCATGTCACTCCTGCTCAGCTTTGCAGGAAGTGTCCTCTGCACTGACCTGATCATCTGAAAGTTAGCTATTTTTTAGCACAGGAAGCCAGCCAGAATTCTAGGTGTGACCTCACTTGTCGTGTGATAAGTGCATCACAATGTGGAAGCATCAATTGATCAAGCACATTATAAAGCTCCATAAAGTATGGAGCCCTCCCTCCCACTTAACTACCATGTTATAATGAGGTTCTGCTGTAATAACTATTGCTACTTGTACCCATTTACCGTGCACCCTCCTGTTTGAGATCTATAATATGGATCCATTGTTATAGGTGAGGAATGTTATCAGGTTTTCTCTTTTTTTTAAACCTTGTATGTTTAGCAACCAGCCGACGCGTGGGGGGTTAAAAAAAAATCTGGCCAGTTGCCGGGATAGTCATTGGCGCCATGTGCTACAAGACAAGATGCCCAACTTCCGAGTCACTTCCTGTTTGCATAGAGGAAGTGACGTTGATAGGAGCCTGATGTCCTGGAAGTCAGCTAATTTAGCACGATACGCAGGAAATGAGCAGGCGGCTGTGCTCGTGGGCAATGAACAGAGTTCCCATGCTATAAATGAACTGCTATAGTGAAGCACCTCACAGCAGGGTTACACTATAATTGCTCAGTTGTAATTTCTAATTTGTGTTTCTAAATATATTTCAGTTGCCTCTGCACGTGCTTTCTGCTCTACACATTTGCGACAGACAGTACATGTGCGAATTTGTGTGTGTGTGTGTCTGGATGCCACTCCAATCCCACTATAGTAATCTGAATTGCATGCTTTGTGTTAGGAGTTGCCGTATATTGGAGGAGAAGGAAGAACCTGGCTTTCTGACTGGCTTGAAGATCCCTGCCCCATGGGCTGCTGGTAAGACAGTGGAAACTGTCCATCCCGTGAGAGACAACTACAAGTTCAAGGAGACTGTGCACATCCCGGGTGCTCGGTGTCTGTACCTGAGGTTCGACACTCGATGCTCCTCCCAGTACGACTATGACAAGGTAAATAGGGGGCCAGAACCTTGTAACCCGTCCCTTCTTTGGTTGGGTTACCTTTTGAGGTAATGACCTTCGAGGTGATGCTATGATTTCGCATTCCCACAGTCTGCTGATTTATTAATTAATGCTGAACTGAACCATGCTGAACAATGGTGTCTTAACAACTACCTCTGGACTTGTTCTCTCTGCAGCTGGTGATCTATGCCGGTCCCAACACCAACAGTAGAAAAGTAGCAGAGTACGGAGGGAATACACTGGGCTATGGTAGTCGTAGTGTCCTGGGAACTGGCTGGCCTAAAGACTTGGTCAAGGTAATTAATTAGGCTGTGTCTTTGATTCCTACCCACTGAACACAGTATGTGGATGCACCAACCTCTGTTTCCTTTAAGCATCGAGGTTGGTTTCCTTACAATAGTTTTTTTAAGACTTTTGTTTTCTTTCAGAGAATGCATTGAGTTAAGTTTTATTATCCTGTATGTATATCATATGCTGGAATGGGGGAGTAGAGAGCTGATCTAAGAACGAGCACAAAAGCAACGAGGAGCAAATAGTGGAAGTTAAGAGCTTGTGAGGTACTGCTTTTAACCTGCTAAAGCTCATTCTAGGTATGTGGACTTCTCACCATGTATTCATGCCTGCTTCTCTTGGCATCCGTGTATTGTTCCTGTAAAGCAGCTTGCTAATAATGTATGCCTGACATTAGAAATTTACAGACTGTCATGTTTAATTGGTGTGAAAGCTTTATTATAGGAGACTTGATATTTGGGATGAACCATGCACCATTTTAAAGAGCTTGGTTATACTGAGGCTGTGATCATGTACGCACTTAACCATGAGGGAAAACAGAGCTAGTTATAATGGATGAGACTAAATCGCTGAAAGTCGTTGTGTGTTGAGATTTTACTTGCTTTTTTCATTAAATAACTGGAGGTGGGAGGTTGCTATGGGTTTGACGTGTGGCATGGATTTACATGGGGATGTGAATGTGTATTTTCAGAATTTGTTCTCTTAGGCACAATTATCAGTTTGTGATGAGATGCTGCGTCCTCACTGAGCAGATATGATGTGAGGCAGGGGCGATTTGTGTGATTTGCAAATTGATTTCTGATTGGCGCCTCCTGCAGATAGCCGTCTGTATCTCACACTGACCTGCTGGCCCTCCACTTGGCATCAATTTCCTCCCGAGTACCAGGAACCACCTTTAGAAGCTGTGAAGCTTCACAGGATTTGGGAATGAAAATAGCACAAGTCCAGCAGGTTGGATTGAGACACATTGGGATACCTGCTGGATTCACTTTTAAGTGTCTCACAAGTGCTCTACACTTCACCTCATTAAACGTCCCTTGTCTCAAACACCCGCAGAAGGATAGATTTTAGATATCCCCATGTTGAACCTGATCATGCTGGATTCTTGACATTATTTTCTCTGTCCTTTTAATACAATATAATCCTCACATCTGATACAACGCCTTTGACATCACAAGGACACCTCGAAGCATTTTGCCGGATATACTATAAAGTGTATTTTGTAGGCAAATGTGGCAGTCAGTTTGCACACAGCAATGAATCTACAAAGCCTTGAAGTGAATGGTCAATTTTATTCGGAGTATTGTTGGCCTGGACACTGGGAGAAACTCCCTTCTCTTTTATGAAGAGCTGGCCATGATTGTCAGTCACTTAAGACAAATTATACTGATTTATTATAGCAAGAAGAGTTTATTGCAAGAATTGCCTTTTCTGCCTTGTAAATGTGTCAAAGCGGAAATGATTACAAACCGATGCAGGGGCAATGTTATATTTACAGTCTTAAATAACTCTCTGGGACTGACTGTTGTAGTTATTAATACTTTCCCCTCTGAATTTGATTGATACCCAGTTTGATGGGAGTACTCTCTCCTCTGTACTGTTTGTGAAGGTCCCGAGTCAAAGAAGTATTAAGCTGCCCTGTGGCTGCAGATCGACAGTTGACTGCAAACAGTTTGACAGCTCGCCTGTCTCCCTTAGGTCACAACGGCGGCTGGCTGGTCTGGGTAATGGAAATGTCAGTGTTAAATGACTTGGAGGAGCGCTTGTGTTCAATCGTGATGCATTTTGGGTTCAGAGAAGAATAAGATTAGCTCAGCAATAAAAAAACGATTTCTTTTTCACAAGGAGCGAGTGGGGAAAAACCCTGGGGAAAATGTTCCAAATCTGCAAATCCTGATGTGCTTCATCTTGCTCCCACCCACTTCAATTTCCGCAGTTCTCCCCCTCCTCTATCTCATTTCTTGTGATGTTTTGATGGTGGGGGGAGGGAAAGCAGCCGTAAATGGAGTAGGTGCTTTTCCATTTACTGATGGGTTTGCTATATTGCACTGCTCTGTAACGAGCAGCAGTCGATGAACATAATTTTAGTCATTGGACTTCACTGTTTCAAATACGCCCTCCAATCTAGCCCTTAATATGGGTTTGAATGGCTGCCCAGTACACTATACATTGACGTGCAAAGCCTTTTTCAATCTTCATGCTGTTTTTTTCTCGACATGAACCACCCAGTCCTTTTATTAATCTTCCGCTGGCTCCTCATACCCGTTAATGTTGTTCCTTTTTTAAGCGTTTATCCAATTCTCTCTTAAACAAATTTGCTTCAGTTTGGGGTTGTGGCAAAAGATTCTACATTCCAACTAACTTCTGCAGAAAGATTTTTTTCTTCTCGTCTCTCCTTTTTTTTTAAATGGAGCCTAAATTTCTGCATTGAGTATTTAACGATGGTTGTTATCCCAATGCCCTTTCACGGTGAAAACCATCAGAAGAGCCAAGTGAATGCGGGTGCGATGCTAGTTACCTCCCCTTCCCTCCACCCCTCCCCACCCCCAAATCCATTGCATTTCATGAGCTATTTAACCAGTCTCGTTCAAATGGATCATTAAAACCAGTCGTTGCTTCCATTAGGTGGAGGGGGACACCGTGACTTTCTCTTTCGAGATGAGGAGTGGACGAGAGCACAACACGCCTGACAAAGCCATGTGGGGGTTCGGGTGTACAGTTCGAGCCCAGGTAAAGGCACTGATGCACAGAGAGGGTTTCGGATCAATCAGGATTCAGCGATCTATGTATCTGTTAAAAGATATTGCCTGTTGCTGCAGGTTCAACTATTCATGATATAAGTACAACAACTTGAATTTATATAACACCCTTCGCCCCAGACAGCGTCTTGGCGCGCTTAAATAGTGACCGTTTATAATAATAATAATCCTTGCATTTGATATAGCACCTTATCGTGTCTTCAAAGCGCTTCACAGAATATACTGTAAAGTGAATTGACTGTATATTTGTGGGCAAAACGTTTGAGTGAAGATTTAGGTTTGTAGGGGACTGGAATCAAAACAAGTGAGCTAGATTGGCTGAATGGTCTTTACTTGCTACTTTGTACTCGTACAGTGTACAAGTTGCTCAGGGATAATCTCTCTGGCTATGACAGCTTTTTGTACTCCTGTAGGACTCAGTGTTAAGCTTTTAAATCTTTGAATCCCTTTGACTATTTGGTTGTTTTGCAGGAGTCCTCCGAGGATGTGTCTGGCGGGCTGCCCTTCCTGGCTGACCTTGCCTTAGGTCTGTCTGTGCTCGCCTGCTCCATGTTACGAATCCTTTACAGTGGACCTGAAATGACCAAAGAAGAGGAAGCTTGTCAGGAACTGCTCCGATCCAAACTACTACAGCGGCAAGTGTTCCCCTACTTTTTATTTTAAGGTTACAAATCCTTGCCACAAACTTTCCCCTCTCAACCACTGCAATCGGCTCCAACGCATATCCTTTGCTCTTCTGTTCTACTCTTCGCTTCTCAGTGCCATTGTCATTCCATTGGTGACTGCCTTCAGACAGCACAGAAGGAGGCCATTCGGCCCATCGTGCCCATGCAAGGCTCTTGGAAAGAGCTATCCAATTAGTCCCACTCTCCCGCTCTTTCCCCATAACCTTGCATTTTTTTTTTCTTTTCAAGTATTTATCCAATTCCCTTTTGAAAGTTATCATGCAATCTGCTTCCACCAGCCTTTCGGGCAGTACATTCCAGACCGTAGCAACTCAATACTCCATAGTCCTGTGAAAAGAAATTGCAGCTGAAAGTGTAAAAGTAATTTGATGGCTACTGATACCTATCTATCTTGGAAAACAGTATTGATTTTTTTTTCTTCTTTGGGCTTTCAGTAACATGCTGACAATAAATAGATTCCTGGGTCTTCGAGTGAGGTTTGACGTTTATAGTAATAAATCTCTTTGCTGCCGACAGTTGCCAGTGGCAGGTGGAAGCCAATGGCGCGTTGTCTCCTGCCCTGACTCCAAGCCCCTCGCCTCTGCCGTTAACCATTGACGAGGACCGGGAGTTCACCTATCCCTGCGACGCACTGGCACCTCCGGCTCCAGTCACCGGCCATTACTTCGAACTGCCGAGAATCCGACTGCCTCCTGGAATCATGGGGAAACTCCGGGAAATATCTGGGAGAGCCCGACCTCAATTTAGACCGAGTATTAAGTAAGTGGATGTTTTGATCGTCAGTAAGAAGGAAAAGGGCCATAGGGGTCTGGAGAAATTGTGTGTAAACTTTAAATTTTATTACACTCTTGAGAAGTAATGAAACTGTTGTGTATCATTGCATTGACAAAATCCCTTCAAATGCTTATGCCCCACATATAGAGCGACCAAAATTATTTTTTTGAGAGGGATTATTACTCCCGGAAAGCGATCCGCCAATCGATTATAGGAAGACCACACAGTAACCACTCTGCCCTCTCGGCGCAGAGAACAACAGCTACGTATAATGATTCCGACCCAAACCCATTGCAAACTAGTCCAGTCATTGCAAAGTTATAGAACCAGAGTCTGTGGATTTCAGTGACGCTTTCTCACCTTTTGTTCCAGGGAAGTGATTCAGCCAGATGTAATGGAGGAGATGGTGGTGTCTTGCGTGATTAAGCACTTGAACCTGATTGATGCGCTACAGTCCCTGATCAACTTCCAGTACCGAGAGGAGCACCTGGAGGAGTACGACCTGCTCTGCAAAATAATGGGCGAGACCTTCAAAAAGCTCAATGCTATGGAAAGGCAACTGCAGGTACGCCCAGCTTGTGGGGAAAGTAACCGAGTGGTTCTGGCTGGAGGGAGTGATGGGAGGGGACCTTATCCTAGCGAAACATCACAAAACACTTCACAGTAATTATTATCATCATTGTTTGAAAACCAATGCATTTACACGGTTAAATGATAATAATACTTGCATTTGATATAGCGCCTTATCACGCCTTCGACACATCTCAAAGAGCTTCACAGAATAGACTGTAAAGTGAGTTGACTGCATATTTTGTGGGCAAAACCCACAACCTTCCGACCTAAAGGCGAGAGTGTTCACTAAACTACGCCAACCTACTTTCTCAGCCCTGCTCAGTCGCACACAGGCTTTCTTTCTCTTCCCTGCCTGGGTGGTCTTCCACTCGCTATATTCTGTTCTGTTGATTTCCTTCAGAGTGTAGCAGAGCTGGAACAGAAGTGGCAGAACGAGGTTGAAGACGGCCAGCAAGGCAAGATGGAAAACAACGTGCCTTTCTTCCACGACTATCACTTCAACGAGGTGAGCAGCCGAACTCAGAAGCGGTTACTGTAACGCTTCCCACATCCGGTGGCCAGGGTCTGAGGTCCGGGGGTGCCAGAGACCGGGTTCTTCCCAAAGGAATGCTGTGACACTCCTTCGTTTCCATGTATTTGCAGAATAAAATCAAAGAGTTAGAGCTGCTCTGCTCCCTGAAGGAAGTGCTGTTCGACTCCAACGACTTGGAAAATATGGTGCTTTTGTTAAGGTTAGATTCTTACACTAGAGCTTGATTCAGTCCCAGCTGCTCATGCAGCTTATTAAGCTTTGGCTCAGTATTAGTTTGATGACAGTGATGCTTTACATTTAAAGCACTCTTGTGCTGTGTACCTATGTTGAACTGCAATTTTGCTGTGTCCGCAGGGAGAAGTTTGGCCAAGAAATCAACTCTCTGCTGCCCAAGTCTTCACATTGTTTACCAAAGACCAAAGCTTTGGTGAGAAGCCTGATGAACCGGGCTGAGCTGCTACTGCATGTTACCATCGCAGCACAGTCTGGCCTGACCAGGAGCATTTCAGGAACCCCAGCTGACACGCCAGGTACTGGCATGGAGTGTGCGTGTGGGGTGGGGGGGGGTGTGAAGTTTGTCTGTTATTAAACACGTGCCAATGTTACAGAACCATAGAAATAATTATAATAGTAATCCTTGCATTTGATGTAGCGGTTTGTTGAGACGTTCTCCAAAGCGCTTCACAGAATATATTGTAAGGTTGAGTGATTGTGTATTTTGTGGGAAAAATTTGCAGGTGTTTGATTGAACTCAAAAAAGCTATTTTCCACAACCCTTTGAACGAGTGCAAACTCATCCCAACTAGTGCAAAGCAGCTCTCTGAATGGACATGACGGTGTGCAGGAACCCTGTCACAAAAGCTGGCACCTCTGATAATTTGCTTCTTTTGCCAGCGTGTAAATCTGCCTCGGAAACCAAGGTGATTTCGCACACTGTCCGCCAGCCCGTGTTTCTGCGCAGCATGTCAGCACCCTCTGACCTGGAAATGATTGGAAATCAGGACTTGGAATTCACCAGAGCCAATCAGAGGTAATCCAATATAACAACAACTATAACAACTTTCACCTGGAGCACTTCAATATATTCATAACCGAGCAACATAGGAAATATCAACCATTTCGGATCCGAACATCTGAACCATAGAACATCTGAAACATAAACTCTCCTCACCCAGGGTTATGCGTGCGGAGCTATTCCCTGCCGAAATCCATCATAATAATAATAATCCTTGCGTTTTTTGATATAGCGCCTCATGTCGTCGAAACGTTTCAAAGCGCTTCGCAGAATACACTGTAAAGTGAATGGCCCGTAATTTGTGGGCGAAACACAGGGCGGGGGAAACGAGGAGAGAGTATGGCTTTGAGAGTGCAGCTTATTGAGCAAAAAAAAACAAATTTCAAAGGACCCTCGTAATATCTAGCGGAATCCTTCGACTAAGGCAAGTCACGCTGAGACAGTAGCCTTGCATTGAATGTCTTAAGAGTTCATTTGTTTTTCCACCAGGAGGCGGCACGGAAACAGCCATCGGAGCAGCTCCTTCACTCTCCTCCAGTCACTTGCGATCGAGGACAGTCGCGACAAGCCAACGTACAGCTTGCTGTTGGGGCAGCTTTTCGCTTTCATTGGGACCAACCCCGATCAGGCTGTAGGTTTTGAGAGTTTTATAATCGGAAGCAAGCAGTTCGTGGACGTTGCGGGGGGTGGGGGTGAAGAGGTATAAAAGCAACGTGTTGTCCGCCTTCTCTTTGCAGGTGTCGAGCAGCAGTTTCCTCCTGGCGGCGCAGACGCGGTGGAGACGCGGGAACACCAGGAAGCAAGCCCTGGTGCACATGCGGGAGCTCCTGACTGCAGCCGTCCGGGTGGGCGGTGTCACACACCTGGTGGGGCCAGTGACCACCGTCCTACAGGGTGGGCCAAGGTGAGAGGCACAGAGCAGTGACGGCCACAAATCCTGCACCGAGATGCACGCTAGTTATTATTTATTATTATTATCCTTGCATTTGATATAGCGCTTTTCACGTCTTCTAGACGTCTCTAGAAGTTAATTGACTGTTTATTAGTTAGCTTCGGTGTTGCTGCTCTTCTGGATCAGAATGTTTGGGCTTGAGTCGTGTGTTGAGACTTTGCGCTCACAAAGTGCCGACCTTCCGTTGCAATACAGCAGGGAGTGCTGCGTTGTCGTAAGTGCCATGTTTCGGATGAGCCGTTAAAACTAAGCCCCTGCCGCTTTAAAGACCTGCACCCCTGTTGTTTCAGGATTGAAGAGCTGACGTGCGGTGGAATGGTGGAGCAGGTGCAGGAGGCTTTTGGCGAGACCATGACCTCTGTCGTTTCTCTTTGTGCCCGTTACCCTATAGCCTGTGCCAACAGCATTGGCCTTCTCTGTACCATTCCATACACCAGGTAGGAAGCAGGTGCTTATCATGGTAGCCAAGATGTCTTCAGACAAACTTTCTGTATTGAATGTCCTTTGTAGACTTTCAAACACCCTGGGTCATTGCTTCCTGTGCTTTTATGCACCAGGTGTTTGTTGAACTCGCAATCTAAATGACTTTTTGACAGGTGGGAGTTTGGATCTTGTGCTTCGGGTAATGAGTTGTGGCGAATGCACAGTGTAAACCTAATCTTGTAACAGCATGGCTGTCTTCATGTGAATTTAACTGTTTCACGTCTCAAAACGCCATTTCTTTTTGTTCACATCTATGAAAATGAATCTATTTTAATTTTAAGTCAATATTGTAAAACCCATGTGGCCAAAGAAAACGTTCTTTGAATAGAGAATCAATCTTAACTGGAGGGGGCAGGGCTCAGTGGCAAGTTATCTGGACTGGCAAGGTAGGCATATGTATAAATCCATAAATAAATGAGGCCGGGCTAACCAGAGCATGAGGACTCTTTGATCGTAGAAATAACAAATTAGCAGAGATTTAAGCCACAAATGTTCCATCGGGTGGGAGTTTTATTCCGTTCTACTGCCCCTTGAGGTGTATGTCTTTTCACTGCCCTCGTTGCTCTGTGTGTCGTGTGCGGTGTTTAGGAGCGAAGAGAAATGTCTGGTGCGGAGTGGCCTGGTGCAGCTGATGGACCGGCTGTGCAGCCTGAGCAGCCAAAGAGACAGCACCTCCAGCGAGAAGCAGACAAAGAAGCAGAAAGTAGCCACCATGGCCTGGGCTGCCTTCCAGGTGCTGGCTAACCGCTGCGTGGAGTGGGAGAAGGAAGAAGGTGAGAGAGGTTATATTAGAATAAAAAAACGAGAGAAACCATCTGAAAATCAGAGCGCTGAATAGTTCTTTAAGAGAAAAAAAAGTTTGGGGTCAGCGTTGGCATAGCGTGACTTAAGGAGCTCTGGTGATTCAGTGAGTAAAATCATATGTTTAGCAAGAGGTGGTTTGAGGAGAGCATTGTTTTTTTTTTTACACACCTCCTTTTCTCACAGTGTCGCCGACACCTGAAGAGAGCCTCCAAAGAAGGTTGAGGGGTGACCTGACAAAGGTCTCCAAAATGATGAGAGGTTTCGATAGTCAATCAAGGGAACTGATTTCCACTTGTCGAATCAGTGACTCAAAGGCATCAATTTAAGACAGTCGGCAAATGAGCAAATGACCTTCTCCCTATGTGAAAGGTTCTGGGTAAATTGCGGCATTCGTCATCAGTGCCGTCTTTAACCTATCGTGTTTAATATATTCTCCCCCAGGTGTGTCCTCGAACGCGGTGCATTCTGGGCTGGCCCGTCAGGTGTCGAGCCTGTTGACCAACCATCTGGCTCGGGCCACCGAATGCTGCGGGAACCAAGCTGCAGGGAACGATGCCCTACAGGATGTCCTCAGCCTCCTCAACGATCTGTCCAGGTAACAACGGTCATACATAGTGTTGTTAAATGTGCCCTAGCTCCCCAGATGATAAGCCCCCTTGCCACTGTTTATGTCGATGGGCCAAATGAGCTGTTTCTGGGCTGCTAATACCTGTGATTCTATTGTCTCACCATTCGCACTCTCTCTGTTAGAAGCCAGATTGGGAAAGCCATCCTGAGCCAGCCAGCCTGCGTCTCCAAGCTGCTCTCCCTGCTCCTGGACCAGAGACCGTCTCCCAAGCTGGTGCTCATCATTCTTCAGCTGTGCCGCGCAGCCCTGCCTCTCATGAGCGTGGAGGATTGCGGCAATGTGGAGCTGCCTCCCTGGAGCTACTCGGTGCCTGCACTGGAGAACGATGCAGATGATCCCGGGGACCCTGCTTCCAATATTGCATCCCTGCTCTTGGCCAAACTGGCTGATTACGTCGTTCCGGGTACGTTGCTGAGGCGTGAGCAGCAACCAGGCACTGGGCTAGAGAGATCCCTTCATTCTGAGATTGTATTAGTCTGACTCAAAGTGAGCAGCACTCTAGCCTCTTGAGTCAAAAGGTTGTGGTTTAGGAAACTAGGAACCAGATTGAGCCCACTCCACCACAGACTGTTTCCACAGGCTCCTAATTGTACCTTCCTGCCACATCCCTTCGTATTTTCAATCTCAAGTGTTTGTCCATCTCACTCTTAGTGCATTCTAGATTCTTATTACTCTCCAACCGCTCTATCAGTATCCGCTTGTAAACTACTGCATTTCAGCTAACCACACAACAAATTATATTTGTATACATCTATAAATGTATTTGTATAAATGTATTTGTATAATTATAATTGTATAATTATACAAATACATTTGTATAAATCAAATCGGGATTTATCGGGAGCCTTTCACTTCGGGAGGATGTCCCAAGGACACATCAAAGCTTTGTGTTGTTTATAAATGTAGATAAACAGTGCTGTTCTGTTATTGTGCTTTATAGCGTAGATTAGTGTATAAAGCGTTTGCAATGTGAGCCCCATTTGCTGATCACATGTCTGCTTGTGTCCCAGGCTGCCAGACTCTGCTGTCTCCCAGCTCCTCCGAAGCTGGTTCGTCTTTCACCAAATCCAGCCCAAAGAGCTCAATCAAAGCGGACAAAGAGGGCGGAGAGGAGAGCGAAGCAGTCGATGGGAAACTGTCCATCTTAATTCATAAACGTGAGGACCAGTCATCCCATGAAGTCCTGCAGCCGTTATTAAGGTACTTACACAATGTGCTGGTGAAAGCCCCTCACCCAGTTTGTCGAGTGAATTGTGAGCCAGGAGCTGTATGCTTGATAACTGAAACATTTGCTTATCTGACTGACCTTTTGTCTCATCCCGTCCCCTTGTGCTTGAAGAGCATCAGCACAGTAAATGGAGAATGACACTGGACCCCAGTTGAGCACGACAAGAGAAAATTATTTTAAGATTAGAGCTAAGATTACACTGTGCAAGTCGTTCTCAGGTGACATTACACTAGAGCTGTGAAGTGATCTTTGAGTTCTATAATTCTTTCTTCTCCCCACCTTACAGCAGTTCAGAGGGACGGCCTTTCCGACTGGGAACCGGGGCCAACATGGAGAAAGTGGTGAAGATGGATCGGGACATGACAAAAGTAAGACCAGCGAAGGGCTGACTCCAGTCCAAAAGCCTTTTTTTTTCTTTTTTTTTTACTCTTGATATGTCTCGCTGCAAACTGCAGTGAAAACCTGACAGGGGTGAATGGATTGTTGGCTTGAAGGAAAACTGGAGAGATATATTGAGGGAATAAAAGGCATTCCTAATAAAAGGAAGCATATTATAATTTATGTATGAGGTGAACGCTAGCGGTCTTAATGTGGATCCAAGTTCTATGGCCAGGAGTGAATCAGCTGATGTATCAGTTTGGTGCCACACCCCTTGTGTGCAGCAGTAATTTGATGAATTGACCGTGCGCCTGGTTTGCGGTACTGAGGGCTCTTTACTTTGCAGAGTGGCTATTGCGAGGTCATCACCGAGGAGGCAATTGCCGCCTTACGCAAGGCAACAAAATGGGCGCAGTCGGGACTGATTGTGAGCGTGGGACCACCGGTGGAGACGGCTGCACAGGAGACCTCCAGCGGGCTGACGACTGGCGACAAGAAGAAGACAGCTCAGACATCCATCTGCAGAGAGAAGAATGCCGAGCTGGCCAGGTACGGGACTCTGGGTCAGGAAAGCAGATAATAATAATAATAGTAATAACAATAATAATCCTTGCGCCTTATCAAGTCTTCGAGACGTCTCAAAGCGCTTCACAGAATGGGAACTTTGAGATGTTTCAATGCTGTGATAAGGTGCTATCTTATCATTATAATTATTGCAAGTGTAGTACGTGTTTGAAATATTAAATGAGACTTCCATAAATTTACAAAGAATTTACAGCACAGAAACTGGTCATTCAGCCCAACCAGCCCGTGCTGGACAGCCAATAGCATTATAAATAGGTGACGTTCATATCTTGTTGCCAATTTCTACTGTGGTTGCCTCGTGGAATGGGATCAGGTATGGAGATGGCGGGTGTCTTTGTCCTCAATTAAACTGATGATGTTTCTCCCTCCTGCAGGACGGACCCAGTCCGACCATTCATCAGCGGCCATGTAGCGAACAGCATGGCGGCTGAGGTCATTGCTTTGCTGCACAACTTACTGATGGCCCCGGAGTCCAGCACTGCTCAGATCTGGACCACAACTGCAGAGAAGGTATCAAACTAGAGTAGAATATTTGTGAATTGTTTCCTGACAGACTGCTTTTCTCTGTAAAGAAGGAGCCCTTTACAGTAAAGTAGCCTGTGTTTAGTGAGGTGACCCTGGTTTGCAGGCAGGCAAATGTACAGGTTGTGGGTCAACAAACAGCCGTGAGGTATATGGCTAATTAATCTAATTGTTCACCAGGACAGCAGAAAAAAAAACTTTTTTTCCCCCAAAGTGTCATTAGATCTTTAATATCCACGTGAACCTTGGTTTAACATCACACCACAAGGATGGCAAACATTGAACGATGGTTTGGGCACCACTATGACACACACCCTCTGCAGTCGAATACCTCTCCATCCATTTCATTCAGGCTCGCACATCAATAATTGCCACCTGCTTGAGTACCAGAGCTTACCTGACATCCAAGTCCCCGGTTGGAAGTGCTTTACTGAGGTCCTGTTCTCTCTGGGACCCTCAGGTGTTGTCTCGAGCGCTGATGTACATCCCCCAGCTGGGTAAATACGCGGAGAGTATCCTGGAGAATGGAAGCAGCAGTGGGAGGAAACTGGCCAAGCTTCAGGCTATCGGCCGGCAGGCGGTGGCCGCGCTCTGTGCCCTCGGGGGCTTCAAAGAGACCATCAAAATCGGGTCAGAAGTGCAGGTAAGCCCCTCCTGTCTTGGGACGCCCCTTGGAGTGAATAATCCACGTTAGACATTTCCATCAAGACATAATTACATAAAGAATCCGGAGTAGCAAGGGATTGTTACAGGATCATTGAATCACAATGTGTCTGAAAGTGTTACATCCTTGAACTCGATCATACATTTTGCGATCAAGTTTTTTTCAGTTATTAACTTTATGGCAATTCCCTACCGTTTATTGCTGCCTGCACTACACAAAGCAAGTGGTTTGGTGCTTGTGTGTGTGAGAGAAAGATTTGTAACGTTTTTGATTGTAGAGCAGAGGTGGGCAATGTGAGTTTTACAGTGAAATTACGAACTTGTGGAGTAACATTGTTTTGGGTGTGTAAATATATATATTATATAATATATAATATATTGTATAACATATTGTATAATATATAATATATATATATTCTATATATTATATATATCATACAATATATTCTATATATCAGCCACACTGAAGGGTTTGTTTTTTCTCAAGATTCCTGTCAATCAGAAAGAACTGCAGAATGCAACCTGGAAATGGTTGCCTGAAGTGCCTCTGCACTCTTGTTCTGTTTAGTTCTTACACATACATGATTGTTCTCTGTCAGGTTTCAGGAAAGGGAATATCTGGTAGCATTGGGATCGTGATGTCCATCAATGAGCAAGAAGGCATTGCCACCGTCCGATTCCCCCCCAGCGATTATAAGAAGACCTCCAAAGCGTCGGATATACTGACTGTTCCAATGGAAAGACTCTGCACTCCCAGATCTGAGGTGAGTTTGATCGTCGATCCTTCATGTGGTGCTGGGAAGCTGTTATTAGGTGGCATCTCTCAGTTCTTTGCTGCATAATAATAATAATAATCCTTGCATTTGATATAGCGCTTCCCACACCTTCTAGACGTCTCATCATAGAAAGTCTGAATTCTATGCAGTGACAGGGCAGTGATCTGGACTTATTTGAATTGTACTCAACCAAAGTCACAATCTGGATCTCAAGCACAGCAGTCCTATAAGGATCTTATAGCTGAAATCTGTAAGCTCTTGTCTGCATCCTGTTCGTCTCAGGTGTGTTCGGAGGTGTCTGATGACCTGTTGGTGGTGTGGGTTAATGTGCTGACAGGTTGTGTTCCTGAGCAGTTGACTCCGGGTTTAATGAGAGATTACCTGGATGTCCAGATATGGGACCGTGTGCGGATGGAGTTGTCCATCTGTGCTCCCATTCGCTGTTTTCAAAGTGACACAAGGTGAAAGACTGCTTGCAGAGGTGACTGGATACTTGTTCCTCTCGCTCTTGGCTCTATTGTCTGCTGTTGGGGAGGAAGGGAACATCCAATAACATGGGGAAGAAAATGAGTTGGGGGTTAGTGAACCGGTCAGAGAATAACCTGATTATCTATCTGTGGCTTTCTCAGCACTTTGATTATCTTTGTGCTTCTCCAGGCGCTGCCTCTGCACAAACTGTCCATCACTGAAAAAGTGGTCCAGGCAGTTCAGTCCATGTTGCTTCCCCAGGAAGGGAGTCTCTCTATCCACACATCACTGCCTGCAACTGGCGATGGATCAACTCCCGTGATGGCAGTGGTACGACTTCTCGCCGAAATCAGAACCAGGTAAAAGTGATCACTGTGGGTGTGCGATTGTGAACACTGTGGGAGATTTGGTCAGTTGATCCAAAATGGCACTGGAACATAGTTTCGTCGGGAAGTGTTTGGTCAGGATAATCGAGTGAAGCTTCCACCTGTAGAATTCTCCCAGACGAAGCTGTTGCCTGGGCCACACGGAGTCAGAGACCGGCATCCGAACGAGGTTTCAGAGAGTCGGCCTCGATCACTGTTTACAAATCCCACAATTTAGACCCCAATGAGGGAAGTGTTTTAATCGGTGTTTGGTTGTTGCTGTTACAGAGCCTGCCTGGTGATGGCCCAATTGCTGGAGGACAGCTTGTTTTGTGAGGAGTTTATCCAGCAATGTCCAGCTGCGGTGGAGGTTTTAAACCTGGTGGCACAGGAGTGCAGCCCTGGTACGTACGGAAACATCCCAACTAGCGCTAGTCACAGCAGATTCACAAGCTGCCTCTTAATCGAGAGAACACACTTCTCTCAGTGTTAGACACACAGCTGACTTCCACACTGAGAAACACTGTCAGCTCGATGTTGCCCTATATGGGATGAAGTATCATAAATGATTATAATTTTTGTAAATTAACCTCTGGATTAGATAACTGCAAACTCTTTAACTTCACTCTCGCCAGATGGTTTCACCATCTGATTTGAGTTCCTGTTCCTTCCCCCCACACCACACACACATGAATTTCTTAATACTGTAAGATTAAGATGTTATGATCTCTTTCAGCTTCCCGGGTGAGATGAAGCAACTGACTGTGAACTGGTAGTTTTTTTTACTGTTGTCAATTGTGTCTGCAGGTGAGCGCATGCTGGTGGTGGAGGCGCAGTGTGAGCGATTACGGATGCTATATCGGGATTGTGCCCGGCCTCCTCCTCCCCCTTTACAGTCTGACAGGAGACAGGTACAGATCATCAGTCAGATAATAATAATCCTTGCATTTGATGTAGCGCCTTATGACTTCGCTTCACAGTGGGTGGAACACAGCAGCCAATTGCACACCGCAGTGTCCCACAAATGTCATGGATTGAGAGACCAAATTTTTATTATTTATTTAATTTTGAAGGGCTTAGAGCCCCCAGAATGCGATCCGCCAATTGACTAACAGCTGGGTTCCTACTTCCTGCTTGGTAAACCGGGGGGAGTGGAGTAAGGAAACTTAAGGTTTTGCCCCACCTGGGAATCGAACCCGGATCCTCTCACTTGCGAGGTGAGTGCTCTAACCAATACGTTACAGGACTCCACAAGATCTTAAACACAAGTTTCATTATCTTGTTCTGCTCGTAATCACTGAATTTGCGGTACACATACGGCCCACTATTGCATTCTCGTAGGGGCAAATACAAGCACTGAACCAATAAGCAACAAGTTTGCTAATAGGAAGAGTGGATAATTGTCATGGCTTTTAAAACAAAAAGTGAACTTAAGCAGAAGTTGAGTCTCTCTCTCTCTGTCCTTCCAGCCCAAAGAAATTACCTGGTGCCCCTCACGAGTCTTCCCTCCAGTGCGCGCTTGCATGTTTTCCTCCCACCTCACTGCTGTGACCTTCCTGGCTGATCCAAGTGCAGGAGGAGGCCTACCTCGCGGCACCTTCATCTACGCCACCTCACCGATCCCTGTGCAGGTAGGAGCTCGGCGTCAAACAGCCACCAACACAACCGTTACACAAACACTGGTGCAGCAGCCACTCTGCGGGATTTTCTCCAGCAGGTTTTTCAGGTGCAGGCAGAGATGTGGCTCAGTGTGATCAGATTCACTCAAAAGTGATGAACAGTTTTCAAATAGCGAATTGTTAGAGCTCAAGTGGTTCAGCCTTTGACTTATTGTACACCGGCTGGATCCACAGGTTACAAATCCTTCTGAAAGGGTGGTGGAAGCAGATTTGATGGTAGCTTTCAAAAGGGAATTGGATAGGTACTTGAAAAAGAGCTGATGGGCCAAATAGCCTCCTTCTACTGTAAGATTCAATGTGATGGTCACTCGGTGCTGATGCTTGTACCCCTGTGCTGTCATTGTCTTTGTAAGGCCCCGTCGTTTTATTGGGAATTAGAGATTGTTTCCTATGGAGACACGGATGATGACAGTGGCCCCATCGTGTCCTTTGGATTTGCAACAGAAGCAGAAAAAAGAGACGGAGCTTGGACAAACCCTGTGGGAACCTGCCTGTTCCACAAGTAAGTGCCATCACTCACTCCATAACGTGCAGCTCACAGTCAAGCTTTAATAACACGGTACAAGATTGATCAGAGGTCAACTAGCATTTCATCATAGCTAAACCACTTCATCCCAGATAATGTGGTGAGTCATCGCTGGAAACTCACCAGTACTATAAGTCTTTCTGCTTCCTGAAGTTAAATGAAGATAATCTATTTCTGTGTCGACAGCAATGGCAGAGCAGTGCATTACAATGGGTCCAGTCTGCTGCAGTGGAAGAGCGTTCGATTGGATGTGACTCTCCTGCCTGGTAAACACACTCTTATGGACTGGTTTGTGTCATTACAATAATTAGAAACATTACTGTAATACAACAGCATGAACCTCTTTGGCAGAGCAATTCTGTCAGAGCAGCAGACAATCATGAATGATTCCGTCATATTACCTGCCTCTGCCCCTATCTACACCCAATGCCTCCAAAATGTCCTTGTGACCTCCTCTCTAAACGTATCCAACGTAGTCTTTGTCGATCTCCCTAGCTCCACTATTTTTAAGCTTTAACTCATACAAAAGTCACCAGCACCAAACTGCGCTGTACCCCAGATCCATTTCACGGTCCTTACCCTAACCTACAAATCCTTCCACGCCCATTTTCTCTCCACAATCTACCACCCTTCTCCTAACTTGGGCTTTCTATGAATCCAACCCCTGCCCTCACCATGCTAGCATCAGTGGTAGAGCCTTCAGATCCTAAGCTGATCGCCTCTGAAACTCCCTCCCTCCCTCTTCCCCTCCGTCTTGCCCCTTCCTTTCTTTATGACCTGCTTCAAAACCTACTTATTTGAACAGATGTGTAGTCACCCACTTACCACTTCTCCTTTGCTCAGCCATCAACACCGTCTTGCAAAGTGTTCTCAGACATTACCTCCGTGAAGGGTGCTGTGTAAATGTTGTTGTTGTTGTTGCACACATCTTATTAAGCCACCAGGTGACAGTGCAGGGTATTGCACTGAATATTGAGTTGTTTCTGGTGAGCAGGTTATGGTGGGTTATGATAAAATTCTAAAATAGGTTAAAATAGATTTTATATTGTGAACAGAGATGTCAGAGAAGTGAATTTTGATAGTTCTCCAGTGTTCTGCACTTGAAGGATGATTACCGATTGGCACAGTCCCACAGTATATGGTCGTTGCACTGTTACCATGTCTTCCCTCAGGTGATATCGCGGGCATTGGATGGGAGAGAAGCGAGGGAACTCCGCCACCTCCAGGCCAACCAACCAAGGGCCGGGTTTACTTCACCTACTGCGGGCAGCGACTCTGCCCGTTCCTGGAGGACGTGTCTGGGGGGATGTGGCCTGTGGTTCACATTCAGAAAAAGGTACCAGCTTTACCATTTGCTGATGAGGTTAAAACGTTTTGTGTTGTGGACTCGGCGAGTTAATCACCCAAAGGTGCTTCCCTTTAGAGCTGTAACAGCCATGAGCCTGGTCCAACCATTGCTAGCCATACAGCGCGTTAGACTCCGAGACAGAAGCTACTGGTTCCTTAGCCCTTGGGAAACAGAACTCGGCCCTTAACCCTCTTAAGGTCAATAAACTGCACAGCTTAAAATATATATATGTGGGGGTGGGGGGTCTGAACTGACTTCGAGAAGAGGGAGAGAGTAAATGTGTATATGAGTATTTTATTATTATTATTCCTGGAGAAGCCAAGAAAGAATCTAACTCGTGGGACGTAAAAGTAACCCAATGGATTTCTTCCTCTTTATTTGACTCCAGGTAGTTTTTTTTTTATTTATCCGTTTGGTTTGAGCTATGAGACATTATTTTCTGCCGTGTTTTATTTTTCCCAGAACACCAAAGTTCGGGCTAACTTTGGCTGCCGTCCTTTTGCTTACGCCGAGGGCCAGGCACACCGGAACGCAGCCGACCTGTGCGTGGACCTGGCCGAGGAGATCAGTGCCAACTTCGAGGCTCTGCCGTTCGCCATGGCCTCCGACAGCGACAACGACGCTGGGGCGAGCGTGGCCTCCGACACCGGCTCTCACGGGCCGCCCTGTCGCATCGCAGCCACCACCGTAGCTCAGCAGCGTACGTAATACATCATAACACCTCTAATACATTAATAACCTAATATCTCGTAATACCCCACAAATTTCGACCCCACAAAATATACAGTCAATTCACTTTACAGTCTATTCTGTGAAGCGCATTGAGACGTCTTAAAGACGTGATGAGGCATTATCTCAAATGCAAGGATTATTATTAATACCATAATACCTTAAATGCCCGAAGATGTATTAATAATGTGTGAAAGTTAATTGATTTGAACAACTATTCCCAAAGAGTCACATATACTTAGAAACCCGTTTGATACCAGCCAACTCGCTTAGTATAGGGGAGATAGCAGGCAACCTGATTAACTTGTGGCCTATTTCTTTCTCTCTTTCTCTCTCTCTCTCTCTCTCAAACTCTTGCTCACTTGGGGTGTGTGTGTGTGTCCCTCTCTCTCTCTCTGTGCAGAATATGACAGCAGTGCTTCCTGCCGTTACAAAGTGGAACTGAGCTATGAAAACTTCTTGACTTCGGGCCCGAACTCCCACCCTCCACCGATCGCAGACGATGAAAGTGATGACGATGAAGATGACGATGTCCCACGGGTGAGCGCCCCGACGGCTCTCTCCGAACGAATCAATGCTGAGGGGTTAGTGTTGATTTGCACAAAGGCACCATAAATAAATCTGACCGTTTCTTCCCGTTTCTGCCTCAGGAGGATCACTACGCACTTCTGGTTAAAGCCTGGGAAACCAAAGTCTTCCCTACAATTCGCAGAAGGTTCCGCAATGAAGCCGAACGGAAGTCTGGACTGGACCAGATCAAAGGAGCACTGCAGTTGGGTACGTTACCAGTGAATTTGAGACGGAAGGCAACTGTGGGAGGGGGTTGTTCCATTGAACATTCAGATGTTCCTAAAGGTCACAGAGCGAGGTCTCTACGCAGACTGCATCCGTCATCCCTCTTACCAGTGTATTAGTATTTAAAACTGGTCAGCAACCTTCTAATTCAGCCCCCAGAGTGGATAAACAGCCCCTAGTGCGATTAGCTTGTAATGATGATTGAAGTCTGTTTGAATTAAAAAGAAGGTTCCTGCCCCCCTCCCCCCCCAGGCAGCAGTGTCAAGATCTTCAAAACGTCCTCCAACGTGAAGGGCAGTCTCTTTATAAATGTAAATTTATATTGTATCGTGTTCAAGAGTGGCATTGCAGTCATCAACAGTGTCCTGAGCTGTGTTGTTTATCTATTCGCAGGTATGGTGGATATAGCACGGCAGACAGTGGAGTTCCTGTATGAAGAGAATGGTGGTATACCCAGAGACCTATACCTTCCCACCATTGAGGACATCAAAGACGAGGCCAATAAATTCACCACAGATAAAGTCCGCAAAGGTGAGAGTTCCCTGCAGTATCCTGTAGTTGATTCCTTCATATTTCTTCTGCTGGAAGATCATTTGTCTTTAAATTCAGCTGCGGTTTCGGTAAGGCCTGTGTAATTTGTAGTCAAACTCGGCAGCCAATTTATAATAACCCTTGCATTTGATATAGCGCTTTTCACATCTTCTAGACGTCTCAAAGGGCTTCACAGAATATACTGTAAAGTGAATTAACTGTATATTGGTGGGCGAAATGCGCAATCCAATTAAACACAGCAGAGTCCCACAAACAGTCGTGGATTGAGTGACCACATTTTTTTTATTTTGAAAGGATTATTACCCCCGGAAAGCAATCCGCCAATTGACTAACACCCAGGTTCCTACTTACTGCTAGGTAATCAGAGGCGTGTGGAGTAAGGAAACTTGCCCAACGTTTCGCCCTGCCGGGAATCAAACCCAGATCTCTCGCTTGCGAAGCGAGTGCTCTAACCACTGAGTTACAGGACTCCATGAATGATAGTTATTGACACCAATATCACTGCTCCCCCACCTTTATCATTCTGTCTCCCGCAGGCCTGACTGTGGTAATCCGATACCCAGACACTAACAATCTCAACAGCAGCACAGGTGGCACTGCATTACCCAAGTTTGCCATCCGAGGAATGTTGAAGACCTTTGGTTTGAACGGAGTTGTTCTTGATGTGGATTCGGTAGGTGAATAAATACTATTTTGTTTTATCTGCCTTTCTCTCCTCCGTGTCACAGATCTTTGACACCAAAAGGGTTTAGAGATGATAAGAGTCTCTCCCTCAATTTCTCAGCTTGCGAGGAATTCAGTCTCCTTCAATAATATTCCTTGTATTTAATACAGCGCCTTATCATGTCAGGAGGATGTCTCAAAGTATTGAACTGTAGTGACTATATTTTGTCAGCAAAACAGGCAGCCAACTTGCACAAAGCAATTTATCGTAAACAGTTGTGAAATGAATGACCAATTTTATTTGGGATATTATTGGCCTGGACACTGGGAAACTCCCTTCACTGTTCAAACAATGCCATCTGTAGGATCTCAGTTTATGATTTCTCATCCGAAGGACAGTACCTCCAACAATGCAGCACACCCCGCCTTCCCCCCCCCCCCCACCCCAGCACTGCATTGGAGGGTCAGCTCAGACTGTACTTTCCCAGCGTGGGATTTGAACCCATAACCTTCTAACTCTGACTGAGCCAGGCTGACATCCTTTGAGAAGTTTGTGGAAGAGCTAAGAACAAACAAACGTTGCATCCAAATGCAATCCAAGTGCATTGCCGCTCTAAAGTCCCTGTCGTGTTGCCTGTCAGGTCAACGAGTTGGTTCAGGTGGAGACCTATTTGCGGAGCGAGGGTGTCCTGGTCCGTTACTGGTACCCGATCGACATGCTGGAGAGGCCGCCCACAGGCTACCGCAGGACGGCTGCTTACGGACTCGTCACCTTGGACAACACCAACATCCAGATCCACAGGCAGGTTTCAGCAACATTTTCCCTCTTGGGTAAAATAGCCTTAAAACTGCACCGAACCCGCTACTCCTCACAATGTCGCTTTTAGAAATCGACTACTCTTTGTCCCCCCCTCCAGTGAAATCGAGTAAGGGGGTGGGTTCCAAGAAGGACAGAAATACTCTTCGATTCCACTGTCAAATGCCTTGTATTTTGAAAGCTGCCCCTTGCTGAGTTTCTGCTTTGATCACCCTTGATATTGGTGTTTTTTTGCTCGTGCCTTAGAGAGCTCCTGCGGTGTGAGGCGGCTCTGGCCAGGCTGTACTGCCGCATGGCGCTGCTGAACATCTTCGCCCCCAAGGCTCCGCACACCTTCACCCGTCTCTTCCACATCCCGGCCGTGCGGGACATCACACTCGAGCACCTGCAGCTCTGTCAAACCAGCTGCTGGCACCACCGCTCTCAGGTCAGTAACTTCCAGGACACTGAAGCTCAGTTACGTTTGTCTGTTCTGTTGTTTGGGATGTTCATCTTCCAAAGTACATAGCGTTGAAGATCAGTCAGCAATAGAGAGAAGTGTGGTGACCTTTAGGCAGACACAACAACCATTCACGCACATGTGTGAGAGCTCACCTCAAAACGCTTTACAGTCCAGTGACTGTAATTGTAGACAAAAGAAACATGCTTTATATATCTTCTCTTCCAGATGGAACCATCAGCTCCTGTTCAATTCTCCTGGCCCAGTCCCTCCAGCACTGTAACCAAGGACAGAACTGCTCTCCCACTGATCTCTTCTACCAGGGCAACTCCAAGCCTATCAGGGAATGGCTCACCGTGGCCATAACACGGGCCTTACACCAGGGGGAGGACAGCTTATTGGAGTTAACTAAGCAGATCTGCTCTTTTCTGCAGGCGAGTATTTCACAATTTTCCCAAAGCCCCCCTTTAACCTGCCACTCGTATTAAAGCCTCTCAAGCTGCACGGTGAAGCTTAGAGAATGAGCAAAGGGCTTTCTCTGCTTCCTGACTTCCTGATTGTCCAGACTGCAGGTGTTTCTGGGTCACGCTCATATACCATCTGTGTGACATTCAGCAGCTGCCAGGCTCACAATAGGTTAATGAAGCCACCAAGACCTCTACATCAACCTGTTTCACCTCATCATTGGGGTCAATAAGTCGAATTTTTCATCTTCAGTGCAAAGTTAGTGCTGTGAAATGTAATAGGTGGAGCACACTGAGGAAAACAAAAAGAGGCTTTTTTTTCCCCTAGCGCCTTATTGTGCCTTATCACATCAAAACACATTTCACAAAGTAACGCAGGCAATACTGAAGGCCTTGTTTGTTTCTCCTTGTTATAAAGCTGTTACCTATAATCGCACAGTCACAATGTGCTGTAAGAATGGGCAGCCTTCAGCACGAGTCGACTCGTGCAAAATATTGGACACGTAAGCAAAAGGGAATTTGATATGTACTTGAAAAAGAAACATTTGCAGGGCTATGGGGTAAGAGCGAGGCAGTGGGGCTAGTTGGTAGCTCTTTCAAGGAGCTGTCACAGACACGATGGGCCGAATGGCCTCCTGTGCTGTAAGATTCTGTGGATGGTTCACACTGGCTTTGCTGGTTGTCTTGCAGAATGCCCCGGAGCAGTTCCCATCTGAAGAGTTCCCAGTGACTGAGTCCAAAGTCAGCATGGACGTGCATTTCCCCGGGGCTGCCTTTGTCATGCTGTCCTGCAAGGAAAGTCCAACAGGATTTCGGAAAGAGTAAGCAGGACTGAAATGTACTGAACAACAACAATTGCATTAATATCGCGCTTTTCACGTCGGGAGGACGTCCCAAGGCAGACAGTCGAGGGTTTACAACCGAGTTGGAGGTTGGATTTGGAAGGGGTGGGGGGGCAAAGGGGGTGGGAAAGATGACCGAAGGTGCGGTTAAAGGGGAAGGTTTTGAGCCGGAACTTGAAGGAGGCAAGGGAAGCGGCAAAGCAAAGGGACTCCGGGATGCAGTTCCAGAGAGTGGGGGCAGAAAGGCTGAACGTGCACTTGACGCTGTGTGTAGTGTATATGTGACGGACCCTGTACAGAAGATTTTAGCACTTAGGGAATTACTGTCAAATTATGTTGTAGTTAAATCATTTTGTAAGCAAGGTCTCGCATGCATGAAGTGAATAACCAGTTCATCTTGAGGCTTGTAGACCAAGGAAATGGGTATCATGGCAACCAGGCAGACAGGACCTCAGTTTCTCCTCTCAACCTCTGACAATGCAGTGCCTCCTTGTACACACGTTGGAGTATCCTAAACTGAGCTCAACACCTGTTTAAAGCCTATCCGAGAGGCGAGTGTGTTAGCTACGCGCAGTAAATATTTTTCAGTGTTATTGAACGAGTGGACTAAGATGTACAAAAAATAATCTTTTTCTTCTACATTGCTTAGTTCCTCTCTGTACAAGGCTCCCTGGGTTAGAGTGCTGGTCTACGGATTGGGTCACAAAGTGCGGAGAAACGGACAGCTCAACCTCACGGAAGCAGTGTGTTATCCAAAAGATGCCTCGCCAACCAACACGGGACTGACACCTCCCCCAACCACAAACCAGTACCCCACCGTGGCTATACCTACTGATAAGCTACATGTCAAACTAGGTACGTTTGATATCGCGATCGTCTCTTGTTGGTTCGACTGTTCACTCTTGCGATGAACGCTCTCCTATAGAATCAGTATTTTCTTACTTAAAAAAATCTTTGAGTTTTAGATTTAACCTTGAAATCATTTTAATCTCCTTTGGTGTCGGTTACTGTACCGCTAACATTAATCCTTGAAATTTAATATTGCACCATTCATAATGTAACTGCATGAGGTAGATAGATATTGACATACACGAGGTTTAAGAGCACAGGAAAATGTTAGCGCTCTAACAGTGACCTGCCACGCTCCCTATCATTATTCAGTCCTTCAGCGGTGCAGGTACCTGTGTTCCCAGTTGGTGTCTTGTGACCCTTCCTACATGATCTCGCCCTCACTATTCACAATTCACCCCCCTGCTCAATACCCCACTATATTGTCTGCAACTGCCTGGCCAGCCATGTGGTCTAGATCTCAGGCCTCTGTTTCCTGACCCTCTCAGATACATTCCTCACTGCTAGTTCTCAGAGTCTGTTACAATACTTCGATTACTCCCAATAATTGTGGGCATTCCTCACACAAAATGTACAGTCAATTCGCTTTACAGTGTATTCTGTGAAGCTCTTTGAGACGTCTCAAAGTCGTGATAAGGCACTGTATAAAATGCAAGGATTATTATGATCAGACCCATCAAACTTCAATTGCTTCTGCTTCCCGTAGAGAGCCCTCAGCCTCTGTTTGCTAGAGTTCACTGCCTCACTGTTTACTTCAGTAAAGTATTTTATTCTGGTTGTAAATTTGCTTTTACCAGGCGTCTCTCCTCCTCCCGGCGCGGTGCTGGTGCTAAACTCACTACCTCTTGAGTTTCCGCTTGCCATGGCCTTCACCGAGCAGTTGTTAGCCTGGAAACTGGGAGAAAACGACGGGAGGTCAGAGGACGAGCTGGACACTATCCCAGGATCAGTCCTCCTGCAAGTGGTCGAGCTGTTCGGTAAGAATCCCCCCAAGGAACTGCGTTTCCGTGGAAAAGATCTTTCAGAACGAGCTATTTATTTCTTAATAATTCAAGTAAATGTTGCGATCCCAAAAAATTGAGAACGTTTTCAAGACTGAGGTGGATAGATGTTTGTTAAGTAAAGGTATTGAGGGATATGGGGCAAAGGCGAGTAAATGGAGTTGAGGTATAGATCAGCCATGATCTAAGAATGGCGGAACAGGCTTGGGGGGCTGAATGGTCTCCTCCTGTACATAGGTCAGAATACACTTTTAACCCACTGTTTGTTCGTATCTCCCCCTCCTTCCATTCAAAGCTAATCTCCTGTGGACGACAGATATGGCCCCCTGCATCAAAGAGATGATTTTCCACCTGGTGGCTGAAGTGTTACGAAAGATCCATCACCTGGAGCAGAGAAAGAATCCCTCTGGCTTGTCCTCGTCCATCGCCATCCAGTTGAATCCATGCCTGGCCGTGCTGATGGCAATCCAGTCGGAGCTCCGCAAACTCTACGACGAAGAGACGCAGAACTGGGTGACCGGGAACGCCGGGAACAGCTCCGGCATCGGGATCGGAGTGACCGACCAGGGCCGCTTCTCCACCTACTTCCACGCCCTGATGGAGATCTGCCTGGCAGTGGCCGAGGTCACGCTGCCCATCAACATGAGCTCGGCCGTCAACGTCATGACGTCCACCAGCGCCCCGAGCCTGAGCGACTCCTCCTCGTCGTCCTCCTCCTCGCCGGGGCAGACCCCGCAGAGCCCCAGCCTGCTCTCCAAGAGGAAGAAAGTGAAAATGAAACGGGAGAAGACCTCAGCCACCAGCAAGCGGCCGTCCGCCGCCTCGCGGGGCAGCGAGAGCGACACCGGCATCCTGAACATCAGTGGGAGCAAGCCCGAGGACATGCTATGGTTCCACCGGGCGCTGACCTTGCTCATGATCCTCCGCCACCTGACCAGCAAGGATCCCCAGGGGCTGGGCGTCACCAACGATGCCGTGTCGGACGCCTGCCAGACGCTAGTGGGCACCACCTCTCACAACAGGCTGTTGGTCATCTCCGGCATCCCCACGCACCTCGAGGAGTGCGTGGTGAGGAACGCCATCCGCAGGGCTTGCAGCGCCCACGGGGGAGTCTTCAAGGAGGAGATTTACATCCCGCTGCAGGAGGACGACCCCAAGCGGCTGAAGGCGAAGGCGGACGGGACAGAGGGCAAGCCAGAGCTGCTGGAGAAGCCGACCGCGGTCGGCAGCCTGGACAGCATGGAGGTCAGCAGCGGCAGCAGCGTGACGCCAGCCATGAGCATGAGTGCCTCGGCCTCCACCAGCCAGACCTCCATCTGCAGCTCACAGGGCGTGTCCAGGACCACCAGTGACATCTCTGTCGATCAGTTCCAAGCGAGCCAGGAACTGGTGGTACCCCTCGACCCCCACGTGGTGTCCAGTCAGGAGAGTCTGGACCTGTCCTTCTGCAGCACGGGGAGCCTGGGGAGCCTGGGAAGTCTGGGCGAGCAGATGGACAGTGCAGATTCTGCTTCCGTCTCGGACGTGGGATCCATGTACACTGTCACCTCGCTGGACAACAACCCGCTCGTCACCAGGCCCATCAAAGGTTACGCTATAGTGGAGGTAAGCACCAGGCTTCGAACTCTTCGAGAGCCCAAGACCACGATGATGATGATAATGATGATAATAATAATCCTTGCATTTGATATAGCGGCATATCATGCCTTCGGCCCAATCCCCCACTCTTTCCCCATACTAAGGCTTGTAAAAAATGAATCTTTTTCGAGTACCGATCAAATTCCCTTTTGAAGGCTATTATTGAATCTGCTTCCACCAGCCTTTCAGGCCGTGTGCGTTCCAGCTAACCTCTTTTGGTCACAAGAATGTAACATTGGTTTCTTGATGGTAGGTGAGATCCCGGGCGAAGATCGAGAAGATCCGGGCCAGTCTGTTCAACAGCAGCGACTTGATCGGGCTGTCAAACCTGGATGGTGAGGACGAACTGATGGAGATGTCGACAGAGGAGATTCTGACCGTCTCGTCTGTCAATCAGAGCCTGTTCGACACCCAGGGCAGTTCAGCACTGGAGGATTATTTCACTGAGAAGCTCATAAAAGGTAAGTCAGAATTCGGGAAGCTCCCCATTTACCACCCCCATCAGAGGAGCTAAACTGGCTCCGAGGAGACTTGTTTTGCAACGAAATGTTGGGATCGAGCTGACCCTCTTTGGCGGTCTCGGTAGTCCAGTCCTGAGCCAGGCGGATCCGAGGATTCCAGGGCACTGCTGATGACAGCACAGACTTATCAGTAGGACCTGGAAGGGCAAACCAGTCACTGGGGGCAGGGACTCTTCCCACACAGCTCCCGTGAACCCTGCAAGCCAAACCCTTAATGGGTAGAGTGGTCCTAGCTGGACAAGCAGCGGGAAAGCTTGCCAGGCAGTGCTAGCAATGTCAAGCTATGCAGTTTTAGCTGGTTAGACTCCAGTAGTAAGTGAAAACACGCTGGGGTCCCCAAGCCTTGGCTCTTGCCAACCTGCGCCTAATACTTTCCAGAATTAGATAAGCTTGAAGCTTTGCTCCAGGGAAAGAGTGCACATTCCATTCCAACACAACTCTGGAATTTCCATGTATAGGGGATGCACGGAACTCTGTTTGGGTTGAATACTCTTAAGCGTGGGGCTGGAGAAAGGGGATCCCGAAAAGTGTGTCAAGGAGTGAATGCACCAGTGTCTACTGTTGCACACAGGTGATAAGATTGTTCCTGGAGCCCGGGATGTGCTGGCGGAGATCTTCAAGAGTTGTGCACACTCTGAGCAGATGCTCAGCCTCGCCCCAGCCAAACCCATCAAAGTCGCAGACATTTTCCTCAGTAAAGAGCAAATCAACTCCCAGACAACAGGCAACTTACTGCAGATATTCTTCACCAACGTCCGTCCGCCCAAAAAGGTCCTCGAAGATCAGCTCACACAGGTGGGTGGGTTTGTGAGATCACATTTTACTCTTTTTTTAAAAAAAAATGTTTTTCCTTCAAACGCACCAAGACCCTGCCCTGTATGAAGGTGCTATATAAATGCAAGTTGTTGTCGATGCCATTTTCATCAGTTATTATTCATTTACAATCAAAAATAACTTTTTGTTCTTTTTGATTGTGTGCTTTGTACAGTCACTAACGTTAAGCATTTTCTCTCGTTAAACGGTAAGATACTGAGGAAGTACGGTGTCCCGAAGCCGAAATTTGACAAGAGCAAATACAGTAAGACGGGCAAGGAGCAGCACCCTGGGAAAGTAGTGAGCACAAAGAGGCCAATGGGCAAACCTCCAGCCAAAGACAGGTCCGTGCTGAACAGCGTCAGGTTCGTTGTGTGTATTGGGTCCAACCCGCTCGATTCACGAGTTCTCATGAACCCTGAATTTGGAGGTCATCATAACAACACTGTCATTATGACTGTCTGTCTGTCTGTGACATGAGTATACATTGCATCAATCGGGCAGTTCATAGAGGGTCCCCAAGCTTGGCTCTTGCCAACCTGTACCTAATGCAATCTGGAGTAAGATAAGCAGGGTCATCCCTTCAGGGAGAGGATTTCTATTCCTTTCTAGACACGGGGAAATTGCCATGTGGAGGTGGCATATGCATGTGCAGCACCCAGTCTGGTTAGGAAACTCTTAAGCGTGATGGCAGGTTTCCTCAGACACCCAGTGCACCAAAAACAAATTATGGTTACCTCTAACTAGGTGCTAGAGGTTCTGTTGCACCCACAAAATATACTTTACTTTCACTTTACAGTGTATTCTGTGAAGTGCTTTGAGCTTCCAGTCCAGGTTTGGGATCAAACTTGAGGCCTTTGTGGTCTGTATTTCTCAGTCTCGCACTTCCCGGTGCATTTACTCACTAAGCCATCGTGTTATCGAGGCTTCCTACCCAATGATATCTGGTGACGTGTTAGAGTGATCCATTGGTGCTGAGTTGCCTTTGTGTTGGTGACAGAACTGCCCTGAGTGAGAAGAAGCCGATTGTGAAAGCCAAGTCACCCGAGAAATGTGGCAAACCCGAGGACAAGGATCCCGAGAAATCACCGGCAAAGAAACTCGAAGGTGGGTCCCGGCTGCTCTCCAGTCCCTCTTGTGTATGTTCAGCATCAAAACTGCGAGGTTGACAGTGCCTCCGCCTGCAGCTTTAGCTGGGTTTATTGTGCATTCACCTCCTCAATTTAAAGAAGAATCGTACTGCAGAACCTCGGGAATCAGGATAATTCATTATTCAGGCCAACTTTTCCTTGTCTTTCCCCCCCACCCCCCCCATTTGAAACTGATGATGACCAAAATTCCCAACATCACAAATACAGCCAAACTAAGTCAGGTCTGTTGACTGCTCTTAATAGCTGAACAATGCCTTGGATTACTGCAGAGCTGCTTGGCTTCCTTGGAGACCCGTCTTACTTCAAGTTGCTTATTTTGCCCAACATGAAAGAGTGAGGGCTGAGAGGGCAACTGCGATTTGAACCTAATACCTTTTGCTCCCAAGACTGCAGCTAGACAGCAAAATGTATGTAACGTGGGCTTTCCTTTACTAATGCTGTGGTTCTTTATCTTTCCATTAGCACCAGAGGAGAAGTATCTGACACTGGATGGATTCCAGAGGTTTGTTGTGGATCGAACAAAACAGGACATCCGGAGTGTGTGGCGGGCAATTCTTGCTTGTGGTTATGACCTGCACTTTGAAAGGTCAGCAGAATGGTTTAGATTCAAACAGTTAATGGGCGACATTGACTGTTGGGCTGTACTCCACCTGGATTTTCACATGTCATTCTACTGTTTGTAACAATGCTGTGATCTACTTGTTGGCTCTTGAGACACTATCCTGCGTGAAGGGCGTTATATTGCGAGTTGTGGTTGGCTGCTTTCAGCGATCTCTCCCTCTCTTGCTCTCTGCTCCAGGTGTGCCTGTGTTGACACCAGACACGCTCAGAGATCCTGCAAAAAGTGGACCCTGGAGATGGATGTGGCCCTTGTACAATACATTAACCGCCTCTGCCGCCATCTTGCCATCACCCCAGGCCGACTCCATCCTCATGAAGTCTATATCGACCCGGCTGATACCCTTGATCCCCGAGTCGCCTGTCTGCTGAGTAAGTCACAATAATAGTTTGTAGACCTACGATGCAATGGGTTGATTCTCTGTTGTGTGGGTTCCATTCATTCCGATGTTCTCTTCCTAGATGTTCCAATCGAAAGCCTTCGGCTCCGCTTTGCACTGCTTCAGTCCTTAAACAACACCTTAGAGACGTTCTTCCTGCCACTGGTGGAGCTCAGACTGACGGACACCTACATGGGCAGCATCGCTTCCCTACTGCGACAGGCTAAAGGTTAGCGATCAGACCCCACTTGAATTGAATTGTAGTCTTGTTCTCAGGTGGCATTGCAGGTAACGTAATAGACATGGTGGTCCTCCCAAGTTTAGGATGAAGGTCTGTTGGGGAAATGTTATGATCCTCTAGTTGCGCGTGAAATGTATTGGATTAATCAACTATGTGTGACATGCCATCATGTTAAGCACTGCGCTCAGCTTAACGTCTTGGCCAGGGTCCAGGCAAACCTCACGCTGAGGTATGAAGCGTCTGTGAAAGGGATACAGGAAGGCAGCCTAGAAAAACTGGCTATTTCAGCTCATTAATGTCCCTGATTGTTCACCTGCTCTCTGCCTTCCGTTTAGGATTAGTTTTTTACGACACGAAAGTGGCCGTGATGAACCGGGTACTGAATGCCACAGTGCAGAGGACGGCAGACCACGCCGCGCCTGAAATAACCCTGGATCCTCTGGAGATCGTGGGAGGTAAGAGGAGTGAGCCTGTGATTCCTGAGAAGAGTTTGGGTTTGAAGGATGAACATGGATCGAGTCAGCACGTTATCCCGTGATTGTAAGCTTCCTGCAACGTAATGTTTTTGTGTTAATTTGCAGGAGAAATCCGTAACTCAGAGAACACCTACTTGTGCCAGGCAACTCGGCAGTTGGCATTGGTGCCTTCATCCCAACTCTGTGTCAAGTTGGCCAGTGGTGGGGATCCCACCTACGCATTTAATATCCGCTTCACTGGGGAAGAGGTACACGGAACAAGTAAGGACATAGAAAGGCATCATCTGCTGCTGAGCTGGGAGGAACAATACTGGGTGAACTGATCAGTCAATTCCATTTAGAAGCCTGGTCTATTTCCCTACAGACCACAAATTATTATTTTATATTATTATAAAGTACTGCCTTGATGAATGGGTTGGACCCTTGACGTAGAAGATTCTTTGATCTTTATATAGCTCACAGCAATCCTGTGTCTCCTACTCGCACTCTGAGCTAGTGCAGAGCACATGATGTTTGTCAATGGAAAGAGTGAGCTTCAAGGGCCAATTATTTTTTTCTTTCTGTTTCTACCTTGTCATTCTGATTGTGTGTCTTGTCTGTTCTGTACATCTCTTGACGGCTTCTCACTATGTCTGCTGTTTGGATTCCAGGTGGTTCCTTCAGACACTTCCTGTGGCAAGTGTGTAAGGAGTTACAGAGCTCAACACTATCTCTCCTCGTGCCTTGTCCGAGCTCTGCAGCTAATCGAAACAAGGTAATTCCTGCAGCTGCGGTCACGTAACTCAAGGTGGGGAAACCTGGCAAATTATTCCTTCTTTGTAGGTGACTTTTACACCTCTTAATTATCCAAACACATCAGCTACACCCCAGACCCTCTGTTTTCAGCCCTGGTCAAACGGCAACTGAGCACGATTGACTGAGGATTCCTCTCTTGCGTTTTCTGACTGGCAAACATCTGCCGTTTGTTTAGGGCAAGCACATCCTGAAACCCGGACACATTACGTACGCGGAGGAGCAGTTGCTGCACTTCTTCGGGCAGTTGTTGGGGATTGCGATCCGCGCGGATCTCCCACTCCCCCTGGATTTGCTCTCCACGTTTTGGAAAACGCTCGTAAATGAAGAGTTGGATCCAGACACAGACCTGCAGGAAGTGGACATTCTGACCTACAACTATGTCAGGAAGTTTGAGACTGTAAGTTGTTCAGTGTTTGGCGTGAGTTCTCCCTGAGGGCTATGATAACAGTGCCTTATCATTTGATAATAGCGCCTTATCACGTCTTTGAGGCATCTCAAAGTGTCTCACGGAATACACTGTAAAGTGAGTTGGCTGTATATTCTGTGGGCGGGATTTTTGAAGGGGGGTAATAACCCCTTCAAAAAAATAATAATAATTTGGTCACTCAATCCATGATTATTTGTGGGACGCTGCTGTGCACAATTGGCTGCCGAGTTTCACCCATAACATACAGTCAATTCACTTCACAGTATAGCCTGTGAAGCGCTTTGAGATGTCTCGACAACGTAATAAGGTGCTACATCAAATGCAAGGATTGTTATTGTATTATTAGTGTTGCTCCACTGACAGCATTGTGGGTGCGGCTCTATCTGCTGCATTCAGGGTTCTCTGGTTCTTGTGTTTCCAGGTTAACGATGAGACTGAGCTGGAGGCGTTGTGTGCTGAAGTGACCTCACAGCACCTGAGCACAGAGAGTCCAGACTCCCCCAGCAAACCCTGCTGTAAATTTACCTACGTCACCATGACCAGCGAGGAGGTGGAGCTGTGCCCTGGAGGCAGGGATATCACTGTGGTGTGAGTGAACCTGAGATGGTCTGGCGTCTTGAGAGGATGTAGAGGATCGCGGAAACTGAGGGGCTGTGGTGTCTCTGATCACATTTTATTTATTTTTGTTTATTAGGTTCCACAGATTAGGTTGGGAACAGTTGGCCTTTGTCACTGAGTTGGGGAATGGGAGCATCTGGGCCAGGATTCCTTTTGGTCACAATCCGTTATCCGCAGCTTAACATTGAGCAAGGACAGGGGAAGGGAAAGGTTGTCTTGTGATGTAGTCAATAGTGGAAGAGTGCATTGACTCGTTGTCCAACTCTCCAATTGGAAGAGCATTTGGGGACAGTGGTGTAGTAACTAGCTGTGGAACTAGTGGCTGAAGAAATGGCAGACAAAGTCTGGTGTGGAAAACGACTTGTTTCTTAAGCTGATCCAATCATGTTTGGCACCTTTTTCTTGTGGTATCTTTAAGCTGATTGCTCTGGATGTGCTTGTTTTACAGATGGGAGAACAAGGAAGCCTATGCATGTGCAATCCAGAACCTGAGGATGCAGGAAATCGAGAGCAAGGACTGTATGACAGCAGTGAGAGCAGGACTCGGCTCCATTATCCCCTTACAGCTCCTGACAATCCTGACCCCCCTGGAGATGGAGCTGAGGACAAGTGGGCTGCCCTACATCAACCTGGAGTTTCTCAAGGTAACCCTTCCTGCCCTCAGCATTGGCCCCTGTAACATGCCCAACACTCAGAATAGAAGGAACTTTCCTGGTGGGGGTGGGGGCGGGGGGGGGTAAGCAGAGTCTCCTTCAAGCTGAACTGGCTCTAAGGTAACATGTTTGGCAAGGAATGTCAGGATTGACCCACCCTCTGTGGCAGTCTCTAGTCCGGATCCTGAGCCAGGTGGGTTGGAGGTATTCCAGGGCACTGCTGATGACAGCCCATCCTGGCCATGGGCCAAGCTCTTCCCAGTCCTGATGTAGGGTTTGAACCCACACCTTTCTAACTTGGAGGCGAGAGTGCGACCACTGAGCCAGGCTGACACAAAAAGCTGAGGTGGGGCTTGGTTACGAGCCGTGAGGTATTTACAGCTGCAACGTTGAGGAACTGTGATCACAGCCGTGCGTTTGTGCCCATACCCCTCCCCACCCTCGCAGGCGCACACCATGTATCAGGTGGGACTGATGGAGACGGACCAGCACATCGAGTTCTTCTGGACGGCACTGGAAACCTTCACCCAGGAGGAGCTCTGCAAGTTCATCAAGTTCGCCTGCAACCAGGAGCGCATCCCGTTCACCTGCCCCTGCAAAGACGGAGGCCCTGACACGGCCCACGTTCCTCCCTATCCCATGAAGATCGCACCTCCCGATGGGGCTGCAGGTAACCTGGGCGGGGCTCACACACATTCTGGTCGGCGTGTTTGGGGTTAATTAACGTCACAGAAAGCAGACTTGCGCATTCCCTTCATTTCTTTCTCCAGGTTCTGTTTGGTTTGGGTCTTGTGTACACTTAATCTCTTTAGATAGTTTGAGCCAGGCCCTTGGTGTAAATGGGGGGGGAAAAGATTCGAACTGCCCTTTAATTCCTTTGTGGTTATCTTAAATATGTGTCTTCTGATTCCTCAGCTGCAATTCAACCTTAATAATAATAATAATCTTTGCATTTGATATAGCAGCTTATTACGTTGTTAAGGCATCTCAAAGCTCTTCACAGAATATATTTTAGAAGCAGAGTGACTGTGTATTTTGTGGGCAAAACGCGGCAGCCAGTTGCGCACAGCAGCGTCCCACAAACAGTCGTAGATTGAATGACCAAATTATTATTTTTAATGTTTCTCTCCCCACTCCCTCCGGTGTAGGTTCTCCAGATTCCCGCTACGTCCGGGTGGAAACCTGCATGTTTATGATCAAACTCCCTCAGTATTCCTCACTCGACATCATGCTGGAGAAGCTCCGCTACGCCATCCACTACCGGGAGGACCCCCTGAGCGGCTGAACCCGAGCGTGCCCACCACGCCGAATCCAGATCCGTTCAGAACAAGCGCCGATATCCAAACACCTGCTTTGGGGAAGGGGGAGGATGGAGGAGGCGGGGGGTGGGTGGAAGAGGGATAAAAAGGACTTGCGGTGGAAGTGCGGGTGGAATCCGAACTCCGGTCAGGAGCAAAAAAAGGGTTCGTTCCTGAACCCTGTAACTAGAAAGCTGCTTCCGCGCTGGTGCACACCTTTTTGTAAATTTCCATTCCTGTGAATGGACTTGGAAACTGGTTGAATTGTGTTGCTGTCTTGTCGAGCAGCTATCTCAAGATCACATGGTCGGTCGGTCGGTTGTCTGGCTAGAACAGTGTACTTTGCTTTCAAAACACTTTACTCGTGTTTAGGGGGATATAGTTCATTGTAAAACGTGACTGTTTTATATACTCTGTGGTCCTAACTCTAGAGGGAGCAGCAGTTTTATCAAGTCTTCAACTAGAGGAGAGATCACTCGCTTTTTATTCTCTCTCTCTCTCTCTCTCTCTCGTGCGTGCTCACTCCCCGGTTAAAGTTAAACCTCTGCCCTGATTAATGCACATACATGCACCTGCTCGCACACCCTTTCGGCATCTGCACTGCGCCCACGGAATCTAAATGCTCCAGAGTTAATGTGTTCCCATTGGGAAGGGTCTGCTCTGAGGTGGGTTTGTGTGACTCATGCCCCTCTCATCCCCACTCCTCTTCCCCCCCCTCCCCCCCACCAGGGGGGGAAATGAGCTCTTCAGAAGCCAGCCCAGACAACAGGAGCCACTTCCTCAGTTTCACCTCTGGTAACAAAAGCATTACCACAGAAGTTTATCAGAGTGAGCTGTGCTGAATGGGAGTTAATCTTACCCAGCCCCTCTCTTCCTGTTCTGTTTACTGCTGAGTTTTGGTGATGGCCAGCAGTGTAAGCAGAAACTGGGAGTCCAGGCGTTGGAGCTGGGAGCAACATTTATTGGCTATCAAACAGTTACTGAGAGAACCTGTTTACAAGGGACCATAAATGAGCAGGACATGGTGAAAGCTGAGAGTTGGGACTCTTCATTTCAGTGATATTGTGAGACCGTTATCTAGAGAAACGGTGTGTGTTTGGGTGCCACTCGCTGGTTCTGCTCACTGACTCTGTGTATTCTCGCCCTTTCCATTGTCCTTACGGGTCTCTCTCTCCTTTCTTATCCCATCTCTGTCCACCACACCCAGTTCCACACCTAACAAACTGGGACACTGTCCCAGCAGCCAATAATGCCCTGCTCCGCACCAGCAGAGTGTGAGTGAATGAGCTGGTCCCAGGGGAACCTTTCTAATCTGCCTTTCCAGCAAAGAGCTGCCCGCCTTCACATCCAGTGGCACGCCCTGACCCACGGGAGCCTTGCTGCCCTCAGAACTTTATACCAATGTTTTTATGGCTTTTGTTAATCTTACGACTGAAGTGCTGTGATTCGACTAGTTTCTCAAGTTCTTTATTATCACTATTTCTTCGCAGAATATCCTACTGCCCCATGTCTGACGGGAGGGTCGTGCCTTAGAATCGACGGCACCTTAGAATTGGGAGTAAAGTTTCTTTTTTTCCCTCCCTCCTAAACCCTCTTAAGATCTACCAGTGCCATAGGTTCAATAGAGCTTTGGATTCAAGCAAAGCTGGTAGTCATTCTTTACTGCATATCTTATACCCGGCCCATCGCTACATATCTTGTACACGGCTATCACAGTCTGAAAGGAAAAGGGGAACATAAGTAGGAATTTCCTGTCTTTAAACAGCAGTGATTCATTTATCACACATCTAATATCAATAGAACAAACTAAACTTTTTGGGGTGGAGATTATAATCCTATTAGTCTAAAACACTGTTGTGGAACTGGGGAAATCTGATGCAGAACTTGTGCACATTAGCAGAAAACCAGGGCTGAGAGTAGGGCACAAACTTCCCTTTTATACAAGGTGAGAGGAGCAGGAGTAATGCACTAAGTTCCTAATGCCAGGAATGGGATGTATCTCAACCTTTGCGGTGCAGGTTTGACATGGCGTGCACTCAGATCAGGAGGCCTGAGGGTCATGGAGCCTCCAGGAACATATTGTGCAAGTGTAAATTATCCTAGGGTGTAGAGTGCTTTCATTATTTTATTTTTTTTGCTGTGCAATTGTCAGGTGCTCTGCAAGTATACACGTGTGTGAAGGCCCTATTGTAATAACTGAGTGAATGAAGGTTTTGTGTAATTGTAGTTAAGTTATTTGGCACATAAAGAGCAGATTGAGCCACTGTCAGGATCCGTGCTGAAAGTTCATTTTATCAGGAACTAGCACAGTGTATATTGTGTACATATCCACCATCACCCATCCTTTATACTCCTACACAGTGCACACCGACCTCACGTAGGAGAAAGCGCTGGAGCTGAATTTGCTGTAAAATGGCCTTTATATTCACTGTGGGTTTATAAAGCGTGGTGAAACGGGAGCTCGCTTTAACCTCTGCTGTGGCTGACGTTCGCCTCCAATGAATCAGATCCATTAAAAGGGGGAATCAAACTCCAGCTGCTTGACTGCATTATACAGATTGGAAATTAATGTAGTGGCATCTGCAATCCCAAGGAGCATAATCGCACATTATACAATCCCCTGTTGTACTGCTATAGGGTCAATGACACACAAACCTGCGAATTGTGTGATTTTCAGATAAAATGCCGGTCATAAAACATGTCACTCCGATCAAACCATAATATCTGCTGCAACAGGATTGCCCTGGCACGTGAGCAACTTAAACCCCGTTGAAGCGGATTTCGTTTTCTCACATCCTCCAGTTGTGGAGTTTGCGGCTTTTTTTCCCCCAAAAAAACCCTCATATTTGATACAAAGTCCCTGCCTTTCTCCGCGGGGAGCCTGACACTAGCATGGATCCTGCTCTTTGTTTTTGCCTGGTTAGAGTGATGTGGTTGGTGCTGGCTGTGGTCATGTTAACCTGCTGCTACTACACGAGCTCCACTTTACTGAGAGCAAGCGCCCAGATATAAAAAAAAACTTTAAAAAAAAAGGACATATCAACATACAGGTGTTAATGTGCTCTGTACAGTTATTGATGTATATTTATTGCAATTATTTATGAATGCATCTTAAAAAAAGTCATCTGTACTGTTGATCTAGTCTGCATCGGTCCCTAAGGCAGTGATGTATGAATGGGAATTACATTCATATTAAAACAGTTGGACCAGATTCATTCTGAGGTTACTGCTCGTCTTTATTGGGGAGGGTGGGGGGGGGTGGGATACATGCATGATCCCCTCAGGACAAAATACCAAGTTTCCACTTAGTTAAATAGAATTGTTGAAGGGCGACACAAACCCCATAATAATGGCAATCACCGAATCCTGATTTGATTTAACGTCCAGACACTCCCTATAAACACGCCCTGGAAAATAGTTACTGCACTTTATATCTATAAAGCACTTTGAGATGATGGCTCAACAATGCGATGAGGTGCTTTCTGCCACTAAAACATACCAGAACATTGCATCACCTTTGAATGAATCTAACAGTGTCGAGAATGAATTATATTTTGCCCCATTGTTTCTTTGAAAGTAAAGCAGCGTTTGGACTGTTGAGAGTTCCTTTAATTGAGCACATTGTGCAACAGGAACAAGGGATTAATTTAAACCACTTTTTGCCCCTGAATGGAAAGTACCTTTACTGCTGTGTAATCGCTGTTGATTTATAAACCATAAAGTTAAACTAGTGACACTGGGAACTTCTAGATTGTGTAAATGTTTACAGAGGGAATTACCGATCCCCTGAATTGTGTTTTCATTTTCTATTGGTCAAAACCAGAAGTGAATAAAGAGAATTCACCTGCCATGTTTAATGGCTAATCCCGAGAATTCAGAGACCCTGTAACCCTGTGTACGTGTCAGCCCAGCAGTCAGGAGCCTCGGAGTCAGAGGTTGTGGGTTCAAGCTCCAGTTTTTAATCTATTTTTGTTGCTAACCCCATCTTGAATTTACTGCAGTTGGAATCAAGGCATCCGACAGACAATCGTCACATTATTTCTGCACATGTTGGCATCAGACTATTCAGCAAAATCCAGACCAGTCAAAATAAGGTACTTTCACAAATGAATTTACAATTACTGTATGTCTTAACCTCCTTTATTACAGATTTTGTTGATACATTTACAGTTTTAAAATTAAAGATCTCACAGGTTGATAAAATCACAATCAGTTCACTATATGCTGGTGATAACCATGATGCCACGAGATATGTTTTTAGCTATTGAAAGGATACACTGTCCATCACCACCCTCCTGATCAGTCAGTCCACAGTATAAAAGCCTGCACTCACCCCAGCCTCTGCTGCCCTGTAGCTGAACACACTGGGCAGGAGTTTCAGCAATTTAAGATAGAAGGAAATTGAAACAAATAAGATGAAGGATGGGCTGAAGAGAGAATTTGTCATATGAAAGATGTAAATTCTGCACTGATAGATCACTATATTAAAACTAGGTTAACTACACCCTTGGCAGTTCTCTAATTACCATTGAAACCCTAAGCTATATCTCATCTCACCTCCCATCCTCAAGAAACAGTAAAATTGTATAATTGCTACGACATCCATTCACACATTTCTGCCCCCCCTTTCCCCCCAAACACATACACATTCCCTACATTTACCTTTTAACAGACATTCCTCAAGTGGATACACATTACCACTGAAATGCTGACTATTTGGAGCTATCTTCTCCCCTCCACCCTCCCCCACCCCCCCTTAACACTGCACCAAACTCTCCCCACAAAGTTCCTCTGCTCTCCTGTTGGAAGCGAGAGGAATGTGGAGTCAAGAATCCAAAAGAAAAGGAATGAAAATCTTGAGAATGCAAGTGAGATGGCTATTGCAAACATATACCCCGGTCACATTACCCCCATTCATATAGTCCTGGGCTTTGCTTGTAGAGGTTATCATTCACCCAATACCTGTGTTAAGAACAGCCATAAATCATGTATAGACCAGCACCAATATACAAGTCAGTGGCTGGGAAACTTATTTCCAGATAGCAGCCAAGTGCAAAACCTCCTGATCTTGAACAGCAAAAGTCCCTTTTACCAGCTTAAAGCTGAGCCTGTGACCTGTAATGGAAACCACTGAACAGATTAAAAATTAAAGCGAAAAATACACATTATATTCTAAGATATGAGCAGACAAGCAGGAAGAGACAGCAGAATTAGGGATAAGCTTTACAGAACAGATCATAAACTCACCCAGGTCTAGCAGAAGCAGACCTAGATCAAACAAGTCCTGTACAGTTTAGCAAGCAAGTTTCTCAAGGATACTGTAGTTTGAAACGCTCCAACCGCAATGGAAAGAAAAATTATCTATTGTTGGAGGAAGTACAGATAGTTTTAAAATGTCCTAAAGCCTTTTTTCCTGGGTACACTCAGGAGCAGCAGTGGCTGAAGACTAACGCAAGCAAAACTATCAATTACAGAACTGCTAGATTTCCCATCAAGAGACAACTTTCTACGTCTAAAAAAAAGACATCTGTTCAGTCAACTCGTAACAAAACACCATCTCAGTCCCCGCCAAGAATGCAATGTGTGATCAGGAGACATTAAAAGGATGAGTAGTTTTAACAGGAGTTACTGCAACAGTAAGTCAAAAGGGAGACTTTCTAAACAGAAGAAAAAGGACAAATGATATTTATATTCAACATTGAAAGGAAGTTGTACAAAAAACATGCATGTGCTGTACCCAACAGCAGCCAACACTGTCTACGCCACAAAGTGAATATTGGTTACGCAAACAAATTTGCTATTTTTCCGAAAAGGAAATCATGCGTTTCTCAGTAAGACTTATTGAGCCAGGAGTCGCAAGGAGGTTCAGGAAAGAAGCTATAGACAGATTTGGTCCAGATTCTCCCTCCCTTTACTCGAATATTCTGCTCCCCTTTCCCAAATGGATGACTCACCCTCTCACAAAGCCATCCTGAGATTTGCTCTCGTCTCTGATTTTGAGAATCACTTAAACCACTTCTCCGAGCACCTTTACTAGTCCTTACCCCCAACCCCCAGCACACACACAGTTCTAGGCATAGTCATTTTCATCCGAGTGCAAATTGGACTTGATTAATTTCCAAACTGTTACTGGAATTAAATCATTGACCTGTATTTGACGCCCACCATCCCCGCCCCGGAGCTCAGTACAACTGTAAAATCAAGTGCTTTGAAGAAGTGGGCAGAAAAATTTCATCTTTTTAATGACTCATGTGGCAAGGCGACGAGAGAATTCGACAGACATGCAAACTTCTGTTATACATTTCCTTTTCACTTCAAAATGAGTTTTTTTTTTAAAAAAAAGAAACACAGACACTATCACCATGTACACCACACTCAGACAGACATTTTCTTTGCATAGAAAAAATGAACGTCCTGAGTTTTAGCGCTAAATATAATTTAGGAGTTGGACATCAATGCCAATAGCCGAGTGCAGCCTCGCTCCGTCACTCTTCCTCCTTCCCGTCGTTCTCTGGCCTGGGTTTGGGGAGACCTGGCTGTAATGAACAATTGAAGCATTTAATCACACCTCTAACTTTCAGTAGTCTCGAGTTTCACACTGTTACCAGTCCTCTCCATTACATGGCAGCGTAAGCTGTGGGAACTGTGCCCTTGGCAGCAGGTACCGCTCGCCACTGAACAGCTGGACATGCAAAAATTATGTAATCTGCTTAGAATCACGAGCTTCCAACCAGTCAACTCGCCTTTTGTTTTATTAAAAAGGGGTTGAGCAGCTCTCCAAGTGCTGAGTTACAGTCCAGAAAGGGCTCAAGTTTGATACTTGGCTCCATGCTGATCTCTCAGCATGCTCAGATTGAGTTGGGACAGAAGCAAAGAGTATTTTACCCAGTTACGTCAAGTAAAGATCCAGTTTCACTTTGTTTGTACCTTTATCCCTGGGATTCTGTTCCTGGAAGTGCTGGAAAGTGTGTTCCTGGAAGCGCTGGGAAGTACGTTCCTGGTGATTCGAGATCCATCTGTTCTTGCACTAAAAAGCATAAGCTTATTAAGTCACCATTACAAACAACAGCAAACATTTGTAGTGGAATAATTGTCCCACTTGCAATCATTGAACAAGGCTGTTTGTAGATAAATTAGGCAATTGTGTGGCTTTTACCTGGGGTTTGCAAACAACCCATGGAGAGACCAATACTGAAACCAGTCTCTCAGATTACAGACATTGGGTCTGATTTGCAAATTTCTTGATAGATTCCTTAATAAGCAATCTGAATCATTCCTATGGGGAATTCTTCCAGCGACAGGAAGTAATTTAAGTTGACACACAGGAACGCTGCTCCAAAAATAGATCCCATTGGCAGAGTTCCGTGAGTTGACGGAAATTCTAATGGTGTATTGAATCCAGTTAAGAAAGAAAAATTAGAAGACAATTTTCTGTACATGAGGGAAAAGGGAATAGAGGAATAAAGGTGAGAGGAAAAGGAGGGCTGGAGACTCATGAGTATAAACATCAGTATGGAATAGTTAGACAAATGGCTTGTTTCCATGTTGTAATGTTATGTGGAATCATTACCATACTGAACTCTAGACGTTTGGATAATAACAGTAACTTTTCCAGATTAAAAATCAGATGTAATGGAGTTGCAAACAAATATAGAAGCCCCACACGGGCTGTAAAAAGGAACACTGCTGCGTGCAACTTGGCTGTCGCATTTGCCCATAAAAACACACAGCAATGCTAATTTACAGTATATCCTGTTTTGGTACATCCTCTTGATTTGAAAAGCTCTATACCAAATATAAAGATTGCTATTATTTCTGGGTACATACATTTGTTTTGTCTCACACCCACACAGGGGTTTGTGCTATTTCTGAGCTGAAACTAGTTTGTATTGTGCCTGGTGGGTACCGCGTACAGAATGCTGATTTGACTAATTACTTTCAGGAGGAGGCAGCTGTGTTTAGAAACGGTGGTTATATTTGGATCATTTCACCTGGGAAGAAATAGCAAAACCCAAACAACACTGCCTAATAGGCAAGAGGTGGCACAAGAGGGAGGAGCGGAAAGGAACGTAAAAGCACAGCAACATTGTCACTGGAAGCACTCAGAATCCTATTTTAAAACCCACATCAGAAATGTTTTGTTATTAGTAGCTGCAGGTTATTTATGTGAGGGCAACAGAACCAAGCCTGATCTTACTGATGGGCAAGCCTTTAGCCATCTGCCCCCCCTCTCTGGATCTCAATCCCAGAGTCCCTCCGCCTTGCCACACCTTCAAACCTGTCTTAAGACCAACCACATGTTCATCCACCTTCCCCAGCCCCACCCCAGGTTTCCAGGCAGTGCTTTGAGATGTCCACTTGCTGTGAAAGGTACTAAGTATTGATATGGTAGATTTTTGTATAATATATTGGTTCTCATGTCCAACAAACCATCACCTTGATCTGGCAGGATATACATGTGGAAAACTGGGTTTGTATCCGTCCGGAAATAGATCTCCAATGGGATGTGTGGACCCCACTGATGGCTCCAGTGGTTTCCTGGCCCGTCGCCTCAGCTCTGACGCCTCTCTGTTGGGGATCTTGGCTATTCTGGTAGCTGGGAGGAAGCTGTCCTCTGTTAATGATTTCAGGGCCCCCATTGGAGGTCTAAAAGCTGCCGGAGAGGTTCCTGCTTTTACCCTGAACGGTCGAATCACTGAACGTGGCTGGATGTCATCCATTCGAGACAAGTAGCTCAATCCTACATCTCCTGTGGGCACAGAACACAGTAAATTGCTTTGTACAAACATTCAGAGCATACCCACAAATCAGTGGTAAACACACAGAAACCTTTCCCTCTTGAAACTTTTTACTCAAGAGAGTCGTTACATTTTTTTACCCAGAGTTGTTGGGGTCTGGGCAAGGCGGAGGGATTGAGGGACAGTGTTCCAAATTGTTCCCACATAAACTCATGGTATTAGGAGAAATAGGAACAGCTTATTGTTACCCAAACCCAAATATGAAGGGGTCTGCAAGCATGAGGGCGGAGTGTTGGAGGACATTGCTCATGCTGTTGTGTAGCTTTACAGGACAAGTCAATGTCTCCCAACAACAAGATTACATTTGTACAGCGCCTTTCACGTTGGGAGGACATCCCAAGGCGCTGGACAGAGAACAGCATTTCAGACCCAAGCTGGGGTTGGGAGGGGAGGGGAAGTGACCAATGGCATGGTCAAAGAGGAGGGTCTTGAGGAGGGACTTGAAGGAGGCTAAGGAGTGGGCGAGGCGGAGTGACTGGGGGATGGAATTCCAGAGGTTGGGGGCAGAGTGGCTGAAGGCTCTCCCGCCAATGGTGGGGCGGGTGAGTTGGGGGACGTGGAGCAGCCAGAGACGGCTGAGCGGAGGGAACTGGCGGGTTGGTAGGGGGTTAGGTCGCAGAGGTAGGGTGGGGCGAGGCCATGGAGGGCTTTGTATGTGAGGACCAGGATCTTGAACTGGATCCTCTGAAGGATAGGGAGCCAGTGGAGTTGGGCGAGATGGGGTCACGAAGTTTGGTGCGGGAGAGGATATGGGCTGCAGAGTTCTGGATTATCTGCAGCCTGTGGAGGAAGGAGTTGGGAAGGCTGACAAGCAGGGCATTTGCATAGTCGAGCCTGGAGGTAATGAAGGCATGAACAAGAGTTTCAGCCGCCTGAGGGGTGAGGTAGTGGTGGAGTCGAGCAATGTTACGGAGGTGAAGGAAGGCAGAGCGGGTCATGGCTTGAATGTGGGAGAAAAGACAGTTGAGGGTCGAACAAGACACCGAGGTTCCTGACTGACTGGTGAGTTGACGTGTGCAACTATGGAGGTTGGTGCTGCCAGAGCCTGAGGTGCAGAGGCACTGGCGCGAGCCAATCAGGAGCCTCAGTCTTGTTCACATTCAACTGTAGGAAATTTGCCCTCATCCAGGACTTGATATCCGACAGACGGTCTGTCAGGACAGCAGTGGTCCTGGAGTTGAGGGTGGAGGCAGAAAGATAAGAGTTGGGTGTCATCCGCATACAGGAGAGGAAAGGTGAAAACTGGGATGGCAATGATGAGCAGCTCACCATCTTCACCACTGCAACAACCTATCCCTCACAGTAAATCACAGCTATGATAACCAGTCCTTAATCAGTATTAATGTTTGTTGATTACACAGTAGGATACAATACACAGTTGGCTTTTACTCTGTGCACCAGTCAGCAACCATCTGTATTTACCCTGGTGTCTCGATCGTCGAATGGGCACTTCAGGAAGCTCTCTTTTCTCAGCTTTGGGGGCTAAGAGCGCTTGGTTGGGGTTCTGATCCGTTGACCTTGCGGTCAGTGGTCTCAAATCACACTGGTCCTAACAACAGAGAAAACGGGGTCAGGAATGTTGTCCAAAGCAAGCTGAGTCCCTCTGAACAATAAGTGACCTGTGGCAGCACCCAAATTCTTTCCACCAAATATCCAAATTAGAGGTAAATCAGACAACGTGATCATGAAGAAAATCAGGTGCACACAACAACAACAGGATTACATTTCTATGGTGCCTTTCACGTCGGAAGGACCCGCAGACTTCATTTGGAAGCCCACTGTCCAATAGTAACCCGATAAAAGCTTGTGATCAAACCATCCCTTGTGGACTCTGAAGGGTCAATTGCCCGAGACCACAGAGAGCAGCAGCGCCTGGGCCACAAACTGGTTTGGGAATTACATAGGATTCTCGTTACCTGGTGATGGTACAGGACATCTTCTTCCAGGGGAATGCCACAGAACTCGCAGGGAATCATGACGTCCCCATCTCCCAAGTTCACAATCTGCCCACACGGTGGCACCGGGTAGTCTTGAGGGAAGCATTCAGGCTCCACGGTCTGGCGATTGGAGAAAATGTCACTCCTTCTGGGAAGTGAGATTGGTGGGGAAGGCGTGGCAGTCTTACTGAATGATACCAAGGCACTCAGTGGGTTACAGCCTGTCTGTTAGAAACAGAGAATTAGTCAATTCCAACAAGGGACGTTCAGTGAGAGGACTTTCAATACTGAGGACTCCCACTGCAAACAGATCTATTTAGACAACATTTTCCTTCCATGAAGAACACACATGTTGGGGTGCTGGTTCACTGCCTTTAGATTCAGTAAAGCACAGCACTGCTTATCCACGCACTTGCTTAAACACATTGCACTCTGATCGTGAAATGGAATTCCCGAAATTACAGTCTCCGGAGTTTGTGTTGAGAGTCACAAACCATGTGCACAGTCTGGGCACCCCCCACACTTAACCGAGGATCTACCTTTTAGGGAATCAAGGCACTGATTAAACCAGAAAAGTACCTGGTGAAGAATGAGCTCTTCTTCAGGGAAAAGGTCTTCACAGAACTCGCAAGGCAACATCGTGGCATCATCTGAAGAGGAAGGTTTTGTTACCAAAGAGAAATGCACATTGCTTCTGAGAAGCACATAGAGAACTCACTCACCCCCATCCTCACTTCACTATCTCCATTTGAATCTAGACCAGATTTACAGGGTAACAAGTCTCCTCTCCGCGGCTGTTTGTGGGACATTACTGTTCGCAATTGTGCTGCTGGGTCTGCCTATAAATATACAGTCACTCGATTTCACAGTATATCCTGTGAAGCACTTTGAGACGTCCTTCCGATATAAGGCGTTCTTACCAAATGCAGGGAATATTAAATGCAAGGTGTTTAACTGCAGTTAAGAAACAGTTAAGCAGTGGCCAGACAACACATAAAATGACTAACTTGTTTTCTCCTCTTGGACGTTTGCAGTTGGAGGGAAAACATGAGACGCTGAATGGCTTTCGAACCAGCCCTTGACGTCCTGTAGTTGTGTAGGGTACACACAGTCCGGCTGAAGGTCCTCCCAGTGCGGCCAATCTCCTTCTCCGCCTCCACCGTGCTCATTCTGCAGACTCAGGGCGAGCAGGTAATCCAGGTTAGAGTTGGCGTCCATATGGTCTGGACCAGCAGGGTCTGCCATCCGGGTCCTCTCAGTCCTCACCATGCTGGCTGTGTGCAGAGCACAAAAAATTAAACTCAGGGTAAAGGCAACTGAATGCTTTTTATTGGGGTCTGCGTGTCAGGGCCCTTCCTCAGTGAGAGCAAGGCTAGGAGGTGATGGGTGATCTGATCAAAGTCCTCCGTTTATTATTGTTCTGTAACTTGGGCCAGGAAGACTAAGGGAGCATCTCAGGTTCATTCACACTTTCTTCAGCCTCATCAACATTCCTCACCTTCCATATTCCTCTCTGAAGGGGAAGATGCCATACTGCTCCATGCACACTCAGCACCTCAAGCTGTGGCTATACCACTTGACTGCTATGTTTAAACAAGCAATAAATGGGATCTAACGTAGCTCAAGTCAGTAGATGAGCAATTGAAGTACCCAAGTTCATCCCCCAAGTTGTCCAAAAGTCAAGCTTCTCTCCTAGCCCAGCTCTGATGCACCTTCCTGTGGTAGGAGGCTGAAAGCAGATTGCTTGACTACTCGCTGAGCATGGAATAGCGTAGAGCAATAATGCCAATAATTCTCAGTTTAATTACCATGAAATAAGAAGGGCATCTCTCCCAGTTTCCTGGCCAATAATCCCTCAAATAAAATTGGTCATTAACTTCTGTTTAACCCGTGACCCAGTGAGGTGAACTTTGCATTTGACCAATTACATTTCCAGCCCACCCTCAATCAAAAGCAACAATCTCATTTCAACCATACAAAGTTAGTTACCTTGATTCGGATCTCTAACTCTTGGTAGTACATTCCTTCTCATGAAAATCCCCGTCTCCCTGTTCCCATGAAATTTGGTTTCCAGGGGTCTGGAGAGTCTCGGCCATGATCGAATGTAGTTTTCCTCAGTTCTCAGGAGGCTTCTGTACGGCTGGTTTTCAAACCAGGTCCCCAGGTTGTCTTCAAAGTGGTAATCTGGCCTCGGCCGGACTTGGTTGTTGTTTCTCTCCTCTTGGCCGCACGTGATGGGGTGCGCGTTGAGATCTTTGATCATGACATTACGTCCGCAAGTTGTACAGGGCTCGGTCCTTGATCCGCAGTAATCGTCATGCTCTTCAGACTTGTTGAACGCAAGTTCCAGCTCACAGTACTGGCATTTAATCAGTCGTAGAGGGCATTCTGTACTCTACAAATAAAGCATTCAATATTTAGGCAATACATTGCTACCCCCATTTTCTCCCCTCCGCCTCTCCCGATGGCATAGTACAGCTCCAGAGGGAATTCTAAACTGTAGGCTATGTGGCCTAGTTCTGAACCAGTGCACCCCAAACTTATTCCTCATGTTTAGATATCTCCAAACCCCAAATACAAACCCAAGCTCTCGTTATCCTGACTCTGTTAAATTTCTCATATATCCCTGTCATCTACAGCCATTGCACTCCTACCTCTCTTCCCCCTTTCAAACATCCTTCTGTCTCTAAATTCTTCCCACTACTTGCTTGGTATCACCACACCCACTGCTAAGCGCTTGGTGATGTTCTCTCGACAAAGGGCGTTATATTGGGGAGGAATTAGAAAGGGGTACATACTCACCATGTGTTTCTCCAATAGATTTTTCTCTACTTTCATACTGCACTTACAATCAACCTGCAATACACAATATATGATTTGTAGTTTAGACTGAATATTGCACTGAATGTTATACTACTTTGCTTCAACAAAGTGACTAATTCAGCAAGAGGAAGGTATCTTGTGATATAAATAGAGCTTTAGGCACATTGCCCAGTTACGTTGAGACAATTGTATTTATTTCTGTAGCTACCTGGGGAACAGCAACATTTTTACTATGAAGCATATTGTTAAAATACCTAAAATACCACACAATGTGCCATTGGACGCTAAGATTTTTGAATCACAGAGAAACAGGAAAAAAATGTACAATAACCATACGCTTCCAGGAGTTAATAGGTAGTTCAGTTTGTCCAAAAACAAGTCATGTCTTTCTCCTGGGGAATAATCAAAATCAAAGATCATTGAAATAACTAACTGGTTGGGCAAGGTTACACGAACATGACTAATTTGGTGGAGGAACAAGGAGACATTTGTGCAGTGGTTTTAAACCCACATCACCAGGACACAACACACTCTGGGACTGTTATACTCGGGAAGAAATTCTGGGTGGCTAGAAGAATGCAATTCATTTTAAAGCCATCAAAAATGTTCATTTTTCTTTCTAAATACTTACAGATTACAGAGGCAAGGTTATTACACATTTATATTCTGTCCCAAACTGTACATTTAGTCATTTCCAAGACATTAATGCTTCTTTAAGCCTGATCCTGGCACTCACCCAAGTGAAAGAGCATATTTTTCTGGTGCTTATTTAGGTCAGCTTTCACAGTGCAACATCTCTTCACACTCTTGACAAGATGGCCTTCACACAGAGGACTAAGCATAGTGCAGAGTTAAATGTAAAGAACTAATCTGAGGTTCCCTACTGAGAATTCTACAAATGACATGAGACAAATGGTTAAGTACCCTGGGATTCAACCCCAGTGGTCTTACCAGTGCATGCTCCATTTCAAAGTGCTCCTCCATCTCGGATTTGGGGAACGGTTCATGGCAGTACCCGCAGAGATCGATGTTCCTTTGGCAGTGAATTTCGTGGATGGTGAAATTTGTCGCAGGAATGTCTCGCTTACTGAAAGCAGAAGAACATAGATACACAGAACTGACTGACTGAGAAGACTGCCCACTGTTCATGCCACAAAGTAACCCACAACAAAACCTGCCCAAAGAGGAAAACAATGCAATCAGTAGCCTCTTACAAACCACAGGCAGTCCCCAATGTGCATTATTTCCCAATGTATGATAGAACAAAGCAATTAACGAGTGGATTTCTCTACGGTTTAGTAGATAAAGGCACAATGTAATATGCCATACAAACCACAAACCTGAAGGACCAAATCCTAATCCAGGAAAATTAGCTGATCTTATTGGCAGACTTAACAATGGCATTAGGAAAGGAGAGGAAATTAGTCAGGGTTCCTACTCTAGATCAGTACCAGTGAGCCACACTGGAAAAAGAATGTATGTTGACATCAAATAAAGATCAATCAGGTTCTACCTATGGCTGTCAAAATGTAAGTTTCATGGCTTACTGGGCAACCCCACTACAATGGGCCCATAACACTGGTGCCCTTGTGTCACATCAGGACTTTGACTGTAATAGTCTAGGATGCCATGAAAGTGGGAGGGGATGGGGGGTGGGGGTAAGGGGAGTGCTATATTGTCAAAAGGAGCTGTCCTTTGAATGAGACATTAAACCAAGGTCCCATCTGGTGTGCTACAGTGTAGTGGAGTAGAGACCTGTAGCTGTAACAAACACCCTTTGAATAATTGAAACACTATTTGAACATAAACGTTTTTCTCAGCGTCAGGCAAACGATCCTCCAGATATATTGGTCATTCACCTTATATAATCATAGAATTATACAGCACAGAAGGCCACATGGCCCTTCGTGTCTGTGCCGACTCTTTTAAAAGAGTTATCCAAATCAATCCCACTCCCCCGCTTTCTCCCCATAGCCCTTATGGGATCTTACCAGCACAAATAGCTGTCAATGTGCCTAAAAAAATCAGCCACTACATTTTGAGAGGTTTCAATTTTTTTTCACGTTTCAATGTATAAGACATGATTAAATGCAAGTTCTTTCTTCTCTTTATCAGATTGGTATCCAAGCGCCCATCCCTTGCTGGCAGCGATGATTCAGAGATTTGATCTGTGCCTCCCTCCTCCTGTCAGCATGACTCACACATAAGCTTCCCCAAGCCGCCAGACAACTTCACGCAACTGAAACCAAATGCCTAGAGGCAGAACTTGAGTAGTATATCTACATCAGTCTCTTACCAGTTGGTGCAAAGCCGTGTATCCTCAGCCTGGCTTTCAGACATCTTCACACGTCTTCAAAACCTTTAAAATAAAACACGAAATGAAGAATTTGTCTTTTGAATGTCGATGTAGGTAAGGGTGTAAGCCTCTACCACACTGCACAGTAATCCCCGCAGTAATAAATCATGGGAAAGGTATGGGTTGAGCTCATCAGACACTACTATCAGGGCTACTGTCAGCTGCCACTAAGGGAAGTTCAATGTCTGCAAACTCAACAGGCCCTGTTGGCACTATTCCAAGAACACTGACTCTAGTATATTGAATGTATACTGCAGTTTATATTCCTGGATCCTCTCAAACACTCAATACTGACACAAGCTGACTAAGCACTGCCCTTTAACAAAGGGCCAGAAGAGGGGCGAGGAATAATTTAGCCAATGTCCTTACTCTGATCTATTGATCCCCACTGGAAAGTGGATGGCAGGTACGGATAATGATTGGTAGCTCATAGTGAATGAGTGTGATATCAGTAAATACAAAATTATATTTGTATTGCGCCTTTCACATCGGGAAGATGTCCCAAGTAAAGGGTTACAGGTGTGAGGAACAAGTAACTATAAAGGGTTTCAAGGGAAATTAAACAAGTATTTATAAAGTAAAATGATTCAGGCTTATTGGATGATAAGATGGATGTGCCCTTAAAATATTTTGAAGTTTAGATCGGTAGCTAGGTGCCTGACAAAATGACTCTGTTACTCTGCAGCAACAGTCAATGGAAGGGAAAATTGGAGGGGGGTGGGTGGGGGGACTTGCATTTTAAAAACATTGCTGAGAACAGTGGAACCCACTTGGTTCAGTCTAGTTTGCTACCACATTAAGAGGTTCCTATCTGATTCTAAACCGACCGGTGAAACAGAAAAATGTGGAGCTTCAGGTTAGAAAGTTCAACTGGGACGTGCTGCATTCTCAGCAGCGGTTCTGATTACAGGAAGTTGGTAAGTGTCAGTTTGGCTCCATTGGTAGCACTCTCATCTCCAAGACTAAAGGTTGAATTCAATCCCCACTTTGAGACTTTAAACTCAGTGAGGGCCAATTCTCCAATGTAGTGCTGGGGAACACAACTTTCTCAAAGGAACCATCCGTCGGATTGATAATTGACTTAATGGCCATTTCTGGGACCTTGCTGTTCTCAGAGTGGCTGCCACATTTGACATCAAAAACTACAATTGACAGTAATTCCCTATCAAGTGCTTTTGAGACATTTTGACATTATAGGTGTGATATCCAATGCAAGTTATTATAATTCCTCTTATTGTTACTTGGAAGGGAAATTATCTTTGCATAAAGTAAAATAGAAGAAACCGAAACTAGAGCAACTGGTTTGTGCCAATGTTTGTACTCCACACAAGCTCACTTAATGTATAACCAGACAGCCAAACTGCCTGGTTCCATGCCATAACATTTGATGCAATTCTATATTAAAATGTACAGGTTTATAAATATCCCTTTTGCAGGCCTCTTCGGTTCAGCCCTACTTTTGAACCAATTGCTACCAATACAATGGGTCTATTTTAATGACCAATCTCACAAAGTTCTTACTTTTTCTAATAATTATGTGGCAGACTTTCAAGAGTGTATTCAATATGACAACAAGGAACAGTGATAAAATCTACAGTGAAGGAATCCCTTTAGCCAGGTTCCTACTCCACTGTTCAGCAGCTGAACAGAAAAAACACAAATTGGTTATATAATTAGGATTTTTTAAACATAAAATTCATGAGAAGCTTCAACACGAACATTTTTCAGCTGAAACATAGTAACTACTGGGAGCAAGGCAGCAATCTCACAAACAACCCATACAATTAGACACGGCAAAGCTTCCTTTTTATACAGTTCTCCATCAGTTTCACTCCTCCCCTCCCGAATGTAAAAGGCAACGATTGTGTATTGTGGAGTCCCGTAGCGTGGTGGTTAGCGTGCTTGCCCGACAAGCGAGAGGACCCGAGTTCGATTCCCGGGCAGGACGAAACCTTAGGCAACTTTCCTTACTCCACACTCCTCTGTTTAACCAGCAGTAAGTAAGTAGGAACCCGGTCGTCAAGTCGACTGCTTGGGAAATGGCTTTCCTGGGGTACCAAACCCTCAGCGCCGAGAGACNAAAAAAATTGGTAACTCAACCCGCGGCCGCGCACAAATCGACTGCCGCGTTTCGCCCGCAAGGTACGGACGGGGCGGTCAGGACGCAGCCCGGGGAGGCGCTTGGAGACATCTCGAGGCCGCGACCGGGCGCCGGGTCAAATGCAAGGGCTGTTGTTACGGACGGAAAGGTTTGCACAGAGAGAGAGAGAGAGAGAGAGAGAGAGAGCGAGACGGAAAAAAAGTTTCCGGGTGGGGGGGGGGGGGGGGGGGGAAGAGAGAGGATTTAAAAACAAGTGGCTGCTCCACCCATGATGTCATGGGCTGACCCCGATTAAAAGGGGTCGCCATTGACATCACGTTAAAGCAACATCCACTGGACAAAGAGGTGGTTTGGGGAGGGGGGAGAGAGAGAGAGAGGGAGAGAGAGAGGGGGGGTTTGCGACGTTTATGGAGTGAGGCGTTCACCAAATTAAAACCGTGTTAAGATTCCTCGAAAAGGGCTGAGGCAGAGTTTTGAGGCGAGAGAAAGAGAGAGAGAGAGAGAGAGAAAAGGTGGTGGGAGGAGGAGGGTTTCGCTTTCACTTTCAACCGGGCCCGTGACTGACATTTCCCGAAGGGGGGGGGGGAGAGGGAGGGGGGGAGAAGAAACCGGGAGGGAAGGAAAGCCCCCACTCACGGGAGGGAAGGGGGAGGGAGTGAGTGAGGGAGTGAGAGAGTGAGGGAAAGAGAGAGAGAGGAGGGAGAGAGCGCTAATTTTTTTGTGGTTTAAACCGGAGTGAAGGTTTTTGTTTTGTGGTCGTCGCGGTCGGTGTTGATTTTTTTTTGAAAAAAAAACCGCCTCTCGGTGTGGGCTCCAAAGAACGGCGCGAGAGGCCCCGGAGGGAGGGAGGGCGGGAGGGAGGGCGCGCGCGCGCGACCGCCCCCCAACTGTCACCCGTCCCGACTCCCCTCACCCTCCTCACCGTCGTCGTCGTCGTCTTTATTTTTCTCCTTCTTCTTCTTCTTCTCCCCCTCCCCTTTTTCCCGGGCGATCGACGACGACGAGGAGGAAGAGGGTGGGGACGGGGGGGGGGGGGAATGGTAACCGTCTGCGCGGTGGGTGACGAGACGCCGAACAGAGAGAGCAAGACGACCGCCCCCTCCCCCCACCACCACCACCGGCTCCGTGTTTACTCACCTCAGCAACGCCGCGCCGGAAGTGCCCTCCCACCTCCTCCCGCCCATTGGCCCCGTCCCCCTTCGTCATTTCCCGTCCCGCGTTGGTTGTTGGACACGTCAATCAAACTGCGGAGCCGGCCCCTCCCCCCTCCTCCCCCCCCCACTCCTCTCACCCACTAAACTAACCCAGTCACCACTTCGACAGTCAAATAATAATAATAATAATAATCCTTGCATTTGATATAGCGCTTTTCACGTCGGGAGGACGTCCCAAAGCGCTTCACAGAACACACTGTAAAGTGAATTGACTGTATATTTGTGGGCGAACGCGGCAGCCAATTGCGCACAGCAATGTCCCACAAACAGTCGTAGATTGAAAATGACCAATTTATTATTGTTGTGGTTTTGGAGGGATTATTATTAGGCTCTGTGTGGAGTAAGGAAACTTGCCCGAGGTTTCGCCCTCTGCCTGGAATTGAACTCAGGTCTCTCGCTTGCAAAGCGAGTGCTCTAACCACTGAATTACAGGACTCCACATCCCGTGAAGCACTTTGACATGGTCTTGGCCAATGTGTTACGGTGCTGCGATAATAATAATAATAATAATCATCATCCTTGTGTCTCGCAGATGATCTCAGGCGTTGCAGAAAAATGTAGCCACTGTGCGCTTTGTCGGCACTATCAAATGCGAGGATGACGATTTATTTATTATTATTATTATTATTATAATTACGCTCAGTCAGGGTCAGACTTCTAAAGGATCGAGGGATTAAGGGATAGGGGTGGGGCTAAGGCGGGCAGATGGAGTTAGGTTAGAAGATCGCCATGATCGTATCGAATGGCGGGGCCGGCTCGAAGGCCGAATGGCCTACTCCTGCTCCTAATTCCTATGCTCCTATGTTCATCATTGTCAAGCACTCCGGGGACCCTACCCCACTCCCCCGACCCGCCGCGTGGAGGGCGCTATACAAATGCAAATTGTTGTTGTGTCACTTAGCGCTTCGCACAATATACTGTAAAGTGAATTGACTGAATAGTCTGTGAGCGAAACACGGCGTCCAATTGCGCTCAGCAGTGTCCCACAGGCAGTCGTGGATTGAGGGATCGCATTTTTTTTAAAAAGGGATTATTATCCCAAGAAACCGATCCGCCAATCGACCTAACAACCTGGTTCCTACTTACTGCTCGGTCAACAGAGGTGCGTGGAGCAAGGAAATTTGCCTAAGGTTTTGTTTCACCCTCGAAACCGGGTCCCCTTGCTTGACGAGGCGAGTGCGCTGACCACCGCGCTACAGGGGCGTAGTATTATTACTGTTATGATGATTGCTTTTTTTTTTGTCCAGATGAGATTTGGACATTTTCCTTCTTTGATGTCTCTCCCTCCCCGTGTGCTGAACGCAACCCCTTACGAATACGACCGCAACACTCATCCTCGCAATGTGAAATACAGCGGCCTCGGGGCCTTATCGCGTCTTCCAGGCGCCTCAAAGTGCTTCACGGAATACACCGTGAACCGAACCGACTGCGCATGTCGTGGGGCCGAGTGAAGTGACTGTCCGCTTCGTGTCATAACCTTGACTGAGAGGATTAAAGCTGGGCAGCCGTGCGCATGCGCACGCGGGGGGAGGGAGTGGGGGGGCGGACGGCTGGATGCGCGCGCAGACCGCCCCCTTCCTCCCTCCCCCCCCGCCCGCCCGCCCGCCACCCCGGTGGCTGTGCGCATGTGCAAACCAAGCGGAGCGCTATCATGGCGGCGCGTAGCCATGTGCAGGACCCGAATGACAGGAGGCTGCGCCCCATCTACGGTAACGGAGCCCCCCCTCCCCCCGCGGGCCCGCCGCGCAACCGCCGCCAGCGCGCCGCTCGCCCGCGCCCCGGCAGCCGGGGGCCCCGGGTTCGAGGCGGGCGGCCCCCGCTGCCCTCCCTCTCGCGCGCGCGCGGGCGGCTGACCCCCCCCCTCCCCCGACGCCTAGGCCGCGAGCGCAGCCTCGGGCTCGATTTACGCGCCGAGCCCGCGGCTGGCGGCTGGCGGCTCCGGGTCGGCGCTTCTGAATTGAATTGAGTTGAATTGCTCCGGTCTGGGTGATGAGATGAGGAGCGGCGCGGGGTCGGGGCAGACAGGGTGCAATCACCGGTGGAGAATAAACTGGGTGGGTGGGTGGGGGGGGGGGGCAAGAGAAGCTCAGGGAGGGAGGGACGGAGGGAGGGAGTCTGCGGATGGGCTTTGAGGCATCAGTCCCGTTTGTGACAAACATGTCGGAGATGTTGGAGCGGGAAGGGCTCTGCTCTCTCTCTCTCTCCTCTCTCCCCCCCTCCGTGTCCCTAATGCCGTCGCTTTTTGCCTCAAGAGTCCGCCGGGCCTCACAGGGCGGTTTAGCTGCTTCCCCCTCCCTCCCCTACCCTACCCCCCTACCCCCCCTCCCCGCAAAAAGGCACCGAGCAGCCTCAGCAGAGCCCTGCACCAGCTACTGGATGTTCACAGAAGGTCACACTTTGCGAGGAAGGAGTGTGAGGGATCATTAAAATCCACATTCATTTTAGTCTTATTTGTCTTGGGGTCGGGGTGGGGGGGGGAGGTATCTTCAGTGCAAATAGTTCACCAACTTAAAGAGTCTTCTTCCGTGGCGGGGGGTGTGGCTGGTGTTCTCTTGGCCGTTTAGGTTTGCCAGACAACAAAATAACTTGAGCTTTTTTTTTATTTGTAACGTACTAATTCATCGGTTCGTGTGCGCGGGGGATGTTTGTGGTGATGTTATGTACCCCCTGTCGCTGCAGTTTATGGTCACCTTTTATGGTATGGTTTCAGGAATTTATGGAGAGTGCTTTAATACTTCCTTTTTAGTGGCTATTTTTGCAGAGTTTAGTTAGGTATGTCCGACCCAACAAGTATTTTATTTTTAAAAAAAAATATCGTGGCTGTTGATTAAAAGAGCTGAATTTAACTTCAACTATTGCCTTCATTTTTTCTGTTCTTCTCTCGGGAATCTTAATGAATACTGGATAAAACTTGCAGGTTTTTTTTTTCTTCCCTGAAGTTCACCAGTTAAATAAAATCACTGCAACTGTGAAACTAAACCATAGGCATCAGGGGGTTCCAGGTTTAACCCGGTTTCACCTGTTCTGTCTTTCTCCAACTCCACAAAATTGCTTCCTCCACCACTATCTCTCCCTTCAGGTTGCTGAAACCCTCACCCACACTTTAATTACGTTCAGGCTTGACAATGCTATCTCCCTGCTCGCCGTACTTCCCAACTCTTTCCCTCCACCTTATTCAGAATTTATTATTGAGTTCAAGATCCTTGTCCTCATCTTTAAAGCCCTCCACGGTCTTGCTCCATCCTACTCTGCAACCTATTACCAACCTGTCTCCTTCGGTCTGCAGGCCCTGGCCTGCTCCATGTCCCCTGACTGCCCGAGGTCCCCCGCCCTGCTTGCTCCACCATCGGCAGTCGGACCTTTCTGCACCCACCCTCTGGAACTCCATCCTGGAGCACCTCAACCTTATCCTCTATCTTGCATCCTTTAAGGCCCATCTCAGGACCTTCCTTTTCGATCGTGCGTGGCTTCGGTCAGCCTCACACCTCTAATAATTCCTATTAAATTTCTTTTAGATCCCCAAGTCACTATCTTATACTTGTGTTCCCTGAGTTACAGACATCCCAACCAGCCCAAACAGTCTATTTATGTTAACATTGTCGAACCCTTTTATAATTTTAAACACTTCTATTAGGTCCCTACTAAATGTCTCAGGAAATATACAGACAATCACTCCACAGTATATTTTCTGTGAAGTGCTTTGAGACGTCTCGAAGACATGATAGAGCTCTATATCAAATGCAAGGGTTATTAGTCTATTATATGGTATATGATTCTTACACAGATCCCTGTGGAACACCTCTTTCCAGCCTGAGAAGATATCCTTATCTCGTACCATTTGGATTCAGTTTCCTAACCATTCTTTAATCTGTTCAGATATCCCTCCCACAATTCCACCAGCCCCTATTGTATCCTGTCTTTAAACCCCACCTAAACACTTACCTATTCCAGCTCACCTATAGTCACCTCCCCCTTCCCCATTCCATTGCTCAGCCTTCGATCCTGTGATTGTGAAGCGTGCCGCGAACGTATCCAATTTGGGGGATCCTCTACAAATTCAAGCTGTTATTGCTCAATGTTTTCCAGAGAATGGGGGGAAATGGGTCTAAAAGCTCACCCATCAAGGATCATAGCTGTAAATCACACTGTACGTATTGTACAACAGAATACCAGTCTGACCCCCAACCCTGGGTCTCGCAGTCAGCTGTGTCAAGCGACTATGTCCTGATGTGAAAGCCCTACATAAATGCAAATCGTTGTTTAAGTAAGGCAATCGTATTGAGTTCACCATGCTCTTTCCTTTTTCCGATACTGTTCTGTATTAGCAAAAGCCTGCCAATAGTGCTGCACTATAGCTGCAAAAACGTGGGCAACAGCTTTCTTTTAAACTTTATATGCCATTTCTTAAGAAGCGAAGGTGGGTAGCTGACCTACTACTCCATGGTTCTAAATTAGCTCTCGACTATGATGAGTGAATTAAATAGAATCAAAAAGGACATGGAACATTATAGCATAGAAACTAGCCCATGCTGGTGTTTATACTACACATGAGCCTCCTTCCTGCTAATCGCCTTCCCCATACCCCTTTCCTGCAAGACACTGCACTTTACAGTGTATTCTGTGAAGCGCTTTGGGATGTCCTACCAAAGTGAAAAGTGTTATATCCAATGTAAGGATTATTATTATTCCCTTCTTCCTCTTGTATGAATTTATCAATGGACTAATGTTGCCAGGAGTGTAATCGTCCGATGGAACATTGAATGTATTTCTCATTTAACTCTTAGTTCCGGTCACTGCATCGTGCTAAAACATAACCAAGTTCGGCATCTGTAAGCTTTTTGCAAACCTGAGGTGGGCGGAAGGGAGTCAAAAATCTGCGTTTGTATTTGGTTCTGTGAGTGTGATTTTAGCTTGTTGGCAAAACTTGGTGTGATTTTACTGTGTAATAATGTCTGTCAGCTGCTGCTTCTGCAGCCTACTATTTCTGTCATCTCTTTGCTAACAATTTTGGTGCAGGATCTTCTTAAAGGGAACATTGACTGTTGCAGTGTTAGTGTATATTGTTTGTCCTACAGACCTTCAATTCCATGAGTTTCCACAGGGCATGTTCCTGTTATTTATGCTGGTGTTGGGGGTGTGGAGTGGTGTACATAGTGGAGCTTAGATTATTTATGTGCTCACCATTGGGGAGGTCATCACATTTTAAAATATTTGACACTTCCTTGAAGTCGCTGACTCGAGTTGTCTGGGTGCCTGGAGCCCACCAATAACGTGGCCACTTTTGATGTGTGACCCTGGACATCAAGTGTCAACAGGCTGTTTAAAAGTTAGGGCGCACACTATAGCATTATTAGCTGCTCTCTCCCAGCGGTATTCCCTGAGCCGCGATCTGCCGTGTTACTTTCATACTGTACTTCCATTTCCCATAACAAAACAGAATGTCAGCCTGGTTCAGTGGTATCACTCTTGCCTTGGAGTCAGAAGGTTGTAAATTCAAACCCCGGGTCAGGACATTGAACTCACATAGTCTGAGCTGAGACTCAATACAGTGCTGGGGTTGCACTACATTGTTGGAGATGCCATCCTTGGATGAGATATTAAACCGAGGTCCAGTCTGCCTGTTCAGGTGGAAGTTAAAGATCCCATGGCATTATTCAAATCCTCCAAATAAAATTGGTCACTCACTCCATGGCTGTTTGTGGGGCAATAGCTGTGCGTAACTTGCTGCTATGATTCACCCGCAAATTAGTCAATGCACTTTACAGTATATCCCGTGAAGCGCTTTAAGACGCGATATTGACGTTATAGGATAGTATGTCAAATGCAAGGCTTATAAAGGGTTATTATTATAAAATTGGTCATTCATTTTAAGGCAGTTCATGAAATATTGCTGGGGGTAAATTGGCTGTCATGTTTGCCTACAAAATACGTATCACTGCACCTTACAGTAAATCCTGTGAAGGACTGAGATTTTATTTAATCAGATAAAATTATGGCACCTCTTGAATAAGAATTGCAAACTTAAGTACATTGATGTTTCACATAAGATTTACAACTGGCAGGGAAGGTATTTATTACATCAATCTAGGGTGATTTCATATCCAGTTACTAGAAGTGAAATAAGTAATCAACTGCATTGTACCACCCACTATCTTATCCTAGGCTCTTAAGAGTAGAGGTAGGAGAAGAAAGTTTGCACCTTTTCTTCACCGTGATAGCTGTGTAGTCAGGCCATATCTAAATAATGGTTGAGAAAATCGATCACTTGAAGCTATTAATTCAGAGAGGTTTGTGATGGAAGATGAATTTCCACCACTGATAACTCGTTAATTTTATCCCTTACTGCTCTCTTGAAGCTATTAATTTCATGCTGTGAGATCAGTCACCCTTTGATAACTCACCCAATTTAGTATTATTCTGTGAAAGTGACAACAGACTGTTTTACCCCATTTTGAGGTGGTGGTGGGGTAGGGGAAATAAAGGTGTCAATAGGGATTGCAATCACACACACACAGTATGTATGATATGTATGTAGAGACAAACGGGGGAGATAACACAGAAGTACTGAAAAGATGGTAATGACACAAAGAGAGGGAGAGATGGCACCGAGACCAAGACATACATTCACAGAGAAACCGAAAGAGGGTCTTTGGCACATATAGGGGTAGTGGGAGAAAGAATGTCAAATAAAGAGGGAGAGGAAGAGAGACAGTGACATGCAGGAGAGAAAACTGATGGAAAGCGAGAAGTGAAACACTGACAGCAAAACAGATGACCGTAACACAAACAGAAAAACACTAATGAGAGGTTTGTGGGTCTGTGTGTGTGTTGGGGGGAAGGGCACAATAGAGAGAGGGAAAACAATGCAGCAATTGGCAGAAAGCGACTTTCCTGCAGCTTTTAAAATATTTTTTAACACAATCCCTAAATCCTGGGATTCTCTTCTATAAATCCCGGGATTTCAGGAGCGCCATTATCGTATGGGATCGGGATTGCAACCCTGAGGTGTCAGTTGGTGCCACTGCCTCAGTCAGGGGGTCGATGTCAGGACTTTGAGCTCATAATCTGTTCTAGGCTGACACTGCAGTGCAATGGCGCTCTGAGACGCTCTAATGTTGTTGCGTTGTTGGAGATGCTGTTCTTTGAATGAGATGTTAAACTGTGGTGCCATCTATCTCTTCAGGTAAACATTAAAGCCCCATTGGCATTTGAAGAGTTTCTCCTGGGATAACTGTGTGCTTATTAGATGCCTCATTTGCCTGCAGTTGAACAGTCAATACATTTTATAGATAAACTTTGTGATGCACATTCTTGTTTCAACATTATAAGGGGTTATATTTAATGCAAGGATTCTTATTATAACTCTCCTGACTGTCTCACAACAGATGCCCAAATTCCTGTTAAATCAGAATTTTCACAGTGGTCTATTTCAGACCATAAAATCGTAGAGCAGTTTCTAAGTAACCGGCAAAGCAGAAACTAAGTGGAGAAAGATGTATTCCAGTTGTGGGATCTTTGGAAGATTTTATACAGGAAGACCAAGAAAGAAACTGAATTGGATAGGGGAAAAGTCATTCATATTGTCTGTTGTAAAGACAATACATTCTCATTGTGTCAGTGTTTTTGTTCTTCTCTTGAAAGTATACTGGTTTGCACATATAAAGATTACTAAATTCAAGACCAAACAAAATTCTATCCTCAAGAAATATTTTGGACAGGCCCTAACATTTACCCTGACATTTATTTTTGCAGCCGCCAAGATGGATGAAAGAGTGAGCTTAGCTTAATGTTGTTATATTATTGTATTATAATAATCCCTTTTTAAAAAAAATTGGTCACTCAATCCACGACTTGTTTCGTGGGCTACTGCTGTGCACAATCGGCTGGCGCGTTTCGCCCACAAAGTACACGGTCAATCCATTTTACAGTATATTCTTTGAGACGTGTCAACGACATGATAAAGCGCTGTATCAAGTGCAAGCATTATTAGTATTAAGCAAGTTCAGGGGGTAAATGCTAACTGCTGTAAGCGGTTTTCTGTTACATTGGGGAATTGTGCAATTCTGACTTTTGGCTGAACTGTATATGGGGTTAGTGCCTTGTCAAGCTGGTGTTTGGCAAAGCCTCGGCAATGTAAACATTCCCCTTTGTTGAAAAGGTTTTGGAATTTGTAAAATGCTTTTCTCGTGTGTCATGTCATTATTCAGATTGGATTTTTTTTGTTTTAAATGGATTCGAAAGAAAGGGATTGGAGTTTTTCATTGTTTTCAGCTCATTTGGTAGTGTAGATAGTGACTGCTGATTGGGTACAGTTTAATGGGTACTTGCTGCCTTCTAGTACTTCCTTCGCTGCCCCCTTACCCAGTTTACTTATCTATTATTTATGTGTGAGTCTGGACATTGATTGTCAGATGGGGACTGAATGTCAGGCTTTATCGAAGATGGGTTTTTCGTACTTTGGCCATCTGGAACTTGTTAATTTTTGTGTTTTCAGATATTTTCCTGTGTGAAAGGTGCTATTCGAATAAAGTTATTGTTTTAGATATGGAACAGCAGAGAATGTTTCTTGGGAGAGTTTGTTGGTTAGTTCGTAATACTAATGGGGGGTGGCATGTCCTTTCTGAATGTTAAAGAAAAAATTATATGCTGTGGTATGTAGTGAAGGTTTTTAATGGGCGTTGAGGGAACACATTAAGAATGTGTTTGAGCCCGGAGTGGTGTGTCAATATGTCTGTAAGTCAATAATGTAACCCTATATATGTATATTTTCCAATCTCTGCTGTCCCATCGTGGGGCACTGGTGAGCAGGTGTGGGGTATGTTTGCACAAGAGGGAGAGGGAGTGCGAGGAAGTGTAATTCTTGGCAAGGTTCAAATTGCCTCTGTCCTAGGGATGGGAATATCAACCAAGTTTTCTGCTCCTGAAGGCCATTAAAGTAGCTGCAGTGGGGAGCGAGCATTACACAGAACCATAATGAGCCAAATGGCTTTCTCTGTGCTGAAGCTTCTATATTTTGGGCTTTCACTGATCACCAGATCTCTAACTGAAGGAGATTATCTGGGTGATACTCTGACCCAAGACTATACTCCATTTTCCAGCTTTAAATCTCAGGTTTAAATGGGTAGATTGGAGCTTCTCCGTCTGTACTGACAAGTAGGTGTACCAAATAATTAAATTTGAGTTGACTACGTGTGCTGGATAAGGATAGGACTTGAGTGGAAGGGGAGGAATGTTTTGGCTTGTAACCTGACAGGAATCTGAGGTTGTGAGTCAATCAGTTGTTCCAGCAGCTGTTCATGTTGTGTTTGAATCGGAGCAAATGATGGATCATCTCGGTAGTTGCTAACTGAGGTTGTGTTTTGGCCTCTTTTTCCTAGAGTCAGTGGGTGAGGGGTGTGGATGTGGCCCACTGAGCTGAAACCTTTACAGTGGCTTCATTCCAACACAAGATAGATAGACTGTGGAGTCCTGCAGCTCAGTGGTTAGTGGTTGCAGGTGAGAGACCTGAGTTCAACTCCAGGCAGAGGGCGAAACCTTGGGCAAGTTTCCTTACTCCACACAGAGCCTAATAATAATCCCTCCAAAACCAAAAATAATAGTTAATTTGGTCATTTTCAATCTACAACTGTTTATGGGACATTGCTGTGCGCAATTGGCTGCCGCGTTCGCCCACAAATATACAGTCAATTCACTTTACAGTGTGTTCTGTGAAGCACTTTATAATAATGATAATAATCCTTGCATTTGATATAGCGCTTTTCACGTCAGGAGGACGTCCCAAAGCGCTTCACAGAATATACTGTAAAGTGAATTGACTGTATATTTGTGGGCGAACGCGGCAGCCAATTGCGCACAGCAATGTCCCACAAACAGTCGTGGATTGAAAATGACCAATTTATTATTGTTTTTGTTTTTTTTGGAGGGATTATTATTAGGCTCTGTGTGGAGTAAGGAAACTTGCCCAAGGTTTCGCCCTGACCTGCTTTGGGACGTCCTCCCGACGTGAAAAGCGCTATATCAAATGCAAGGATTATTATTATTATTATTATCACTGGTTCTGCAGGAGATTGAGAGCTTCTTGTTAACCATCACGTTCAATGGTACGACAGCTGGTCCTGTAAGTGGATCTTTGCCTGCGACAATGTGAAAACTGAACTGTCCCTTGTGGAGCTATATACCAAGGGCAACAAGGGAAAGTTAGCCAATTCATTTACATTCCAATCCAATTGTGCAATCCTGCAGCATATTGGTTAAAGCACTCGTCTCGCAAGCGAGAGGACCTGGGTTCGATTCCCAATCGGGGCAAAACATTAGGCAAGTTTCCTTACTCCTCTGTTTACCTGGCAGTAAGCAGACACCCGGTTGTTAGTCGATTTGTAGATCACTTTTGCGGGGATAATAATCCCTTCAGAAAAAAATAATAATAATTTGGTCAGGCAATCCATCAAGACTTGTGGGACACGACTGTGCGCAATTGGCTGCTGCGTTTCGCCCACAAAATATATACAGTCAATTCACTTTACAGTATATTCTGTGAAGGGCTTTGAGACGTCTCGTGATGAGACGCTATATCAAATGCAAAGATTATTGTTATTATAGCACACTGATTTTTTTTCCCCTCAAAACTGGCGGGCAATAGGTTGATGTCTCTTTACTTGTTGTACAGATTACCTGGACAATGGCAATAATAAGATGGCGATACAGCAGGCTGACAAGCTGCTCAAGAAACACAGAGATCTTCACTGTGCAAAGGTAAGAGAAAGAAATAGCAGTTCTAAATGGAGTGGGGTCTATGACTGATTGCACAGCCCACTGTATAACTAGAGTGTAATGCCGTTAACAGGAGTCTATTGTGGAGCCCCGTAGCATAGGGGTTAGCGGATTTGCCTCGCAAGCGAGAGGATCCGGGTTCGTTTCCCAGGCAGGGCAAAACCCTAGGCAAGTTTCCTTACTCCCTTGTCTCTGTTTACCTAGCAGTAAGTAGGAACCGGTTGTTAGTCCACGACTGTTTGTGGGACAGCATTTCAACCACAAGATACACTGTCAATACACTTTACAATATATTCCGTGAAGCGCTTTGAAATTTCTCAACGATGTGATAAGGCACTAAATCAAGGATTATTGTAGGAAAACAAAGATCATTTCAGGTTTTCCTAACTTTCCAAAGGATTGAAAATATCGCAGCTTACAGAGCTAGCTCATTGTGCGTTCTGCTCCAACAGGTTCTGAAGGCCATTGGGCTGCAGCGGACGGGAAAACAGGATGAGGCGTTTTCTCTGGCACAGGAAGTAGCTGCACTCGAACCCACAGATGACAACTCCTTGCAGGCTCTCACTATCCTGTACCGTGAGATGCACAGACGTAAGTTCTCGGGGGTGGTGGGGTGTTAGGCTAGGGTTAGGTTTAGGCTGGGGGAAGGTTTAAAGAGGGAAGGGATGACATTGTGTAGGTTTCTGCCTCTGGATGTATAGTATTGTAAACAGTTGGCTGTCCGCAATCCATGACTTCATTTGCTTGTGCCCCTCTTTTGCAGCTGAGCTGGTCACCAAACTGTATGAGGCTGCAGTGAGAAAAGTCCCGAGCAGTGAGGAGTACCACTCACACCTCTTTATGGCATACGCTAGGGTTGGAGAATACAAGAAAATGCAACAGGTACAGTTTGCATTGCTTTTTAAACTATTCTTTGAAAATTCAGAGTGAAATGACAGGAGACAACACTATTGCCTATCTTGTATTAAGTGTGCAAGGAGCTGTCATCTGTGGATTTGTGTGCACTATATCCTGTGACAGATCAAAATGTCAATTATTTTAATCTTCCCTTCTGTCCCTCTTCATCCGAGTGACTTATGTGTGCGTTAACAGTCAATTAAAGGCAGGATTGAGTTTGGTTCTCATGCCACCCCTCCAGTTAAGTGGCCAGTTTATGCTCTCTATTGATGAATATTGAGGAAAGAGCTGCATTCTCTTCTTTTTATAATATATATATAATGTGTGTGTGTAATACATATATAATATATATAACACCAGATTTTCAATTTAAAACTCCATCATAACTTCTCGTAATAAGTCCCAAATTTAGATTGAATGTAAGAATTTTCCAAATTTCTTCACAATCTTACATTTTCAGATAAAATAATTTTAATGCTGGACTGTGAAGCTTCGCACCTCTGAGTCTGGAATAATTCAGCACACGTTGGAATTCTGTGTCGGAAGGGGTCTTGGCAATGTCACTGTGCAGTGTTGCGGTTTGTAGTGTGCTATTAGAGACGAGTGAAATGTTCTGCTGTTTTTAGGCTGGCATGGCACTTTACAAGATTGTTCCGAAGAATCCATATTATTTCTGGTCGGTGATGAGTCTGGTGATGCAGGTAAGCAATGGGTGGAAGCCTTGAACGTGACCTGACAGCCACCACCAACAATGCTGAATATTGTATACAATCACACCGGAGAGACAAGGTGGTCCAACTGGTGGCCCGCATCAGGCCCCCGGGATGATTTAATCTGGCCCACGGACCATTTCCAACTTCAACAACAATAACAACAAGATTACATTTGTATAGCGCCCTTTACGTCGGGAGGACGTCCCAAGGCACTGGACTTCATTGCCCTACGAGCAAATATAGGCATCACGCAGGCCCTGAACCAATCAGGAAAACGGTCACCAGGGGCCCACGCTATGTTCGACAACAGGACTGATCAATCAGGTTAAGATATTGCGTGTGGCCCACGGACATGTCCCAAATCCAGTATCCGGCCTTCAGCAGCCAAAAGGTTGGACCACCCTCATATAGGACATTGCAGCATGGAAACCGGCCATTCAGCCCAACTAGTCCATGCCAGCGTTTATATTCTACATGAGGCTTCACCCCTCTGTTCCCCTCTCCCTTGTGTATGCACCAACAAAATAGCAGTAAGCACAACACACAGTCCTTCACTCTAAAGCAGTTTCTTTTATCAATTGAATCCCATTTGCCAGACAACTCTGCAGATCCCTGTATTGCGGAGGCAGGCAAGCTCCAGTTAATCTGCATCAGGCAGACCATTTGCTAAGCTGTTGTGCAGCTAAATGGATTCTGTATAATGAGATTAGTTTTGAATAAATGGTTCAAAAATAAATTGACCTGGACTCCTCATACACTCTGTACACTAAAATGCCTCTTTGAAGTGCTACAGCTGAGAAACATGACACCACAATCCAATTTATTTACCTCCTCATTGGAAATAATTTTAAATAACTGTTCCCTTGTTTTCGCTCTTCCTTGTAATGGGCCAATAACAATTTGCAGTTATACAGCACCTTTCGTGTGAGGTATGGTCTCAGAGTGCTTAGCAGTGGTGGAGCTTGGCACTGAGCCAGGGAGAGGGGGTGGCGGGTGGCCGTAGGCCGGGTCAAACAGGAAGGTCTTCAGGTCTGATCTGAAGACAGGAGGGTAGGAGGCAAGCTTCAGAGATTGAGGCAGAGAGATTCATAGTATTGGGGGGGGGGGGGGGTCACAGAGGTCCCTGGAGTGACCTTGTGCCGGATGTGAGTTCCAGGTATTGTGTAAAAGTGTCTCCGTATAAGTGAATTGCTGCTACAACAAGTATTCCCTTTAGATGTTGTTTCCCATTCAGCCCTGCCTGATAAAGCTCTGCCTGTCTGCCTGAATATAGCATTTATTTTAAGAACCAGATCTCTGTAAATGAGTGCTAACTAAGGGTGGAGTTCAAACTTTGCTTTTCTTGTTTGAGAATCCAGCGTTCCTGTATCATAGCCCTGGGCTCCTTCCTGACTCTCTTCCATTTTAATTATTGTTGTTCGGAAGCTGATGGTCTAATTACGACGGGTAGAAATCTGCAAAGCATCTGGCCTGGGATTGGTTCCAAAACTTGTTGCTTGAATGGGTACTGTGTGCCCCAGGTTTTTGTGCAACATTTACAGATACAGGAAGCAGGCAAACTCACTGTTAGGTTTCCATCCAGTGGACGTGGCGGTTACTAATCATTAAATAACGTCCACAGTGAGTTTGCCTGCTCCGTGTATCTGTACATGTTGCACAAAAACCTGGAGCCAAAGTGTTTGAGCGTATTGTACACAATTTAAAAAAGGGTCTTTGGTGCTGATTTTATACGGAATATGCAGTATTGATTGATGTGTTCTTGACTGACTAATCTACAACGATTGTTTGGAAATAACTCTTTGTGATTTTCCGCAGTCCATCTCAGAGCAAGATGAAAAACTATCAAAGACGATGTTTCTCCCCTTGGCCCAGCGCATGGTGGAAAAGATGGTGAAAGAAGACAAGATTGAGGCGGAAGCTGAGGTAGAGAAATGGAGTTGTTCGGAGTGGCAACTTGTATTTTTTTGTTACAGATCCAGAATGAATAGAATGGGAGCAGGGGAGAAATCGGCAACAATTCCTTTTCTTTTAACTGGCTCCTGCGTGAATCTAGGGAGTCTGTTCTTGGAGCTGAACTGGCCCCAAAAGGCACCTCCTCAATTGTTCTCCTTGATTCAAGTCCTAAAGTTGAGGCAGAATCTCTTCAGGCCTTGAGTGTGAAATGTTGGTGTGTGTGTGTGTGTGGCCCAGGTCCTCCAGGCTGTGTGTCCAATGTGCTGTGTCTTTTGTTGGCAGGTACAGCTGTATCTAATGATTCTTGAACGACTTAGGAAGGACCAGGAGGCTCTGGAGGTTATTCGCGGAAAGCTGGGAGGTAATTACAAATCCAGAATTTTGACAATTCCCTGGAGGATCGTTATTGTATTTCTTCTCTCCCCGGTTAGACTTGTGCTTTGAGATGCCCAGTGTTATCACCAAAAACAACAGCTTGCATTTACTCGCAGAGAGTAGCATCCCAGATCTTGACAGTGGCAGAGCACGACACCGAGTCGTGAGGGGAGGTGACCGTAAACACGATTGAAGAGAGAGGTCTTCAGGTGTGACCTGAAGATAGGGAAGGAGGGGCAAGTCGGGGTGATTGAGGGAGAGTGTTCCAGAGTTTTGGGGTGTAGTGGGTGAAAGCGCGGCCACCAATGGTGGAACTGAAGGCACAAGGGACAATCAGGAGGCCGCAGCCAGTCAATCGGAGGCAACGGGATTTTCCTATCTCTTGGACGGATGGTTGGATTGAAAGGTTTAGCATCGCATTGATTTGCATTGTTTGTCTCCTCAGAGAAACTGACGAGCGAGCTCCAGAGCCGAGAGATGAAGTGCATGGTGCTGTACAAGAAACTGGTCAAGTGGCCTGAATGCAATTCCCTGTCGAGGAAACTGTTACTGAAAAAGTGAGCAGGTCTTCACTTGTTTAACTGGGAGAGGTATGAGCACTGTAAATACACCCGAGGGCAGGGGTAGCCTGCTTGTTCCACCGTACAGGTGTATATTGCAGCTGTAAGTATGTTATAACAATGTGATTCTCCATTGTACGCTTGCTGGCAATACTCACTGCTGTTCTGTGGTTCTCTTCTAGCCCTGACGACTGGCAGTTTTACTTGTCTTTCTTCGACTCCCTCTTCCACCTGATTGATGAGGGCTGGACTCCCCCTGCAGAGGGCGAACAGTAAGTACTTTAATAACGCTTCTAAACATTCTCCATCGCGTCCAAATACTGAAGTATAAAAGCAAGAGTGCTTAATGCTCAAATAGGTCAGTATTTCATGTCTTTGTAGCAGTAAACACTAACTCAGTTCTGAATCACCTCTTTGAAATACTGCCTTACAATATGACACTATTGTTTATTTAAAAGCTTTTTTAACTGAGCTATAAAACGTGACTATAATTCTTATATCCTTTTGCAATTAGAACCATAAATATTTACAGTACACCAGAAAGCTATTCAGCCATTGTGTCTGAGTTGGCTCTTTTTGAAAGAGTAATCCTTTCAGTCCCATCTACGTGGCCATTTCCCTGTAATTTACTCCTTATAGTTAATACCGCAACGCCCAACACTCAAGTCAGATATTGTTGACTGTTTGTTGAGTACGGTACAGGTGGTGAATAACTGTCCTCCACCCTTCGCAGCTCTCTGGAAGGTCCAGTCACTTGGGATATACAGGAAGCCATTGCTTTTGTAGAAGAGAGGGTCCTGAACGAGGAGCCAAAGGGATCACGGTGCCTGAGGGGACCGTACTTGGCCAAACTCGAGCTGATCAGGCGACTGAAACAGAGAGGCACCAATGATGAACATAAACTAGGTGAGTCGTTAACGCCATAGGAGATTAAATCAAGCTTGTTTATTATATAGTGACCTTTATTGTTTCTATTATTGCCATGTTGCCACAGACCTTTGGTTGTAACATGGAGACTCAAACCATGAAACTCAAACTCCCATCTTCTGGGAGGGAGGTGATTAGGTGGAGGTAAAGAGGGTCAACTTGTACTGGAAGGCAACCAGCGTCTGGAGCTGCAGCTTGATCAGCTGGATCGCCCACAAAATACATATCCAGTGAAGAGCTTTGAGACGTCTCGACAACATGATAAGAAGCTGTATCAAATGCAAGGATTATGGAATGTTTTTAAATATTGCAGAAAGTTGGGCTGTGTAAATTTGGTTCTGTGTAGCTCTTGTACCTCCGTGGGCGAGCTCTCATTCTCTCTCTTTCCCTCCTCGCCTGCAGGGATCCCGGAGGATCTGATGTTCCATTATTTTGAACGGTTTGGGGACAGGCCATGCTGTTACTCCGACCTCAGGATCTTCGCCGACCTCCTGTCACCAGAACGGCACACGCAGGTGAGACTAGGAGGCCTGCAGAATCGCTCCAGTCTGTGACACACGTAGCTCATACACTTGGTGGCCTCAGCATCCAACCAGCATGATCACCCAGGATGTTTTAATTTGCACATAAGCTGGTGTTGAAGCATTGTGTCTACAAGAGTATTTGAGCAGAACTGCGTGCTGAGTATCTGGGACTGCAGCCAACCTCTTGTTTGATTTGGTTTGTTCTATTTATTAGACTGCCCGAAGATCCTTTTATTTATTGTCAAAAACAATGGACACATTATTGTGGCTGGAGGGAGAGAGAGAGAGAAAGAGGGAGGGAGCTAGTTTCTCCCATCAGAAAGAGGAACCTGCGAAACTGCTCCTTCATCACTTTCTTTAAAAGGGATTAATTAGACACTTAAAAGGTGAATGTGAAAGGGAATGGGGAGCGAGCATTGGGAACAGATTGGTTTGTGTTGGGGGGAGAAACACCAGTGTAACAACACCGCGTCTAGTAAGAGGCGTGTGATATTTTGAACAGCTCAATCAGATTGTAATTCTCCACCACAAGGTATTATTGAATCAAGAGTCTACGAATCCTTTCAAAGTTGGATTGAATTGAACTGGATAGATGCTGGAAAGAAATGTTTAAAGGGTGATAGGGAGTAAGCAGGAGAGTACGTTTAGACTGTGTGCAGAAAAGATTAATGGGGAGCAAGCAGGAGAGACTGGATGGCTCAAGTAGAGAAAAAAGCCTGCGTGTGTCTCTTTGAAAATGCAATCGTGTCATCCCATTCTCCTGCCTTTCCCCGAACTCTGTTCAAAGAAATGTAAGGAAAAGAGTCGGGGGTGGGGGGAAAGCTTAATTCTCATTTCCTTGTATTCTCTGCAGTTTATTAATAAACTCCTAGAAGTGGTACCTCTGTCAGTACCAGAAGAGGGCAGCCTCGCACTACCGGCCGACATCAAAGCCATGCAGAGGCACATGTTTGTGATCCAGTTTTCCAGACTGTTGGGTCTTCAGCAGAACATGGATCAGGCTCAGCGACTGGCACTGGTTCAGGAGCTACTGCACAGATACAAGCATGGCCTGGATTTCGGTGAGTTGCCACTCGCTCCAGAAACCCAAAGCTTTGTACTGTTCGGCTTTGAGCCGTGCTCCACCCCAGATATCAACGCTCAAAACTAATCCCGGTAGCTCTTCGCTCGAGGTTTATTTCTCGTGCTCCATTCCCTTCCAAGGCAGCTCCAGTTTGCACGTCGAATTGTTTCCTGATTGAAGTGCTTTTGTTTAACAGGGAAGTCGTGCTTGAAGACTGAGTTGCAGTTCTCTGATAACTATTGCCTCTTGGCAGTGCATGTTCTCCTCGATATCTGGAACGAATCAGGTCAGTTGCTTTCTCAATACCGTACCACGATTTATCAGATACTGGTGCCGTGCTGATTGATCTCGATGCACCTCGTTCGATCAGTTGGCTGCTACATGACATTGTTATGATGCATCTGTGATCTGTTTCCTGTAGGTGAGGAGTGGCCACTTTGGCGGTCTCTGGCCCTCTTGGAGGAGACCCTCTCCCACAGTCCCTCCAGTGCCCAGTTCAAGCTGCTGCTCATTCGGATCTACTGTCTCCTGGGAACCTTCGAGCCGGTCGTGGACCTTTACACCAGCCTCGACGCCAAGCACGTGCAGCACGATACCATCGGGTGGGTACTGTAGTAATCTCCAGCTCAGGTGTATCACTCGTATCAAATTGGTCACTCACTTCATGGCTGTTTGTGGAACGTTATTATTATTGGCTGCCACGCTCACCTGTAAATCCATAGTCCCTGCACTTTACAATAACCCTTTGGGATGTCCTCCCGACGTGAAGGGCATTGTACCAAATGTAAGGACTATTATTATTATCATCCCTAGAACTGGAAATCGCCAAAAAATACACATTCACATCGCTTTATAGTAAATCTTATGAAGCTCTTTGAGACATTTCGATGACGTGTCAAGGCTCTATATCCAATGCAAGGATTATTATGGTTGCTGTCGTTGTTTTGGAGGTGGGCGGAGTGGGTGGATGGAGGGGCGTAGGTGGGTGGTGGCTGTGTGGTGGTCAGAGAAGTCGGTGGTGTCTGTGATTGTGATGAGTGGCGGCTCTGTTTGATTGGCAGGTACCTGCTGACTCGATATTCGGAGCCACTGGGCCACCTCGCTGCTGCCTCCCAAGCATGTAACTTCACACTCAGGTTCTTCCACTCTAACCAGAAAGATGTAAGTGTGGCCCAGGCTCGAGGGGCTCAAGAGCTCCACGACCTACCTCTGTGTACATGATCTACAATAGACAACACGCTGGGTACTTTGTTAAGGCATTGTGACTTATATGTTTTTTTTAAAAATTGTTCCAATTGGGAAGATGGAGAGTTGGAGGTTTAAAATGGTGTTTGTCTTCTCTTCTTGTGGGTGAATGTGGCTGTGGGGGAGGAAGGGAGGTGGGCTTACCTTGATCACAGTTGTGCGTGGGAACATTTTTCTCTTTCCTTGTGAAAATCTGTCCCATCTGAGACCAGAGAGCTCAGCGAAGATTAAATGTAGTTTATTTTATCTTACCGGGGTACGTGTGTGTGTGTGACTCCTCTTTCTACTAATCTATTGTTAACCATCCCTTGCCCCCCCCCCCAACCACGAGGGAAATAATTGTGGATTAAACAGCCCAATAAATACAACTGAGAAGTAATTTATTTAGTTTTATGTTTAATTCATTTTAATTAAACCGAGTCATTAGAATTAACATAATCTTGGAGATCAGCTGGTGCTAAAATCCTCAAATCTGTCCTGGCATCATATGATCTCTCTCCCCCCACCCACAATTTCACGGCACTGTGTTAAATTAAACTATTATTTTCCTGTAGCCATTTCTCTTTGTAACCGTTGAACACAATACTCCTTCTTGATGATGTATTGCTTCTCGTGAGAGCCCTCTAATTGCCGCTGTAATATCCCGCCCCTTGTTTTTCCAGACCTCTGAATATATCATCCAAGCATACAAATATGGTGCATTTGAGAAGATTCCGGAGTTCATCGCTTTCCGGAACAGGCTAAACAACTCTCTGCACTTTGCACAAGTCCGCATTGAACGTATGCTGTTAGACCTCTTCTTTGAAGCGAATACGTACGTGCAGCTGTACTGTCTGGTATCATAGCTGTGAAACCGCGCTCCATTTCACTGGTTTAAATGTTTACGAGTCTAATCACGATCGAGCCACCCAGCCAACCCTCTTACGTGTGAAATTCCATGAGAACACCGCTGTTCTCCATCCTACGTTGTTCAAAGTAGAAAGTGCACTTCTTTTAAGGCTATTTATATGCCCTCAATTGCTTTCTGGTTATTTTTAGCCCATTCGTTTCTGTTTCCGAGTGGCAGGCTGACCTGCTTTCGTTACCCAGCGGAGGTGCACTGCACGCTTGGTCTCCACGCTGCGTGTGAGATTCCTTTAGGGAATGTGGTGTAGCGCTGTGGAAGGTACAGGCTACACTTGCAGGGAGAGTAAATCCGCTACTTGAGCTGTCTCGTTTATAGTACCAAGAGAATGCGGTCATTCCATCTCTCCATTACCCTGACTGTCCAGTGCACTGTCAACATTGCTAGCCCCATAAAATGTGTGGTCTGACCACATTGGACAATCTTGACTAAAACTCTGTTGGCATCGGATTCCTTCCTTGCCGTTTAGGAAATGGATGTGCAGTGCTTTGAGCATCCAACCTGGGAATGGATATACTTGCCCTGGGTTAAAACATGGAAATCCTGTTACAATTTTTGTCCCCTCCCAGGTTATAGCTGGGGGTTATTCTGTGGACATACACTCATTGGAAGCTTGGCACACCTGGTTTCTAGTCCTGACTAGCCACCGCCTCGCTCGCAAAAAAATTTGCTGTGTGACAGATTATCCCTGTGAAACTCTCAGGGACATTATCCTACATGAAGGGCTTTAGGTAATTACAAGCTGTTCGCTCCTGTTGGTGACTCTTCCCTATGTTAGAGGATTCCAAAAGAATCAGAGCTAAACCGGTTAGAGGCGAGAACATTCCTTCCCACATAAGGGAATGTGAAAGCCACGGCCAGCGAAGGCCATCGATGCCGGTTCAATGGGATGTTCAAGAAGGAGAGGAATAATTGGAACTACACCAACAAATTACATTTGTACAGCGCCATTCACCTCAGGAGGATGTCTCAAGGCCCTATGAAAAAAATATGAATGGAGGAAAGGGGGAAATTGAAAATGTACATCTAACGATCTAATAACCTGGTGCATTGGGCTGTTCCTATAATGAATGTTAATGACATTCTAGATTTGAACTCTATATCAGCTGTCAATCTACAGAATATTCTTTTTATACACTGGGTGTCTATTCAAGCAACTGACTCCGGAACTAAGCATTTTGGTAGCTGTTAGAAAACAAAAGTGGGATGTTTGTTAAAATGGTTGCTGGCATTTGTTGATATTAGTTTAATTTTATTTAAACCTTTACAATCAGGTGCCATTTCTCCCCCAATTTAATGCACGTTGTATTTTTCAGAAAGACCTAATCGCTGCACCTTTAGTAATCTCTTTTAACTCTGGCAGAACGAACGGTCTGGAGGAAAGTATAAAATCCATGGGTTTATGTCCGGAAGACGATGATATTCCGTGGGATGAACTTCGGGACAACCGGGATTTGACGGTCCACTTTAGCTGGGATCCAAGCGAAAGGTAAAAAGATGCTTCATGCCACAGCCCCTCCATACCTTCCTGACCTGCTTTCTTCCCCACTCCACTACCCGCTGTCTCCGCTCGGCTGTCTCTGGCCTCCTGCTCGTCCCTCAGCCCCTCCGCTCCACCGTTGGTGGCTGCGCTCTCAGCCACTACGCCCCGAAGCTTTGGAACGAGTGTTCCAGAGTCTTGGGGTGCAGTTGGCTTAAAGAGCCTCCGTTGTTCTATAGCATTGTTTTCATATGAAATTTGAACCAGGGAGATGTCCGAGGAGGAGAGGCAGATCTCGATGAAGGAGGAGATGACGTGGTTGAGGATTCGCTCGCTCACGCTGCGGCTAGTCGGCACCCTGGCTACCGGCAGCCACGGAGCAGAGACCAAGAATTCCAAAAAGACGGCGGAGAATGGAGTGGCCTCCCGGACAGACACTCTCCAGCTGTTAATTCAGCAGCTGGAAGGTGCAATACAGACTGGGAAGAAGAGTGTGGGGCAGCCTATTCAGGTAAGGTACTTGAGTCACAGGCTGGGCTGGCAGCTCCAACGTGGCTGGGTCTGTAAGAATTGTCACTTTATCTGAAATGTTTGCAGAAAGGACTCTTATCCTGCGTAAATCTACTGGTAAGATTTAAAAACTAGGAGCAGTTGCTTTGAGAATAACTCCCCCGAGAATAACTCAACCAAATGGGTTGGAAAATCTCTCAGGAAAGTGGTATCTTGCAAGCATCTCGTGGCATAAACTGTGCCTACAGGGAACTCCCGTGTTCACCCACGAAATACAGTCACTCCACTTTATAGTATATTCTGTGAAGCGCTTTGAGGCATCTCAATGACAGGATAAATAGCGCTTTATCAAATGCAATAACTATAATAAACGACACCAGCTCACGAGACCTTTCCAACCCAACATGAATTTTGGCCCTGGCAGGTTTGAGATGTTGTTGAAGAGATTAGTGTGACTTGTGAAGAGACAAGTGCTCCGGGACGCTATCCTGTGTGAGGGCCGATATATAAATGAAGTTCTTGCTGTGACTAATCTTTGATCCTGTGCCATCCACAGCATCTACTCCAGAGACCTCCTCCAACCCGCCTGTCAGCCTACATGGAGAGCGGCAGCTGCCGGTGTCAGATCAGTGCTTTCCACCTGGCTAGCAGCGTGTACGAGCTTGACATCAATGGATTGGGTAAGGACCTTCAGTCTGGTGGTGAAACCTTCTGCGCAATGTCTGTGCCAAGGAAACGGGTCTGGGAACTGATTCCAGCTCTTGATTCCAACACAAACATGATGGCTCAAAGGGTAGCCATCCGCCTGTGTTGTGAACGTCACTCATGTTTATTTTCCTTTTCCAGAGGAAACGCAGGACATCCAGGAGAGGATAGCAGAGAGTTTTAAATCATTATTAGAACAATTACAAGGTAAGACTGAGTTGCCTGCGAATGTTCCCAACGTTGCACTTTCTAGCAGTTTTGTACTTTTCAAGTCGTGATTCTGTTTTGAAACCGTTTGTTGCTGAGGGGCGTAGGTTGTGTTAGCACCGATTGACGGAGCTCAGTGTGAACAGGATGAGAAACCGGAAATTGGTTCATTTGGTAAATTGTTTTTTCTCGGTAATTAATTGAAGATGGAATTAAGAAGTTTTGAAATTCGGCGATCTTAAGTTGTGGGACTGTCATCTTAAAGCTGAGACCGTGAGGAATTTCAGGCCTCTGGTGCTGTGCGACTAGTCTCTGATGGTGGCTGGTAGGTTTATTCAACAGCTCCTCACTTAGGGTTGGGACGTCCTCTCGACGTGAAAGACACTGTGCAAATGTTATTTTGTCTTGTGATGGGTTCGCTCTCTGAGGTCTAACCAAGCCCTGATCTGCTGTATAAAACAAGAGCATTGCTCTGCAGTGTTGGTGGCCGAGTGTTTGTAATCTGTTCTCTTTTTCCCCTTTAGAGATATTCAATAAATGTAAAGGGAATTTATTGGAAACTAAAGAAACGGAGTGCAAATCTAGACCGGAACTTTTAGAATACTTAGTCTTTTTAGTCGAGGTAAGTGCTCGCTGTGCTAGCTATGGTTTTTCTTTAAAAAAAAAACGTTTCCTTTGGTGTGGTTTGAAATCTTTGCCATTTCTGTTTTTTTAAAGTATAATTAAAAAGTAGTTTGACATTGAATTTCAGGACTTTGTATAGTCCCAAATTCCCTGTTGCAGACTCATCAGTTTCAAGATCCTCACGCTCACCTACAAATCACTTTGTGCCCTAACACCCACTTACCTCCTCAAACCTGCTCACAGCCAACTCCTCCGTCTGCCCCTTCCGCCCAACCATTGCCGGTCTTCTGCACGTCCCTCATCTCCTCCACTCCACCGTCAGTGCCCATACTTTCAGTCACTGTGTCCCAAACCTCTGGAACTCCCTGCCTCAATATTCTCCGCCTTTCTCCTCTTTGCTCGCACCTCTTCCTCTTCGACTGTTTCACAGAATATATTGTGAAGTGAATTGACCGTATAGTGGGCGAAACGCGGTAGCCAATTGCGCACAGCAGTGTCCCACATTTAGAAAAATCTTTAAAAATTTCTCCCCGGCTCAGCGTCAGCGTCAGATTCCGGTGTTGTTCAGCACTCTGAGATGCTACCCCGTGGTGAAGGACTTATGTCAATGTGTTGTTTTGTTGATGGTCCTTTTTTTTGCCTCTTGTTATGAAATGTGATTTGTCTGTGTTTAATGAATTCTATTCTATGGGCAAAACTATGTGTCCAATGTATTTAACATTGTTAACAATATTTTACAGGACTTGGGAGTCCTGCAGCTCAGTGGTTAGAGCACTCGCCTTGCAAGCGAGACACCTGGGTTCAATTCCAGGCAGGGCAAAACCATGGGCAAGTTTCCTTACTCCACACCTAATAATAATCCCTCCAAAAACAATAATAAATTGGTCATTTTCAATCCACGACTGTTTGTGTGCAATTGGCTGCCGGCAAATATACCACACCATATTTGTGTTTCGCCCACAAATATAAGGTCAATTCACTTTACAGTCTATTCTGTGAAGCGCTTTGAGACGTCGAGAAGATGTGAAAAGCGCTCTATCAAATGCAAGAATTATTATTTATTATTAACACTGCTGGCAGTCAGGTCAGTAACTCGCTGCTGAGCACAGCAGCACAGGAAGATGAGAGGTTTTTGTTGACTAATAGTAATGTTTTTGCTTTATCAGACTGTTTGCATCATCCTGTGGGTATCGTATTACTGTGGTAACATACTGCGGCCGCTAAAGTCAAGTATACAGAAGAAAAAGAAGAAAAAAAAGGATATCAATGTTACAATGGTAAGGATATGAGAGGGGCACGAGTGCTTGAAGGAAGCGAGGAAAATAACTTCTAAATTCCTGCAAGTAATTTGCTGAAGGAATCCGTTTACTTAGCTTACCTGATCCCTCGAGTTCTCACACAAAAGATCTGAGTGTTCTTAGGCTTGTTATCATTGCCTTCAATTCAGTCTCGGTTTGGAAGCTGATCAGCCTTCAAACCAATATTTTTCAAAATGTGGGACACTGCTCACTGTGCGCAATTGACTGCTGTGTTTCGCCGACACAAACTGTACGGTCAATTCACTTTATAGGATATTTTACGAAACGCTTTGAGACGTTTCAATGACGCGATAAGGCGCTATATCAAATGCAAGAATTATTATTATTATTAACTGGGGACTTTTTTGGAGGTAGAGGAGGGAGAGGATGAAATGATCTTCATTTTTAAATGCTGGCTTTGTTTTCAAGGTCTCTTAATATTTATTTCCACAGCCGACAGTTTTCAGCAGCTTCCAAGACTACGTGGCCAGGTTGCAGACCTTCCTATCTGACATTCTCGAGCACCTGAAGGGTTTGGAGGAGACTCTGGCTGCACTGAAATTCAATGAGTTGACCCTGGAGGCTTCAGGCATCGAGGTATGAATTGAATAGAGCAATTTGCTGTTGGAGAACTCCACCGAATATATTGCAAAGTGGATGGACTGTATTTTGTCAAGGAAATGCAACAGGCAATTGCACACACCCTTCATTTTTTCTAACATAATAATAATAATAGTGGCCCATGGGAGGGAAGTGGACCTCCGAATATTTGCACAAGTCTTGGCAAGTTTGATTGGTAGCGTATTTTCAGGGTTTTTTTTCTTTTGATTCATGGTGTAAATCAAGAAAGATTCAATCAAGAAAATGTATTTTGTTTACCAACCTTGAAGATTGGTTTGTGTAAACCATTCTGTCCACGTCTGCATTGGCCCATCTCCATAAATGTTGGCCACCACTGCCCTACATCATCAGTGCTACCTGCAGCTCTAAATATATATTTTTTAATGAGCAAAGAGTTTAAATCCACGCTGTCTTGACAGTAGCTTCACATGGTCGAATGTTTTGGGGAGTTTAAACCATTGTCGCAGTGTTTTTGATTGTAATGGTCAAAGCCTGTCTGCATTATTATTTCAAGTTGGAACCGTGTGAGTAAACAAACACCAGCTCGCAGTGAGAACAATGCTTGGAGAAGCCTTGAGGCAGAACGCCTTTCTGCTTGACTCTCTGCCAGTGCTTTTAGAAGCTGTGGTCCGTTGATGCACAGATAAGGTAGCCATAGAATCACAGATTACGGTACAGGGACCAGCCATTGGTCCACGTCTGCACTTCTCTACGTGGGCCAGTTAATCTAATCCCTCTCGTCTCTTCGCTTGAGAAAAGAGCACTCTCTTCATCAGCGCTAAACTGTGTTCACTCGGTAAGGTTTGATGGTGGTGAGTGCGTGCTGGAAAGACAGATTAGGGGGTGTTTGTGAGCCCGGCCTCGTTGGATCATAGTCATCTGACACAGTTGGTCACGGCCTAAGAGCTTGATCTGGAGCCGTTGCTATTTGGCTCAGTAACTCCTTCCTGCCAGCTGGGGCTCCATTTTCATGCCCACTGTCCAAAACACATAGAGAGCACTCAATGCTTCCACACATTCAACTGAAGAACAGCCATTTCCATTTGATGCAGCGCCTTATCACGTCATTGAGACGTCTCAAAGCCCTTCGCAGAATATATCGTGAAGTGAATCGACTGCGTATTTTGTGGGCAAAACGCATCGGGCAATTGTGCACAGCAGCGTCCCCACAAACGGTCGTGGGTTGAGTGATAACCTCGAATGTTGAAGTTGAATTAGGATTTCTGTTAATTTGAGCAGCTTGTGCTGGGAATGTGGAATTCTCTGCCACAAACCTTATTCTGCGAGAGAGAGAGAGCAGCTCTGAAGCCTGTAAACGACACTAGAACAGGGCCCTCAACTGTTTGGTTGGTTGGATCTGCTTTCATGCAAAACAAACATCCACGAGTAACTGTCGTCACTGAAAAGACAGAACTGCACTAGTGATGTGGAAAAAAGCTGAATATGTTCTCTCTCTCTCTCTCTGTGTCCAGAGCTGCTGCTTTGGTAGTAAAGATAGTGATTATTTCTCATCCGAGGCTGAAGTGGAAGAGGTTACGAAACAAAGCGTTTTGTTTCTTGTTCCAGGGCGACCAGACATTCTTGCGGATAGTGCGGGGGAAGATCCAGAGCAGCTACCAGCGGTCTTTACAGGAGACCAGCGACCTGCTGCGGAAACGACTGGACACTGTCAAATCCCTGAAAATCTAATAATCTGAGCGGAGGAGGAGTGGGAGTGAAGTGGGGGGAGGGTGGGTGAGGGTGGGGTGTGTGTGCGGGAGGGAGGGAGAGACCTGAGAAGGACAGCACAGAAACACTGCATCATGTTCTGTGACGCCTTCCTTCCCCCCCCCCCTTCCAGCTGATCCAGCGTATTCACCAAGAGAGCATGAAGGACCTTGCGACAAAGAATTTAAAGTGAATTTTTAGAATAAAAACATGAATAAATTCTGTACATAAACCCTGGCGTTTCGAGGCCTTCTCTCAGACAAGGTGGCAATATTTTTTAGAATCTGTTTGCATTTTTTTTTTTTTGCGTAGCTCAAGTGCATGATACGCCAGTCAGTCAGTCGTTACTCGGGACTTGGAAACGTCAAGTGAAAGTTTGGACTGTGTGTTCTTCTCCTCCGTATTCAAGTGGAACGCACCCACGCTGGACTGAGGTTTGATTTTGTGGGATGTACAACAAGTGTGTGTGTGTGCGAGAGAGAGAGAGAGAGAGAGAGAGATAGTGTGTGTACAGGCTCCGATAAACGAGTATTGTACGTTCCCTGTGGTTTGTTTATTTGTGGTTTTTATTGACGTATAAAATGTGTTGTCTTATCAGCCAGGCTTTCTGCTCCTAATCAGGAGGTGGATGTGGTTGGATGGATGGATGGTGGGGGGGCAAGGGTGGGGGAGTGGGATTGATTTGGGGGGAAATCAGGGCTCAATTTTGGTTCCATTTTTATGGTCAAATTGCCTGCCTGCTCACACGTGAGGAGGATACTTGAGTGAGTTAATACCAGGCAGTGTGGAACTGTACCGTGGCCTTTGTGACGGTGATAGAATTATTACAGCGCAGGAGGAGGACATTCGGCCCATTGTGTCTGTGCCGGCTCTTTGAAAAGAGTTATCCAAATCAACCCCACTCTCCCCCGCTCTCTCTCCCCACAGCCCTGCAAACTTGTCCTCCCCAAATAATTATCTGCTTCTCTCTTGAAAGTTGTTATCGAATCGGCTTCCACCAGCCTTTCAGGCAACGCATTCCAGATCTGAACAATTTGCTGTGAAAAAAAATTCTCAGTGCCTCCTCCCTTCTGTTTCTTTTAACAACTATTTCCTGACCCACCCGCCAGCGGAAATGGTTTCTCTTTGTTCATCCTATTGAATCCCCTCATCATTTTGAAAACTTCTATTAAGTCTCCTCTTAGCCTTCACTGCTCCAAGAATAATCCCAGCTTCTCGAGCCTCTCCGCGTAACTGAAGTCCCTCATTCCTGGTACCATCCTCATGGGGAGAAGTTCTGAGGGTAATCTGGAGCACAGACCCGATTGTGCTGTTAAGATGCCTCTGAATGTTGCAGAGGCCTGTGTGTCGCTGGTTTACTGACCTCTGGGTCATTTTCCGTGCTTGTTGCCGCTCTCGTCCTGCAGCAGCAGGTCCTGGACATGGGATGGGATCAACCCTTTCTCCTCTCTTTCCCCCTTCCCCACCCGATACCAAACTAGGAACTATCGTCAGTACCGCAAAGTGTTATCCAGGTAAGGATCAGCTCAGTCCCTGCCCCTTGGTCTAGTCGTTCAATAATGTAATAATCCTTGGATTTGATACAGCACCTTATCACATCTTTTCGAGACGTCTCCAAGCGCTTCACAGAATATACTGTAAAGTCCTTGCATTTGATATAGCACTTTGCAATGAAAGGGCACAGGCGTCTGATAACCGTTCATTTATTTCCCGTTGGTTTCAGGAGGTTGATTGGTCTGAGGAGACTTTTAAGATGCATTGCCGGAAAGTGCACATTGAACAGATGTCAGGTGAGGACAGGATTGGGTTCAAACTGTGACACATGCAGGCTACTAGCACTCACTATCTGAATGATCACTTAACATTACCCAACATCTGTGGTGACCCAGGACATGTTGGTACTTTGAAAGGGTGGGATAAAGACGAGAACCACTGCAAATACCATTTTGTTAACCGGAACCTCTCAGTATTTGGAAGTTGATTTGTTTCAGATTGCACGGACCTGACTTACAGCATATGTAGGAGTCGAAACCTGGGTCAAATGTTGTACTGGAATGAGCGAAGCCACAGGTTAAATTGGCTGAATTGTATCTATTTATCAAATTACTCGCAATACTGACTGGTCGACCTGTGTAATTAGATCGTTACCTGCTTGTATACAGAATACCATCAGTTTGAGAGGGAGAACTCTGATTTGTAAGGTTGTTTGCAATAAGAATTTTGAGGCAAGTGTTTTGTCTCGACGCTGCTGACTGTGGTGTGACATGCGGGTGTTGATGCCTGTGTAGATAGTGAATTCTTTTCTATTTAATGACATTTGTTACTTCAATCCTTTTTGGATCTCTTACTGTTTTCTACAAAAGATGCAACCACACGATCAGTTTATATATTATTGTATCTTTTAATCCATTTGTAAAAACCAACTGAATTTCTGGAAGCCGGTTAGCTGCAATATGCGCTTTGTGACGCTAGCTTGCGCGAAGGGACGCTATACAAATTCAAGTTGTTGTTTTAAAACCAAGTAGCCATGTGTCAGCCTTGACCCTGAGGCAGGTGATTGCAGATCTGTGGAGCTGTAATCTATCCTTTCCCAACGTCCACGCATGCACGCTCTTCAGTCAGGATCCCTGGATAGATACCTGGAAGAGCGTCACTTGACTTTGGCCATCAGCAACAAATTACATTTGTATAGCGCCTTTCACGTCAGGAAGACGTCCCAAGGGGATGGACAGTCAGGGATTTGGACCCAAGCTGGGGGTTGGGGACAGGGAGAGAGGGAGGGTGCGGGGGTGGGTTAGGAGGGTGACTGAAGAGAAGGGTCGTGAGAAGGGCTTATCAATAACACACAGGCACAATGTAGTCTTCTAATGCCTTGGGGACTTGGCACTTTAATCAAATGACTTTCAGGTTTGTATGGATCAGTGATGGTGTCACTTCCCACTGAGCCCATCTGAGAAGGTGAACACAAAATCATTTACAGTGTCGAGTTTAATTTTTAAACTTAATTAAACTAAAAACAGGTTTTAACCACAGTCACTGCTGAAAAGCTTTGTTATTTTTATTTGAAATGTTTTATCCACTTTGGGAGTTTCTCCTCGTATCGTGGCCAATAATTCTCCAAATAAAATTGGGACAACTCACTTCATGGTTGTTTGTAGGACATTGCTGTGTGCAAATTGGCTGGTCCTTTGGGACTTCAAAATACAGTCACTGGATCTTACGGTAATTTGGGGGAGGGGATTGGGGCTTGTTAGTGGGGACAACCCTATTCCTTCGTGAAATGTATTTAGTCGAATTTGATTAACGGGGGTGAGCAGAACAGGGCCTAAGTTTGTTCACCAAATTTTTAAAAATTTGAGAGGGAAATGGACACCAAAGTGGTTTGTAGCGTCAGTAATGATGTGATTTTGAACATAGGAACAGGAGTAGGCCATTCAGCCCCTCAAGCCTGATCCACCATTCTATTAGATCATGACTCAACTCCAATTGCCCACCTTTGCCCCAGTTCCCTTGTTACCCTGACCTAACAAAAATCTATCCACCTCAGTCTTGAAAATTTGAATGGATCCAACATTCACTACCGTTTTGGTGGCGAGGAAACAGGTAGATTGTCAGACTTGTGGTGGTTGGTTGGGAGAGAGGGGAGGGAGGGAATGATCACAGCTCCTCTTTGCTGGAGGCAACACCTTGGAATGAGCTCAGGATGTTCAGCCTCTTATGGAGATCTGACACCTTGGCCGAGCTCATCTTGCTCTCGCTCAGCATCTTCTTGATCCGCGCCATCTCGTCGGGGACAAACTGACTTCCGTGCGTCAGCACCCGACCCATGATCTTTAGGTACTGCTCCGCCGATTTCCGCTCGGATTCCTGCACACCCTTCGCCAGCTCCTTCGCTTCCTCCATGATGCTCTGCCGTTCCTCTTCGGAGGAGGAGGTGGACAATCTGACCACGAGGGGGTCAAACTCCCGCAGACACCCAGGCATCCCCACCCACACACCCTGGCTCTTCAGCCAGCGCTGGAGGGCCTCTGACACAATCTCCCCCGAGTAAGTGACCGGCTTTTCCATATCTCCGTCCACAAACAGCAGATAGGATGGATACTCACTCTTCTCCACCTTGTATTTCTCGCCCAGCTCTGCATTTTGCTTCTCGCCATAATCTGTTAGCAAATCAGAGATAATGATGTGATAACTAGGGAGTCCTGGAGCGTTGTTCTAATGCACTTGCTTCGCAAGCGAGAGGACCCAAGTACGATTCCCGGCCGGCAATATTCCGTGAAGCGCTTTGAGATGTCTCAACAATGTGATTAACAACAACAAAATTACATTTGTAGAAGGCGCTATATCAAACGCAAGGATTATTATTATTGGTGGGTGGAACCTTGCGGAGAAAATGAAAGAATAGAGGGTGTTAAGAAGGTGTGAATCGTGGTCTGTGCTGAGTTTGCTACAGTTAGTGTCGATGGCCCAAAAAACAGGAAGGGGAAAGAAAGGGGTTGGCATTTCGGGAGTTGATTAAAATCAGGTGGCAATAAATAATAATTGTTGGGATCTGGAAATGCGTTGCCTGAAAGGCTGGTGGAAGCCGATTCGATAACAACTTTTAAAAGAGAAGTAGATAATGATTTGGGGAAGACAAGTTTGCAGGGCTATGGGGAGGGCGGGGGAGTGTGATCGAGTTGGATAGCTCTTTTCAAAGAGCCAACACAGACACAACGATACTTAAATTTGACACAGCGCCTTTTCGCAGCGAGAAGATCTCAAAGTGCTTCATAGGACACACTGAGGTTGTGTTGCTGTGGTCAAATACTGTGCTGTTGTGAGCAATAGAGTTGTTCCAAGTCAATCAGTCCCTACCTGATATTCCCACCTCCACCACCAGCAGGTCCGGGCTAGAGACGCAGTTCGCTGCTAGTTTCTTAAACTCGTCGAATTTTTCTCCATAGGGATACTGCGTGTCGAACTTAACCAGGACATACTTGTGCTTTGGAACCACCTGTGGGAACAGAACAGTCACACTTCAGTGCCTCTCAATGATTTCACAAGGTCTGGCTCACTCCTGGCCTCCACACACTGGGTGGTGTCCATCCGATACAGGAAACCAGTCAGCTATGAAGGAAGCAGGTCCTGCGGTAGTTAACAAGTGCATTTTTCTATCAAGTTATTGCCCCCTCTGTCCCACCCCTCTCCCTCTCTGCTCCTGAAGGTAGGCTTTCAGTGCTTTGGGATGTCCTTCCGACGCGAAAGGTGCTGCATAAATGCAATTTGTTTTGTTGCTTTAGCACTTAGTATTTGGCAGGTTACTCCAATTCAGAGAGACACGACAGGGCCCTTCTGTTGCCTGTACTCCACAAGAGGAGAGGAGGAAGGATGGATGGATGGATGTTTTGGAAAGAATATGCGGTGGTGGAATTTCATTCAAAGTTTTTGAATAACATGTTCAAACATGTCATTTAATTCCCAGTTATTACCAAAGCCCAGTCACTCGCTTCACAGCCGTTTGCAGGACATGCCTGTACTTGGGCCTGATTTTTATCCCGTTGATAAAAGGCACCAAAGCCTTTTAAAAACAGAAGGGCGAAGGGTACGACCTTTACATAAAAAAAAATCAAATTTACTTATAAAGTCTTTCCAAAATGCTACACGTATAACTGCTGGAGAAGAGGGCGGCTATCAAGTGAAGTGTTAAATCTTTCATCTTTAAACTCGTGATCAAGTGGGTGTGTGTGTGTGAAAGAGAGAGAGAGAGAGAAAGCACTAGAATCTGACACAACATCTGAGGTCGGCCTCGTTGAGCAGGAACTAAAGTGGGGGAAAATGGGGGCGGAGAAGGGTGGGACGGAGAAGGGGAATAAGGAAAGGAGGACCGCTGGGTGCCTGACACATGCGGAAACCCGTCGCCCGTTGCTTTAAGAGTACTCAAACCCAACGGAGATACGAGGAGGAGCGACTGAGCGGTAGAGACCTGTCAGAAAGGGAAAGAAGCAAACACTTGTGAGCAGGGGATTGGCCTTCAGATCTCAAAGCCCTTCGGCTGTAATCTCTCCATTGGTGCTGAGCGCTCGGCCGGCAGTTCCAAAACCGAACCTTTGTTTCAAGAGAAATGGCTCAGAAATTCACACACATTGTACACACAGAGAGGAGAAATATACACTCACTCAACACCGATCAGAGAGACACAGACAAACACACCATTAGAAATACCTATACACAAAGAGATCAGAAATATACATGAGACACAGATCAGAAATACAGACACACACACACACAGACACAGACTGGGGCACAGACAGAGAGAGGGAGAGAGAGGGGGAAACGTGCAGTAGAGATCTTTGCTCAGATTTCCTGTTCAAATCCGTTTCCCCCGAACTTCCCCTTTCGGGGTGAATTTGGGAAAGATCCTAAACCTTATTCTTAACCACCATCTCCCCCCCCCACCATCATCTCCCCCCCCCACCACCATCTCCCCCCCCACCACCACCACCATCTCCCCCCCCACCACCACCATCTCCCCCCCACCACCACCATCTCCCCCCCCCCCCACCTCCCTACCCCCCCCCTCCCACCTATGGATAAGGATTCCAAGGGATCCACATGAGGAAACTCCCACGTGAAAAAGTCCCCATTGTATCTAAACCCACAGTGTTACAGTGTGTGGTATCGGGACCTGATGTGACCATCAGCAGCAACAACACTCCGGGGTTTGCTACACGTTCATAGCCTTTATATATATATATATACATATACACTCTCTGTACTATTATATACACATAATATAATATATAGTATAAATTATAACCATTTTAGGAAGTTGCTCTGATGGCAGATCCACACGTGCGACACGTGTGTGTGTGGGGGGGTGGGGTGTATGGGGGGGGTGGGGGTGTATGGGGGGGGTGGGGGTGTGTGTGGGGGGGGGGTGTGGGGTGTGTGGGGGGTGGGTGTATGGGGGTGTGGGGTGTATGGGGGGGGTGGGGGGTGTATGGGGGGGGGTGTGGGGGGTGGGGGGTGAGGTGTGTGTGGGGTGTATGGGGGGGGCTGTGGGGGGTGGGGGAGAGAGAGGGGGTATTTTCACCCCCACACCCCCCCCCCCACACCCCTATTTACCCGCTCACCTTAGAGAAAGTGGTGGTGTCCAGAGGGACGGAGCCCTGTGTGTGTTGGGCGGCGGTGGGGCCGGGGATCAGGAGACAGCAGAGCCCAGACACCAGCACACAGCTGCTCCAACTCCAGCAGCTCCTCCACCAGCAGCTCCTCCACCAGCAGCCACCAGCAGCAGCTCCTCCAGCAGCAGCAGCTCCAGCCCTCACCGGCCATCGCCTCCGCCATCCAACACCCCCCCGGGGCTCGGGCGGCACGTGACCGACTGTGGGGGAGGACTGAGCCAAACACATCACTGCAATCCTTCAGCCATAACACATGGCCTTTAACCCCCTCCTCCCTCCTCTCTCTCTCCCTCCTCCCCTCTCCCCTCTCTCTCCCCCTCCTCTCTCTCTCCCCCTCCTCTCCCTCTCCCCCTCCCCCCTCCTCTCTCCTCCCCTCCTCCCCTCCCCCTCCTCCCTCTCTCTCCCTCCTCTCTCCCTCCCCCCCCCTCCTCCTCCTCCCTCTCCCTCCACCCCTCCTCTCTCCCTCCACCCCTCCTCCCCTCTCCCCCTCCCCCTCTCCCCTCCTCCCCCTCCTCCCCCTCTCCCCCTCCTCTCTCCCCTCTTCTCTCTCCCCTCCTCCCCTCTCTCCCCCTCCTCCCTCCTCTCTCTCCCTCCCCCTCCTCCCCCCCCCCCTCCCCCCCCTCCCCCCTCCCCTCTCCCCCTCCTCCCCTCTCCCCCCTCTCCCCCTCCTCTCTCTCCCTCCTCTCTCTCACTCTTCCCCTCTCTCTCTCTCCCCTCTCTCTCCCCTCCTCCCCTTCTCCCCTCTCTCTCCCCCTCCCCCTCTCTCCCCCTCTCGCTCCCCCTCTCTCTCTCCCTCCCCTCTCTCTCCCCCCCCTCTCCCCTCTCCCCCCCAGAATAAGCCCAAACCACCAATGTCAAAGCTGCTGATAGATACATCAACAAATCCATACACCATCGACAGTTTTCTGTTGGTGACAGACCCCCCCCCACCCCCTAAAACAAACTGGTAAAAGGTGTATTCAGAAAGGGTGTCACCCCCACCCCCACACCCGCTTGAAGGGCGCGATATAAATGCGAGCTGCTGCTGTTGTTTGCTCACCCCCCCCCGCGCGCCCCCGACCCGCTATCCGCGCCGGCTCCGGCCCCCCGTTTGTTCCCCCGTGCCCCCCGTTTCACTGTCGGCGGCCGCGCTTTCAACCGCTAAAAGCCCCGAAATGCTGGAACGCTCTCCCTCAACTCCCCTCCGCCTTGCCCCGTCCTTCCCCATCTTCGGGGTCACGCCTGAAGACCTTCCTCATTGACTGTGCTTACTCATTGACTCCCCCCCTTCTGTCAAGCGCTCTGGGATGCCACCCTGAGTGACGGCCACTATATATAGATATATATACACAATTCCCCCCTAATAAGCTCTCTCTTCCTTTCTGTAGCTTCCCTTGTACAGCTACCCAGACTACCTCAAGTACTAAGCCTTATTTCACATTAAATATGTTGCTCTGATCCCTTTTTTTGCTGCCATTTAATTTTTAACAGTAAATTGGTCCGCAAGCAGCGTCACCTGGTGTCGATGCTATGCCTGGACAATGCTTACAATGGATGCAGGTAATTCCAAAAGCCTTCAGCAATTCTGGCAATCCGATATACCTGGAGGAAAAATCAGAAGCATTCAGGAATTCGGGCAATTTGAAACAATACCCAGGAATTCCAGCAGTCTGAAATAAAACCCTTCGCAGGATGTAGTGACTGTGTATTTTATGGGCAAACACAGCAGGCAATCAGCAAAGTTCCCCAAAACAGCCCTGTAAATAAAACCTCTGATTTTATTTGGTGGGTTGTTGGCCAGGACATTGGGAGAGAAAAACTCCCTTCTGTTTTTGAATTGCGTCGTGTGACGTCTGAACAGGATCTCGGTTTGACACCTCGTCTGAAAGATTTCAAATGAAAGAGTCTGTGTTAAAACAGTTTGACTGTACAGAAAAAAAAACTTTGGAATCAGTCAGTGAAATACTGCAAGACTGAGTTAGAGAAAGCATATCAGCCCATTGGGTCTGCGCCATCCTTTGTGTGTCTAATTTACCTCCTCGACATTATCGGTCGCGTCAAAGAGGTAACTCCACATTGGTAGCACCAGAATAATGCACGACATCGGTAGTTTATTACAGCCCTTTAACACTAGTTCAAAATGTAAGCAACACTGGCTTCACAACGGTTAATAGTAAATTGTCAGGCAGGTATTAATTTCTGCCACCAAGCGGCACTGTGAGATGCAACGACTGCTGTCATCTTAAAAATCCTAATGTTCTCCATTCAGCAAAATGGGCTACACAGGGCGTTGTAGCCCTTTAAAGCAGCTGCAATGTAAATTACATGGGACAGGGCAGCTAAATAGGACTGAAAGGACTGCTCTTTAGAAGATCCGGCGACAGACATGTTCAAGGCAAAATGGCCTTCTTCTGTGCTGTAAATTTCTATGGTTCTTGACCTCCAATACAGAAGTGAAACTAACCACTAGAAGGTGCCCAAGTGCAGTCCTACGTGACAAAGGTCCGATGGTAGGGTGGTCCCAGCCGACAATACCATCAAATCTACCTGTTTTGTGCTGCAGTTAGTTACCATTCTACTTATACGACTCTCTGGGTCCCCTGTTCAGATATACGTCAGTGAATGATCACAGGGTAAATCATTTCCTACCATTCTGTTGGTGCTTTAACAATGGAGTCCACTGCTGGATCCTGATCCTTTGGAGGCTTCTCAGTCCATCTACATGAAGAACAGCAGGCCTGACTGTACGCTCCGAGACCACCTCAGACTCCTCGTATCAGGGGAGCAGGAGATGAAATTGCTTTTGTGAGGTTCCCACCCACCCACTTGACCGGCTGAATAAAACGGATAGGACCACACTTACTGACCTGCTTGATGCAGAGGATCTGCTTTGCTGAGGTTGGGTTTAAGACACACGGTTAAGCAAATCATCCATATCTTTGCTCCATGTTTACACGCTTGACACCACAAACGATGGCTCCGAACCCCAGCACTGGCTTCCAGTGATCTTCAGTAAATGTTGTGTGTAGCCTCGCTCAGTGGGTAAATAAAGCTTCTCTGCCCAGTGTCATGCTCAACTATAGCACAGACTGGTTGGCGAGTTCAATTGTGTTGGGTTACCTTGGGTGGCAATGGGGGAATTGAGTGGCCAAGGTAATGTGCCTGGCAATGGAACACTGGCATCGATTTGATTAACTCGCTCATCGGTTTCTTGAACCGGGCAGGTCAACGGCAACAACACCTTTCGTTTATACAGCGCCCCTCACTCAGGGTAGCGCCACAGAGCGCTTAACAGTGGCAGAGCGCGGTGCCGAACTGGAGGGAGGTGACAAGTCAGCATGGTCGAAGAGGAAGGTCTTCAGGTGCGACTGGAAGTTGTGGGAAGGAGGGGGCAAAGCCATCACTGTGCTTAATACCCAAACCAAACCAGAGCTGCACGTATGCCACCTGCGGGTGGAAACCCCAGAGAAAGGTTGTTGGAATGGAATGCACACTCTCTCCCTGGAGCAACGCATCCTGCTTACCTAAACCTGGAAAGTCACCTGTGGGACCACACCTCTAGCAACTCAGCAATATGAAGAGCAGAGACAACCGTCAGGCGAGTGGGCGGGAAGAGGAGCTCTCTGTGCCACGTACGTCTCTCGTGTTGTGCACATGTTGTTGGCAGCACTGCACTGCGGGGTGGAGTTTTTTTTCCATATTTTATTTACATAAAAACTTTTTTTTTACATTTATCAAAGAATACTCCTGGTACAGTGTAAAAATGGCAGGGCCGGTCATCGCTAGGTATCCGGTGAGTTTGTTTGCTCCTCAATCACCTGTTTGACTATTTCTGCTAGTTTGAGCCGATCCACTTTATCACCAAACTGTCTCCCTGGAAAGACAAGAGAAACCTTTTTACAGGTTATAACTATAGAGTGAATTGACTTGTGTATTTTGTGGGCGAAACACGGCAGCCAGTTACGCACTGCGGTGTCCCGCAAACACTTGTGGATTGAGTGACCCGAAGGCTGCAATAACCGATGGTGGGACGGAAGGAAGGGACGAGGGACAAGCAGGAGGCCGGAGCCGGTCGAGCGGAGAAGTAGTAACATTTGGAAAACCTCCAGCACCTGCTCGCTCACCGTTCCAGCCGAGACTCTGGAGAGCGTCCCTTAGACATTTACACTCCTTGTTGTAGTGCCACGCCTCCTGCATCACCTCGTTCAGCTTGTCATCTTCATTCTCGCCTGCAGAGGCAAATTCAATAAACATCCCACATCAATAGTTAATAATCCTTGCATTTGATATAGCGCCTTATCACCTCCATCTGTCTCTCACACACACACACACAACTATCTCACACACACACACACCTCACACAAACACCCCTACACCTAGCTACCATGTCCTCTTTTTCTCTCTCTCTCTCTCACGCACACACACACAAAATATAGGGAATTATTTTGCTCTGAGGGAACAAGTATTAAAGAAAAAGCCTTTCCTCCCCCACCACTCAATCCGTACCAGCCTGCGGTAGAATACACTGTGCGATGACATCTCGCAGTTTCTCCAGGGCGACGTTGGAATCTTCTATATCGTTCTCGGGGTCGTGGATATACACACCATCCTTCGGCCTCGTGCTGGAACAAAACGATGCCCTGTTACTGGCCGGCTTCTCCTGCACACCCCCAGTGATTAGCCAAATCAGGAGATATTTAATGGGCTAAGGACGTTAAGCAGGCTTATAAACAAAAACACACAAGAGGAAGAAAAAGGGGTAGAAAGAATTAATAAAAAAATGAAAAAGCAATCAATAAGGACATGAGAAGAGGGATGGGAAAACTGACATTACCCATCTCGCCCCCACTACAAGAGTGCCATCTATCAGGCGATCGTACTCTGGCACTGCCCACGGAGATGTCCATCCTCAGCGCTGCCTCACCTTCTGGCGGAAGGAGGCTATCTGGAGGCAAACAGCCATATGAGAAAAAACAGTGGGGAACATTGAGGGAAAGTTACTTTGTAAAAGATATCGTCTTCTTAAAGGGGAAGAACAGTCCTCACCTAAAACTCGCTGTGCCATCCCAGCTGTTATAAAGGGAGAATTCTCTTGATAGATTAGATGAGATTAGAAATGCACATCAACAAACAAAATCATCAACTCCACAAGTGCAAATGGCAGAGCTTGAATCCGTGGCATTTCTACAGTCAATTGTGGAATTATTCAGTACTTTGCATGTGTATTAAAGGGGGGGGGGGGGGGGGGAATGCAGAGTCAAAATGTTTAGCTTTAGGTGCCTGGGCGGTTGGGGGTGAGGAGGAGTAAGAGGGATTAGGAGCAAATGTGAACAGAATCAAACCAGGTTGAACAACCCAACAGAAATAAGAAGCAAATTGTGTAGCCGAGACAAGCGAACAGTTACGGCATTCGGTTCAAACTCTCAAAGTGTTTATGTACCAACACAATCAAATCCAGACAAAAGCACAGTGCTCATCCCATAGGACCTGTTCACTCCTCTCCCCAGTGATCCAAGCACACCAAGTAGACCCAGATGATTCTGGTTGGAAAGCTCCATGCGTTACAAATGAGTTAGTCGACTGCCAAATATCTGGTTTAACACATTTTGCTACTTAACTATTTTGTGTGGAGTGTACATTGTTAAGTGGCTTCTATTTAAGACTGAGCTGTTGAATGAAGGGCTACATTGAATGTGCCGCAAAGCTTTGCAAGTGTTTTTTTTTAAATCTGAGGATCCAAACGGGAGCAATTCTTAGCAAACTAATTCTGCCTTCCTGGCATTAAAGTGGAAGATTTCAGAAACGCTGTAATGTGGGGGAAAGAACGATGGTCTTTGTTTAAAAAGGGAAGCGATTAAAGTAAATGGCGAGATGCAGTGAAATGGAGATTTTTTTAAAAAAAATTGCAGCCAGTTTGCTCTCTTCACCTGAGATGATTTATCATATGGAAGAACTTCCCCATAGGGTGAAATTACTGAACGCAACGAACTCTCTCTCTCTCTCTCTGTGAATTCTCAGCTCTGTTGCTCCGAGTCACTGTACATCACATCAGATAAAACCCCAGTCTCTCAGGGAACTGTAGCACCTGCATGAATTATTAGCTCAGATTTCAGACATAGATTGTGTTGCTAGCATAGATAAACAGTAGTAGGATTGCCGCACTTCAAGGTGAATGTCTCTCATGTCATTGCCTGATTCAAATTCTCTCTATATATAATCTCTTACTGATCGCCAATTCCTTTCTCTGTATAGGAGTTCATTGAATGGAACCTGGCTACAGTGTAGGTGGAGCAGTGGAAAGAGAGAGTGCTGAATTTCCTCAAAAAATTTCCTGGTCTTATCTGAGCTTCTGGGGGAAGGATGGGTGGAAAGAGAGACAGAGGAAAATTGAGGAGACGATGCTTAAAGGCCAGAGTGAATCCAGATCTAACGTTTCTCTGTGATCTACACAGACAGGCTCTCAGCCTCAATGAGACTGTTCGTGGTGTCTGGAGGTGAGTAACAGGAAAAGGAAGAAAGAACATCATAAAAGACTTGAAACTTGGGTCTCAATTGGTTTTTCAACACAAGGAAGGCAAAAGGATGAAATTCTGAACACTCCAGCATTCATTTCTTCCCAGAAAGAAAGTTTGTTCAATCTTCTGAGTCTCAAGCGCAGGGCTTTGTGGAGACTTGCTGGGATGATAGTGAAAAAACGTTACAATAATCTTCCTTCATTGCCCAATTCTTCGAACCAAATAACTATAATACGCTGAAGCATTCATTATCCTATACAGACATTTCCATAGGAAGAAAATAGAATATTTCCTTGTGCAATTGTGTGCTTGGTTTTATTGTCCTACCCCTCTCGAAAAAAAAACATTTCCAATAAAGATCAGTACAGAAGCCTGGGATGAACACTTCCAATTCAGTCACACACACTTACCCAAGCAGCTTCCTCTTGCGTAGAATTGGGTTATTAACAGAGTTTAGAGGTTTAAGGCTGACTTTCAGATCCTGAATTCTCATGCTGGCCAGCTGTTCTGCATGGGCTTGTTGGATCCCAGCAACTACTGCCTGCAACACACAGATCTACAGTCAGAACAAGCTGAGCCACCACCAACAGGCAGGCCTGCCCTTCAAAACACAGCGCCACTCGACAAGACAATAGAAAACCGCACAAATGGATTCTGGGACTCTCCACGTGAAGGTTGGATGATGTTCAACGAGGTGATAGACCTGTGACAAAGCTGTGTTCAATCTGGTGTTCTGAGGTTACATATTTATGGAAGAGTCTTCTACAACCCAATGCTCCCCCCACCACACCAATACCAGCGAAGACCAACAGAAACCCAGTAGCCCAAATCCCGTTTGTTCGTCTCTTGCTGGGAGACCACACGTGTTGCTCCCAACACACATCAACAGGGCAAGCTTGGAGATGTGGGTACATATTATTCAATACCCAAGTGCCTTCCGATGACCTCTGGCGAAGGCTCCGATCCAATTACAAAGCAGTTGGTTTTGTGGAGTTTAATCAAGTGCTACTTTGGGAATTGAGAATGCGCTGAAACCCGAACCATTTAAGTGTCAGCCGATGTTTCGGGGTATTTCAACTCCACCAGGATGACTGATTCTTCACCGACAACAATGGTCACTCACCTTGTCCATCATCATCTGGGAAGATGGTAAAATATTATCTAAAGCCTCTGTGGAGTTCAACCAGGGATGAGCCAGCACCCCTTCGATACTTAGTCGCTCCTCGGGCTTGACTTTTAGCAACCTGCGGAAGAGATCAAATTACTTCAAAAACAGGAGGGCGGTTAAAAAAAATTGTGAAGTCTAGACGCCTAAATGGGGTAAAATAATCCAAACCTAAGTGAGCAGCTCCAACATTAAAACGGCAACTGAGCACGAATACATTTTGTCTTGTTGGCCAGTTGTCATAAATTCTAGGAATCTTTTTCCCTCCCTCTATCCTGCAGGACTATCTCCTAACTGATCCAGTCCAGTAAGTAACTCGACTCACTTTCTCACAATGTCCTTCGCCATCTCGGAAATCTGACTCCACTCCTCCTCAGGGAATTCAAAACTTCCTGTCATGATCTTTTTCCGCATGTCCTTTGGGATTGTCCGACTGTGATGGTTGGAATAAAACGGTGGGTATCCACACAGCATCACGTAAATGATTACGCCCAGCGACCACAGGTCACAACTCTGGGATAAAGGAACAAAACAAAAAATAAAACAAAACAAAATAAAAATTTTAAATCAAAACGAGGTCGGTGACAGTATTACGGTAATATAAAGTGGAGCAACAGAGCTGGGGTTACATATGGGTATCATGGCATTTGGACAAATGCAACAAAATGTTCAAAAACCATCGACAGAAAAAAAGTTTTACCTGAAATTTAAAAACTTTTAACTCACTAAATTGTATTTCGTCACATTACATTCGTTGCACCAGTGAGTGCTGAGAATATAATTGGAGAAAATTGGCTGGGAGGAATTAGAGAGGACGAGAAGAGGTGACTTTACAGCATAGAGAGGAGGTGACCCGGGAGAACTGTGTTAATGTAACTGTACAGCTGTCTGTGTTCAGCTCCCACACGCTGCTCGGTACTGGAAACAAAACAAAAAGGAAACTGAAAAGAAATGAGGGCGAATTCCAATAATGGAACATCCCGCACTCCCCATTATATTGGACGAAATGACATTGCGAGGAGGGGTGACCAATGGCCTACATCAGTCAAGATTTCACCCTCCTCGTCTCCTTGCAGCAGTCCAGAGGGCAAGAGAGATTGAGCTAAAGTCTCCTGAGCTGTGGACCATCAACCCCACATTGGGATTGTCTGGAAGGGAACTCACGCGAGGAACATAATGTGCACAATTGGAAGAGACAAATGAGCCCAGTGGTCAGTCTCATTCTCATCTCTTCCCATCTCCCACCTTTCCTTTCCCATCCATCACTTGAAAAACATCCATCCAAATGGCTTTTGAGATGTCCCACGCTCCCTTACCTCTCCTGCTTCCTGGATCAAACAGAACCATTAATAGCTAAATCTGAATCATGTTACTGGTGCTTATTTAACCAGACCAGTTCAGGAAGCGGTTTGGATTTAGTGCAATAACTGTGTCAAGCGTGCAACAGTTACCTTGTTGTATGTGTAGGGAGTGGGTGAGGTAGGTATTATTCCAGATTTCTCTTTCTGATGCCTCCTCTGGGCCTCAAGTACCTGTAGAAAATAACAACATTAATGGAGAGAGGGTGAGAGAACATGGAGTCCTGTAGCTCAGTGGTTAGGACACTCGCCTCGCAAGCGAGAGACCTGGGCTCGATTCCAGGGCGAAATGTTGGGCAAGTTTCCTTACTCCACATGCCTCGGGTTACCGAGCAGTAAGTAGGAATCTGGTTGTTAGTTGATTGGCGGATCGCTTTTCCGGAGGTAATAATACCTTCAAAAAAAAAAAAAAATTGGTCACTTCACTCCACAACAGCGAGGCACTGCTGTGCGCAATTGGCTGCCAGGTTTTGCCCACAAAATACAGAGTCAATCCACTTCACAATATATTCTGCGAAGCGCTTTGAGACGTCTCAATGACTTGGTGAGGGGCCACATCAAATGCAAGGATTACTATTATCATCATTAAAGTTCAAGCAAGGAAATATTTGGTGAAAAATGAAGCTGAATGGGCTGGAGGTTACTGTGGACTTCGATTGCAGACTTGTGCCAAGCTTTGGGTTCTGGGTCTCATCCAGCCCAGCCTGATGGGATGAAAACACTTTAAGAGTCCTGAATGAAATGAGTTTGGGCAGCGTCTGAATCCAGTGCCCAGTCTGCCCAAGTCCAGAACACAATAATCAGTCACATTGCAGCAGTGTGGAAATGGAACACTCAACAATCAACAATCTCTTCGTCAATTCTCAAGGATAGCAGATCATACATAGAACAGGACACCGGGTAAAAGCTCCTTCTACTGAGTCTTCCTATATCCCCGGCTCGGATGCCCAACCAGAAGAGTTAAGGTCTTTGAGACGTTCTCTCAATGTGAAAGACGTTAAATGAATGTAATTTGTATTGTAAACGTACCCTAATAATGGGTCTTAATCCGAATCTAACAGCACTGCGCCACCCCACATCCCCTACCCCCCAAGTAATACTTCTGATATCGCTCGTCTTGCTTTGTAGGAAGAAAAGCCCTCAAAACGTCATGGCCATGAGGCGACTTCAGCACAATGTAACCAACCAGGGTAACCGGGTGGGTGGTAGAAGGCAATCCCCCACAAAAGCTCACCTGTGGTGCTACATAATATGGAGTGAACTGTGGAGTCATCAGGTCCCCGTGATCGATTTTGGCAAACCCAAAGTCGCACAGTTTAACTGGAGCATCCTGCGGAAGAGGAAGTGACAGGTATCAAAATTAGGATCTACCAGGATTAGGATTTTAATTAGGATCTACCTCACACCTTGTCTATGAAAAATAGACATTTCTGTTACACACCTACAAGACCCGGGACACATTCTATATATGTGAGTTCCTCTATATTTTATTGATTTTTTTTAGTTGAATTTTAGTTGCCACATCACTAGTTTAGAAGAGCTCTTCTTTGTATGGGATTCTGTTCACTTACCAGCGAGTTGTCCTTAAAGAGGAGGTTCTCGGGTTTGAGGTCTCTGTGGGCAAGGTTTAGGGAGTGACAGTGCTGAATAGCCAGAGCGATCTCCAAAAAAAACACAACAAGGGCCGAGATTAGTAAATACTCTAACACAGCCATACTGTACTCGATCAGCTTTTGGGGGACTATTCCCCTCCTCACTGTTGCTGGGATACATGTGTACCCAGTGGCCGTTCGGACATTGGCCCAAACTAATGCTCCTTTAGCAAGTGATTAAACTGTGGAACGAATCACAGCCTTAGCCATGAATCCGCCCTCACTCAATATTGCCTTTCAGTAAGAGTCCTGATAACGTCAGTACTAGGAACTCTAGCTGATTGTTCTCTCGCTAACAAGGACCTGAGGATAAATATAGCTCCTCACCAATGTCTGTCTCGTCTAATATCAGTCAACTCAAAACCCAGCTGGAATCAAACCGAGGACTCTGAATGTTGTTTAGACTCAGTTTCCCTCTTGGCCCTGGATTAACCAAGTCTGTGTGTGTGTGTGTGTGGGGGTGGGGGGGGAAGTATTTAACAGTGAGGATAAGAATCTTCAATTCAATCCTCTGGAGGATGGGGAACCAGTGGACCCAGGCAAGGATGAGCTGGCGGAGCTGAGTGCGGGATAGGCCATGCGAACTGCAGAGTTCTGGATGGGCTGCAGCTGAGGGAAGTGTCGGGAAGTATGGAAAGCATAGGATTGGGCATAGTGTAGCTTGGGCGTGTTGAAAGTACAGAGAAGAGTCTCAGAGCCCTCAGGGTAGAGGTAGCGGTGGAGGCGGGCAATATTGAGGAGGAGAGAGAAAGCTGAATGAGTCAGAGCACAACACAATGCGGTGTTTAAAGGACAGTTGAGAGTCGAAGAAGACAGAGTAGTTCTGTTGTAAGCATTGCAGTAAATCAGTAAGGCAGTGCAGGAAGTTTATTCTAAACGTTGCAGAAGTTTTCACCTGAACCCAATTTCTTTTATTTTTTTTGATCTATTTAAACATTTGACAAATCTCAATCAGCTTGTACTCACAAACGTAACATTTACTGCTGTGTGGAGGAGAGGATCTTACGTTTCCTATTGAAAGCGACTGAAACTGTCAGGTTGCTGCAGATTTTGTGCTTCAGATCCCCAAAGACCCCACACAAGCTAATGCTGAGCGTGTAATAACAGCTTTGTGGCATTGCAGGTCATGTTTCATGTTGTCTTTACCAATGTTTTGCCCTCAGGTGTTTGATGCTTATGGTCCTTCTGAACAGGCAGACAGCGAGCTCGGCTCTCAGACTGCAGTCAGCACAAATGGTACATTGCTGGAGAGTGTTCGCAATCTCACCCGACAATGCCAGCCAAAAGTAAAAGGTAGCCCTTCACCCTTTACTGCTCCTCGGAGTGAAACCTGGCCTCTGGACAATCTAGCTGAGGATTCAAAATTGTTGACTGGGAAATACTGCAGAACTAAAGCCATTCACTGACACACCATGTCTCCCGTTCGACTAACACTGACTAATGAGGCTGAGCTGCTTTTAAAACTGATTGCAGACTCACCTGTTTTGTGACCTGACTTGCCATTTTCTCTGTAAAGTGCTTGTGTTGGCTGATTCTGTGAAACAGCTCCCCGCCTTCCATCATCTCCATCACAATTAGCAGCCGAGCCCTGAGGGTTGATTGGGAAAAATAATAAAACCTTGCACTCGATATAGCCACGTTCACTGCAGGAGGACATCTCAGAGCGCTTCACAAGATTTACTATAAAGTGTAAAATCACTGTGTATTTTATAGGCAAAAAAGTAAAAAAGCCAAAGAACAGGGAGTTTAAATGAATGGAAGACAATAAGGTAGAGAGAAGACACAGGAATAGTGAATAAACCAGTGAAAAAATAGAAGAGATAGATTCAACAGTTGGCATATGCCACCATGATCAGGTACATGTTGCACACAAAGGCCCCCTGAGCTACACAGAGCACCCCCTCCACTGCACCAGATAATGGAGCTTTAATGTTTTCGTCCTGGGAATTTGTGTCCACCAGGAAGTGGGTAGAAGGTGCCTCTGAGCACATTTCACTTCCACTTACCCTTGGCAGAGAGGAAGCTTAAACCCACCAGTCGGGAAGTGAAATTAAACCAATATCCCAGAAGTGAAAGGCCAGTGTTGTTGCCCACCCGATTAAACGTACAAGTCCCACAATCAAAAAGGTTTTGGGCTGTGACTGACGTGGTACCTTGGACTGGACTCATGGGGGAACTGGACGCTGTTGGCGTAAACTTCAATGATCTGAACAATATTACTGTGACCCACACACATCAGGTGGTGTCGAACCTGGAGAAAAAGGAAAAGGATTTATTGGTAGGTACTGACAAGCACCATCGCATCAGACAGCCACATACATACACCAATTTAAACACACGTACATACACCAATACAAACCTATGTACTTTCAGCAGCATCTCACAACTACTCCGTTTATTTGTGAACCTGTAATTCAGCTTTGCACATAACTATTGCCTGCCACAGCAAATATCAGACCAAAAGTCAATGGTGATGCGAGGATCCTAGAGGAATGAATACATAAAACTTGCTCCGCTTAAGAAAAAGCTGTTCTCCAGTCCGTTAAACCAGTAATATTGCAGGTGCCTGGGGCAGTCTACATACGAACAGAGAAACAGGAGGTGGCCATTCAGACCATCGAGGGTAAGACGCTTGTCTATCACATGTTTTAATTCCACTTTCCTACCTTTTCCTCCATCCACATCAGTTGGAGCTTTGCGCAATGGCTTAAAATATCAAGCGCTCAGGGATGCTACCCTGCATAAGGGCTCTATATCAATGCAAGTTGTTGTTGTTAATACAGAGAGCATTTGTACCTCATTTCTTGCTTTTGGACGATCAAGGAGAATTTTTAGTGCAAACCTTTCCCCAGTTGATTTTTTCATGCATACTCTGCAAAACAAATGAAAGAAACTAGATGAAAGAGCAAGGACAACTTCTCCGTCACAACCATCCACATGAGGACGCAGCAGTGTAGCCACGAGCGTTCGGAGAATCACACAATGTTCCAGCTGAGAAACAAGCCACTCGGCACATCAAATCTGAGCTGGTGTTTTTATTCACAGGAAACACCTTGTATAATCCCACTCGCTCGTACGCTCCTTACACCCTTTAATAGTCCTCTTTGTCAAGCAACTAATTAATTCCCTTTGAAAATAATTAATGTATTCTGCTTCAACAATGGGTTGAGGCAAAGAATTCCACCAAGGGGGAAGCGTGTAAATGGGAAAAGGAGCGGATCGAGGATAGAGCCCTGATTAACAATGCATCATGACTGGAGAAAGCATGAGAGATTGCACAAAATCTCTGGCGCTCATTACATCTGGTTAGGCGCACAATACCTCGAGGAGAAAGCATATGATTACAGTCTTTACGATTCTAAAGGGACTAGATAATGTAGACTACAATAAGCTGTATTAGCTCGTACTGAACAGTAGAACCAGAGGACATGGCCTGCAATTGAGGGGAAGTAAATTCAGAACAAATCTGCAGAAACACTACATCAGTGAGCGAGTAGAAAACGTATGGATCAGACTCTATAGGGAGACGGTGGAAGCAGAAAGTGTTGATTCTTTCAAGAACAAATTAGATAGGTTTCTGTAGGAAATAATATCTCGGGATAGTTTGGGACACGATATGTGCATGCGACTGCCAGGACGGTGGAAGGCGAAATGGATGGACCTTGGTCTTCTTTCATCTTGCAAATTCTTATGTTCTTATGAGAGGAGACAATAACAGCATGGGAGCAGGTAGGAGTGGAACCAGGAAAGTGCAGACTTGCAGAGATTTATGAAGGAGAAATGGTGGAGAAGGATAGCATTGTCAGCAGTCCTCAAGGTGACAGAGCGGTCGAGCAGCAGGAGAAGAAACAGGGAGGTTTGGTCTCAAACAACGAGGAGGTTGGTGACTTTGAGGAGGAATATTAAAGTGTGTGGGAGCAATCAGGAAAATGGAATTAAGAGTTGCTCAAGTGGAGAAAAACAGAAGAGCAAATTTGATGAGCGCTAGTTCTGAACTGCAATATTTTGTGATTCGAGAACTGTGATCATATCTTTCTGCGTCTGGTCATGCACTCGCAGCCTGATTTTCCACCCTAGTCAGGCATCCTCGTGTCAAAGGGTAAACTCACAGCAACAGCGGGCAGGGTATGAAAGAGGCACTTTAAACTGATAGTACACAAGGCAATGTGCCTGCCTTGTGTACTATTAGTGCAAGCAAATTGATCTAGATAAGCAAACAAGTTCTGCGTGTGTTGCGAAAGAGAACAGTTCTGAATCGTTCCTCTCCATGAGGAGATATCATTAGCTATTAAATCATTACCTATTAAACTAGATCTTCAAAACAATGGATCATTCGGCCTTTGGTCCATTTGTTTTCAAATTAAAAAGTTAACATTGCAATGTTCCAAAATCTACCCTGAAGGTTCCAAAGTTCAGAAGGAAACGAAAGCTGTGTTCAGGAATGATCCACCTAAAGTGAATCAGTCAGCGAAGGTTACATCTGTTCAGGGCCACATGCGGTTATGATGTGGCAATACACCAGGGAAAACACTAGTCATCTGCGCGTACAACAGGTTAAGTGTAGTCTCTTGTTAAACGTAATGAGAGAAAGTGGTGGCGCACTGATCGGAGATCACACTCCCGTCCAAGTAAACCTGAGTGTTTATGAATGAGGGCCCCGATGCACAAACAAGACGAACATGCTCTGCAGGATCGGAGATGTATGCAGTTTGCAAATAATCCCGAGGCTGAAAGGTTCAGGTTTGTGCGATTAGCAAAGGTGCGGTCATCAGATAGAGGTCTATTATTATTATTATTATAATGTCCCTCAATTTCCCTTGTGAAAGCGTATAAATTACATAGATCTGACTCATCCAAAATCTTCTCGTAAACCAACACCTTCTATATGCCTGTCCTGCTATTTAAATATTTTATGAAGGTGGAGGCAGGAGAGAGAGAGAGAGAGAGAAGAGAGAGAGAAAGGGGATGGAGAGGAGAAAGTGTGTGTAAGTGAGTGAGCAAAGTCTGGTGTTTGTAATGTGGGGTAAGCCGTTCTTTGGCGACATCTGAGCATTACCGCCTTAAAAAAAACAGAGGAGCTTAAAAATGTACGTGTTTTAAAATTATAATGACATTTCAGATTATAATGGATCATAAAGTAAACATTTTGAAAGTTCTTAAGGCTTTCCTTCCCAAATGTTCTCTCCTCTGGAAATGGCCCCTGGATACCCTGCGGCAACATTCACGAGTAAACTACGCTATCTGACCACGTGGATGTAGTTTTAGAATACGATTTTGTTTTCTTGACTTCCTTTAAACTTTCTCATTATCCCACCCATATGCTGAAGCAGACACATCAGTTAGTCTCAGACCTCTCCCAACCTACAGCTCACTCCAAGTCTGGGATGACTCATCCCAACTGTGTTTTTTTCTCTCCTGGGAAAGCTGAACCCATCAATGGTAAGTCACCATATTGTGGGTCATTACTGCTCCACGGCACCCCGTTGGCAATACTGGAGGAAAACCACCCCCAACACTGACCTTTCTCAAAGCCACAGCACACCGACAAAGGCAATTATATCAATTGGTGTTGGTGGGAGGGGGGGAATGGCAGCAAAGGGTTCAGCTCTGGGACATTTGGGTAATTCCTATTCAATATCTTTGAAACTTCTAGCTTTAAGCTACGTGTTACACCCGATATCACCATATGGAGTCCTGTAGTGTAGTGGCCTCCCAAACCAGAGGAACCTGGGTTCGATTCCCGGGCAGAGCAAAACCATAGGGCAGGTTTCCTTACTCTCACAAGCCTCTGTTTACCTAACAGTAAGTAGAAACCTGGTTGTTGGTTGATTGGTAACAAATTGCTCCCCCAAAAATTTACAAAAAGATTTATTGGTCACTCAATCCACGACTGTTTGTGAGACAATCCTGTGTGCAACTGTCCCACAAAATACACAGTCAATTCACTTTGCAGTACATTCTGTGAAGCGCTTTGAGATGTCTCAACAACATAAGGCACTGTATCAAATGCAAGGATTATTTATTTATGTTCTGCAGTTGCCAGTGGCAGGACAACCTATAATAAAAGTACTCCTCTGCGCATCTCAACTAAGGCAGCAGCACTAAGTAGTTAATATTCCTTCATACAGCATTGACTGTTGGCAATCAGAACAGGAACCTGTTTAAATTTAGCAAACAGTGATTTAGGCTTCACTGATGAAGGCAGAGTTGCTTCACAGCCAATTTCTTTCACACATTTATGCAATCCCACGTCACCCAGGATCAGCGTCAGTGTTTGTGCCTTACAGGAAGCCTTCAAGGTTAGTTTAAAAATGGAAATGGTTGAAAGCGGCACTGTCACATATCTGGGAGCTTCAGCAAGCTCTTGCTCCTGAAATAGCCCTGTACCTAACACTGCTGCATTATTGTACTGCGGCCCCAACTTTGACCTTGGTGTCTTTGTGTTGTGTTTATTATTCTCATAAATAAAGTTGCAGCACTAGATGAAATGCGTTTCCTTTCTCTCGAGCCCTATTATACTTACAAACTCACCCCCATCCACCCCTCAAATAAATGTCACAGGCGTTAGTTACGTTGCTTAAACGCATGACCCAGATGCTCAGAAGTTCAGCCAATATATTTGGCGTTTACATGGTTAAAAGGCATTTATTTACATGGTCTGCGGAAGATTTGGGGCCATTCTGAGAAGCGCTTTGAGATGTCTCGAAGACGTGATAAGGCAATATATCAAATGCAAGGATTATTATTATTATCCTCATCATATATTTTATCATATATTTTGCCTTTTGTCAAATGTAATTGTTGTTGTACTATATTGATCCCTTCCTAAATATATTGAATGCAGAATGTCAAGGAGGCCAACTGCATATTTCTACACAAACCTGAAGCATCACAACTGTTAATCTGTTCGATGTGAGAGCCAAGGACAACGGCATCAGACAAAATTCTCACATATCCAACAGTGATATGTGATATGATATAGCTCACAAACAACAATAAAATTACATTTGTATAGCGCCTTTCACGTCAGGAGGACATCCCAACGTGCTGGACAGTAAGGAATTTGGACTGGAGCTGGGGGTTGAAAGGATATGAAGCAAGGATCACAAATGTACAATCACAAGTCCAAGAACACTATCACCATTTGTTTCTCTTACCGTACAGGCCCACTGATTCCAGCTCCCAGCTTCTGCGTCCAGTTAATAGCATACTCGTCTAGTATCGAGGATTCCTGTTGATAGAGAACAGCACAAATACTGTAGAAGAGGTTAACCCTGGTCTTAGAGGAAAAACCTCCTTAATCTATAACAGAACAAATGTATTTTTTACACACAGTAGGAATTGCAAACTAATAAAAATTACTTTCCAAAGGATGTTGTTTCCTGTGAAACATGAGTTCATTTTATTTTCTGGTAAAAAAAATGATTAATCTTCTGATCACGCAATGAAAGAAAGCACAGTTAACTCTTAAAATAACACTGTGAGCTTGTGAAAGGATCCAACATTACATTTATAATAATAATGCTGGCACTTGGTATAGTTTCTCATCACATTGTTGAGATGTCCCAAAGCGCTTCACAGAATGTACTGTAAATTTACCGTATATTCTGTGGGCAAAATGCGGCAGCCAATGGTGCACAGCAATTAATCAATGAAACACTTTAAAATTAGGTTATCCTTGTAACACTCCTGTCATACTTCATATCATACATCGCCATGCATTCCACGAGAGAAAGAAACCCAAATTTTGCTCTCTCCATAACTTGTGGAGTAAAGGCACCACCTGTTGCAGCACTAAGCCTGACAGATTAGAAAGTTGCACGTTCAGTCCCCTCTTGTCCCATTCAGTTCACCTGAAACAGGTCAGCTGTTTGGCAACACAATTGGCCTTAGCATGCTCGCTGAGGGCAGGGGAAAGTATATCAGGCACTGGACCACTGCCCAGTGATCCACAAGTGTCCGTGCTGACATTGGAGGAAGTTGGGATCATGATCGACTGTGATGCCCCCCCCTTGAATAAACAGCCAGACATGTATTGATGTGTTGCTTGTGGAATATTATCTACATTCTGGAAACAAGTGGGCAGATCTATGTATTGCAGTATTCAGTGGAATCAAGTAAGTCAGTGAATGAAAATAATAAGTTTGGTCACTCAATCCACAATTCTTTGTGGGACACTGCTGTGCGCAGTTGGCTGCCGCGTTCCGCCCACAAAATATAGTCAACAGCCCACTCTACAGTATATTCTGTGAAGCGCTTTGAGACGTCTTGAAGACGCGATAAGGGGCGATGTTACATTATTTGCTGCACAGACTTAAATATTAAGTGCAAACACTTGGGCAAGGTGACAGTGGGCTCCTGGCACTTGTGGAACTGTACTCAGTCAGCCTCCAGGGAGTCAAGGAGAAAAGACTCGAGCAGCTTGCAGTTTGTCATTTGACCGCATACAACGCGTTGCCAGCCAAAGCTCTGGCAGTGACACAAAGCAGCTCTAAAGTTTCACAAAGTAAATATTCATGAAATCATTGAAGCAGCTGATCCAGCACTACTGACAAGCAAGTGGATTATGAAATGAAGGAAATGGGTCCCAAATCCAGTCGAACTGAAGGATTAGGTTAGGCAGAACTCCCAGCAACTTGATACCAGTGCATTCAAAAGATTTTGAGCAGGTGTCAGAAAGATTACTATTGTAACAACACATCATCAACTTAGGAAAACTAACGAACCTTGCAGCAGTCTAAACTGACCTCCCGTTTCCTATTAGTAGTCAAACAATCCCAAATTTTTACTTTCTTTAGTTTGTTGTATTATAATAATAATAAAACAATTCCTTGCATCTGATATTGCGCCTTATCACATCGTTGAGCCGTCTCAAAACGCATCACGGAATATATTGTAAAGTGGACTGACTGTACTTTGTGGGTGAAACGCAGCAGTCAATTGTGGAAAGCAGTGTCCCATAAACAGTCGTGGATTTTTTTTTTGAGGGATTGTTATGCCAGGACAGCAATCCACCTATCGACTAATAACTGGGTTCCTACTTGGTGTTAGATAAACAGAGGGGTGTGGAGTAAGGAAACTTTCTTAAGGTTTCGCCCTGCCTGGGAATCGAACCTGTGTCCCCTCACTTGTGAGGCAAGCGCTCTAACCACTACGCTACAGGCCACCTCAGGTATTCTCAGCATCCTCAGTATGCACCTGCCCTGAGCAGACGGAGCACTTTGCAACATTTTTTTGGGCAGCCGCGCGTCTGACACATGCAGAAACCCATCACCGTGCTTTAGAGTCTCCAAACCAAGCTGAGAATCCCATGCATCTCCCACCGACGCGTAGAAACCCCAGAGATAGATTGTTGGAATGGAATGCACACTCTCGCCCATCCTGCCTACCTAATTCCAGAAAGTATTAGGCGCAGGTTGGCAAGAGCTGAGGCGTAGGTTGTGTTGGGGTAACTGCTGGAGTCTAACCAGCTGAAACCACATAGCTTGCCATTGATATCACTGTCTGGCAAGCTTTCCCACTGCTTGTCCAGCAAGGACCCAATTGAAACTATAACCTCACTCTATTCAAAACCAGCAGGAAGTCTCTAGCACGACGTGCCGCTGCTTATACACACCAGTAGCGTATTTATAGCTATTTAATGATTACATTGAATGCGGGAAGGGTGTAATTCAATTAACAATCTTGCAATACCCATTGCTGCTCATCCTATGTTTTACTCACAAAATATACAGTCAATTCACTTTACAATACACTCTGTGAAGCACTTTGAGACCTCTCAATGACACGATAAAGTACTACATCAAATGTGAGATGATTATTATTATTATTATGTTCAATGGAAAACTTGGGATGTGTCCCTAAGCTTTACAAATGTGCCCAAACTGCAAGTTTAACTCAATTGTGTAATGGGAGCCTTGTACTGTATCAAAAAAGGACAATGAGTGAATTATATAACAAACCCTGACAAGAATCAATTCCCTACCTTATTGCTTACCCCCAATTAAATACTTGTGGAACAAGTGCACTTTTCTAGAGTCGTTATTGTTAGATATACAGAAAATTTAGAAGAGGAAAACACCTGAGGTGAAAATCTTGGTATAAATATTATATTTACACATATACATAACACATATACGGGGCACTAAAGGTTACTTCTCTTCCAATAAGTTTCACTGAAGAGCAGGAAGAGTGGGTGATGTCCTCCTGCCCGCCCCCCCCCCACACACACACACAGTCACCGAGTTACACACACTCTCTCTCTCACACACACACAGTCACCGAGTTACACACACTCTCTCTCACACACACACAGTCACCGAGTTACACACTCTCTCTGTCTCTCACACAGACTCACACAGTCACCGAGTTACACACACTCTCTGTCTCTCTCTCACACACACACAGTCACCGAGTTACACACACACACACACAGTCACTGGGATACACACACTTCACCCCATAGAACTATAGGATTACACAGCACAGAAGGAGGCCATTCTGCCCATCGTGTCTGTGCTGTTCTTTCAAAAGAGCTTCTCAAATCACAGACACGCACTGAGTCACCGGGTCACACACACACACACACACACACAGTCACCGGGTGACACACCCACAGTCACCGGGTCACACACACACACACAGTCACCGGGTCACACACACACACAGTCACCGGGTCACACACACACACAGTCACCGGGTCACACACACACACAGTCACCAGGTCACACACACACACACAGTCACCGCACACACACACACACAGTCACACACACACACACACACACACAGTCACCGGGTCACACACACACACAGTCACCACACACACACACAGTCACACACACACACAGTCACACACACACACACACAGTCACACACACACACACACACACAGTCACACACACACACACACAGTCACCGGGTCACACACACAGTCACAGACACACAGTCACCGGGTCACACACACACACAGTCACACACACACACACACACACACCAGTCACACACACACACACACACAGTCACCGGGTGACACACCCACAGTCACCGGGTCACACACACACACACAGTCACCGGGTCACACACACACACAGTCACCGGGTCACACACACACACAGTCACCGGGTCACACACACACACACAGTCACACACACACACACACACAGTCACAGACACACAGTCACCGGGTCACACACACACACAGTCACACACACACACACACACACAGTCACACACACACACACACAGTCACCGGGTCACACACACACACACACACACAGTCACCGGGTCACACACACAGTCACACACACACACACAGTCACACACACACACACACACAGTCACCGGGTCACACACACACACACAGTCACCGGGTCTCACACACACACACAGTCACACACACACAGTCGCTCCCACGATGAGACGCCCCATCCTTTACCTTGATCATTGTCTCCAGACCGTCCTCGGACATGCTGTCGGCCGGGGGGGGGGGGGAGGGGGGAGGGGGCGAGGAGCGGGGAGAGGGAGGGAGGGAGGGGGTGGGGTGAAGGGCCGAGGCCCGGGCGGGGTCGGGGTGGGGGGAGGGGGTCGGGGTGGGGGTTGAGGAGGACAAATGAAGGCCTTCTTCCTCTCTCTCTCTCTCTCTCTCCCTTCACAGTGCTGTGTTGGGCGGGAAGGCCTCGGGGCAGTGACGGGCTCAGAGCTGCGGCCCCTCCGTCCCCGCCATGATGGCCCCGCGTCCCTCCCTCCCTCCCTCCGCCTTGGCCGCTGCCGAGCCGGTTAGTCGCGCTCCGCCATCGCTGCCGCCGCCGCCATTGCCGGCCGCCGCCGCTGAGGCTCCACCCGACCGCGCATGCGCCGGGGGCGCCGCGTCACGCCGCACGTCACGGCATCCCTGGTTGCCTGGACGCCGGCGCGGTGCCTGCCGGGATGCTGGAGGTCTCCGGCTCTGGTCCTCCGGAGCCGCACCAGCTACAAGGTGGCCATCTCCTCCACGTGACCAAACGCACATGGCTCCCACGTTGGGTCTCTGTGGTGCAGTGGGGGGGGGGTGCGGCCAGTCCTCACCTCCACCTGCAGTAACAGTAATAGTGATGATCGTAAGGATAGTAATCCGTGCATTTGACGCGGCGGCTTATCGCGTCGCCGCGGGACGCCACACAGCGCTTGGCGGGACGCCCCGGCAAAGTGTAGTGACTGCGCGTTGCGCATCTGGACCCCCAAATCCGCGGGTCGCTCCGCCTTGCCGGATACTTCCGCGAAGCGCTTCGAGGCGTCTCGACGGCACGACGGGGCGATGGATCGAATGCAGGGATTATTGTTACGCGCCATCGTTGTGTTGTCCCGTACGAGGGACACCGAGTGATTCATGTCAACTTGGCTCAGTCGCCAGACCTCTGACCTCTGGGGGTCGAGGACTTTGAACTCACTCGTCTAAGTTAACACTCCGGTGCAAGGCCGGGGCAGGGCCGCACTGTTGGAGATGTCCTTTGGATGAGGGGATACAAACCAAGGTCGCACCTGCCCGCCCCCAGGTGGATGTTAAAGACTCCGTGGCAGTATTTGAAAAGAGAGGGTGTTTCTACTGTTCAATTACTCATTTCACCCCCAGGTTATTTGTGTGACACCGCCTGGAGAAAATACACCACCATTACACTTCACAGTAATCAGTAATTACTGAGCGTTTCAATGTGATAAAGGTCCCGAGGCAGCAGTGATGGCTGGCGACCTTTTTGTTGACCCGTGAGGCAATCCATGAGTTTGTCTAATCAACCTGCCTTGTCCCATTTCCCTTCGCCGGGTCACTCAATCCACGACTGCCGTGTTTCTCCCATAAAATATACAGTCAATCTACTTCACAATACATTCTGTGAAGCGCTTTCAGACTGTCTCAATGACGTGATAAGACGCTATATCAAATGCAAGGATTATTATTATTATTATCGGTCCCCTCGACTAACCCAGAGGCACTGAGGAAGAAGAAATCACACTCACTGCATCTGCTTTTCAGCTCTTTGACTGGAATGATGTTAATGAGCGTTCACAATGCAGCGGCTGCCTGGGGTTAGCAGGAGGAGGTCTGTGCTGAGTGGGGGGGCGGAGGGGGAGGTTTCTCAGAGAGGATGACATGTGCAATCTCTCTACTGTCACTTCAGCTCAATCAGTCTGAACATTTACCATGGCTACTGGCCCAGAGAGAGAGAGAGAGAGAGAGAATGGAGAGAAGCAAATGAACAACTGAGAGCAAAAGAGACAGAATGAGAGAACGAGATAGACAAAAACAGACAGAGCGAGAGACAGAAAAAGAAACGAGGAGACAGAGGGAGCAAATGAGGCAGAGCGAGAGAACGACAGAGGCAGAATGAGAGATAGAGTGCAAAAGAGGAAAACAGAGAAAGAGAAACAGAAAACACAAGAAAGTGACAATGCAAGATAATGGAACAGAACGAGAGTTGTCTCGTGCTCTCTGTCTCTTTTTCTCTCTTTCCTCTTTTGCTCTCTCGCTCTGTTTGCCTGTTTTCTGTCTCTCTCACTCTGCCTCTTTTGTTCTCTCTCTCGCCGTTTCTTTCGTGATCGACAGGGGGAGAAACAAGAGAGCGAGAGAAAACAGGCAGTGTCTACCTGAGAGAAACAGATTGACACACGGGACAGAGAGAAGCAGAGGCAGAGGAAAGAAAGGCATTAGTATTTATTTTACACATGTCATATAGGAAGAACATCTCAAAGTGTTTTAGAAAGACAATGGAGATCATTGCCCACAAAACGTACAGTCAAGTCACTTTACAGTATATTCTGTGAAGCCCTTTGAAACGTCTCGAAGATGTGATAAAAGGCAATAGATCAAATGCAAGGATTATTATTATTATTATTAATATTATTATTATTATCATTAAGGTTGGTACTCTTGGCTGGGTTACGCTTTCCACCTAGTGGTCCATCCTCGGAATGGCACTGTTTGACATCTGTGGAAATGTCAGGAGTCACCAGACTGCACTCCGCTGGATAAGGTCAGGACTATTGACGGTAACGCAGCAGGCTGTTTGCGAAGTCTTTCTTTGAAGTTTCTGCGCGTACCTTGCGCCAGCAATATTTCGCTTGAACACTACACATTGCAGCCAGCAAAGCAACAAACCAGCCGCAGTAATTAAGAGCGCGAGATGTATACTGGTCAGGGATTTTTGAACCCCTTCGTTTTACTTTACATGTCCCGGACATCAACAGTCACACAGCCAGCTTCCATTGATCTTTATTTCAGCGCAATCAATATTTTAGACAAAAACAACGACAATTTCGATTTATATTGCATTTATACAGCTCCCTTGGCGCAGGAGGACAACAACAACAATTTGCATTTATACAGCGCCCCTCGCGCAGGGTAGGGCCCCAGGGAGAGTCTAGCAGCGCTGTGCAGTGCCGGGTTTGGACGTCGAACAGGGAGAAAGAGGGATCGCAGAAAATAAATAAATAAAAAGCTAAACACGCTGACAGGCACAGAGTGTTTGTTCCACAGTGCGTTACACACGACGGGTCGTCTGCGTGGCTTTGGTTTTGCAGCTTTTATCCTTTTCTCTTCTGCCCTTCTCGTAACCTGTGCCCAGGTACGTTCCTTAAACTATATCTGTGATTAGGCCAAATAACAACAACAGCAGCAAATTGCATTTATATAGTGCCTTTCACGCCGGGAAGATGTCCCAAGGCGTCCCAAGACTTCCTCCCAAAGTGAAGGTTGCAATATCACCTGCAAATGGAAAGATGTTTTAAAACTAGGTTAAGATTGGGTTAAAATGTCAGGTTGAGGACCCAGCTGATGGTGACGAGTCCTCTCCACCTGGTCTGTAAGAAGAAGAAGAAAATAAAATGAACGTAAGTCGCTGAATTTCAAGCAGCGTCAGAGACTTCTATCGTTCTCTCCCTCATTCTCCCCGCTCTTCGGAGATATTCAGCAATTATGTTCGTTCGCACTGGAATCCCTCCGCCTCGCACTCTCTCCTCAAAACCTATCCTTTTGACTTTGAGCACGATTCGCCCACAAAATACACAGTCAATCCACTTTACAGTATATGTTCCGAAGAGCTTTGAGGCATCGCAACGATGTGAATAAGGCGCTGTATCAAATGTAACAACAACAAGATTACATTTGAATGGTGCTGTTCACGTCGGGAGGACATCCTAAGGCGCTGGATGGTTTACAGCATTTCAAACCCGAGCTTATTATATTATATTATAATGTAAGGATCATTATTATTATGAAGTCGAGCGAGTGTTACCTGACTGCAGGTGAGATCCGACTTCCATCACTTTCTCCTTCGCTGTGGAGTCCATGTCACTCTCCCAGGCTGTTATGGTGGAGTGTGACCAGCTGCTCAGAGATCGTCTGCGCCTGGTGTGGCCGCCCGTATCCTGATCACAGTCCGAAGCTCGCCGATGCCTCCCGCTGACCATTGGGCTAAGGTCTGCCAGGCGACTGAACGCTGAGTGACAACGGCCGTACGTGGCTGTGTCTCTGACCTGGACGACTCTGGACAACTTGTACTTGGAAGGCTGCGGGACTGAGGTCATGGAGGAGGGGGTGTCGCTCAGGCCAGTGCTGGGTTCAATCACTGTGAAGGAAATCAGTCAAGCAGAGCATCAGGACAATAGAGACCGACAACAAATGACAACACTGTAAATGTAAATGTAAACTGTACGGACTGAAGAGCAGTAACAAAAACTTGCACTTATATAGCACCCTTCACACAGGCTCGTCTCGGAGCTCTGTGCAGTGGAGGGGTTTTGGTCATGTTATCGGCTTGTCTGTACATGGGGTGTCTTACCGTTGATCTGGATGTTGGGGTGGCGGACACGTCTGACTCGCCAGGCAGTGGTGATAGAAGAGGTGCAGCCCATCAGAGGCCCAGGTAGGTCAGTCTCGTTCCCTCGCTCTGCCGACTCCCAGCACCTAACACACAATGTTATTAATGCTGGTGATTAGCTCCAGGCTACCTCACCCACAACACACAGACCGGCCCCGTCCAACTCAGTGCCCATTTGGCTATTCAGATGAGGCCACTCGATCAACCAACTTGCGTTGCACCTAAGAAATAGAATATTGCCCTCAGTAATCACTCGCTTCATGTGATCCGACACGTATGATTTCTGCACATTTTATAATGTAACATTATTGTTCATGTATCGTGCATACATCACACCGGCAGCACGGACTCTGCTTGGCGCACGCTTAATGATAATAATCCTTGCATTTGATGTAGCGCCTTATCACGTCCTCGAGACGTCTCAAAGCCCTTCGCGGAATAGACTGTAAAGTGAATTGACTGTATATTTTGTGGGCGAAATATTCCTGCTTGTTCCTGGTTGGCTGGATAGATCCGTGAGACATGATGGTTTCTTTCCCTTGTGTGTTGGCTGTCAGTCAGTCAGTCAGTCAGTCAGTCAGTTGCTGGTCGCGTAGTTATAATAATCATATAATAACACAGAATAATATTGACCACTTGTCAATTGGGGTCCAACAGCCCTGACGTAGACAAAGCAGAAAGTATTTCCTCAAGTGAGCAGATTCCAAGAGTTTTCACTTTGTGTTGTTGAGGTTTAAATTCCAGCTTTTTAAAATCAACGTTTGTCAGCTTCCTCCCCCCCCCCCCCCCCCCCCCCACCTCACGCCTCCTCTCCCACCTGTTCGTGTCTCTGACTCTCTCTGACTCTCCCAAGATATTTCCCTTTCCTCGGTCTGTTTCTTGTGACAGATGGAATGAATTGATCATTTACTTTGTGGCTGTTTGCGGGATGACGCCGCGAGCAAATTGGGGTGCCGCCTTCGCCTGCCGAAACACTGCTCTTTTTACGGCAAATCCTGTGGAAGCGCTTCGAGACGTCTTCGGGATGTAAAAGTCGCTGAACTAAAATGCAAGGGAAATCATCATTATATTTCTGCTTCCTCTGGCTGTCTGACTCACTAACCCTTCCCTTTCCCTCTCTGTAAAGCACTTTGATGTCCTGTGACCTATAGTTCGGGATCTTATACCCTTTCCATTCATATCCTGGATTTTTTCCTCTTCCTCTGACCGTTTTATCCCGGAATTTTCCTGTTTATCCCGGGATATCCCCCACCAGTTTCTCTCTGGCTCTTTACCCTGGGATTTTCCCTTCTGTTCATCCTGAAAATGGTCCTCTGTTTTCTCTGTTCATTCATCCCTGGATCTTCCCGTTTCTCTGCCCGTCTATTCCCGGTATTTCCCTCTTTCTGCTCGTTTAATCCCGGGAGTTTTTCTCTTTTATCCGCGTTTTCCTTTTTTTTGGGGTGTGGGAGGGGGGGGGGTTAAAAAATCCCGGAATTTCTGAGTGTCGTCTTGTTCATCCCTTTCCCCCCTCTTTATCTCTCTGTGTATCCCCGGGGATCCGCTTCCCAGATCCTGTAGTTAATTACTTCCCAATTATTTCGATTAAAAACAAAACAAAACATAAATCTGTTTCTGTAACATTACCCCACTCCTCGTCTCTGCCCCCCCCCCCTCCCCAAACCCCCCCCCAGGTCCATTTCAGGCCACAACACGTTGCAATCGACCAGAATAAAAGATCACAGCAATTTATTCATTCATTCATTCATTCATTTAATTTAATTCATTCATTCATCACACATTTCTCTCTCTCTCTCTCTCCCACCTGCCAATTCCAGATCCGCTGTTAACCTGCCCCTGAGACCCCTCCCCACAGGCAAATTCACGTCAAATCTTATTCTCTTTTAATCCCACAACCAGCCGATTTGATTGATTCCCTTACCCCCACAAAGCAGGTGATCTGCAGGTCTGCCTCCCCCACACACTTGCGTCGCTCCCACCGCTCTCAACCACAGCACCAAAATATACATGTAATCGAGAACCAGATTGCAGTTCTCTCTCTCTCTCCCCCTCTCCCCCCCCCACCTCCACCTCCTCCAACTTTGCCGCAAACTTTCTCAGTTTTAAGATTTTAAATGTTAAAACTTAATTTAAAATTAATTTAAAAATTAATGTTGGGGCTCCCAAGGACTGACCTCCCAATCCCCACCCCACACACACAGGTATTATTGACTCAAGATGTGAGTCGGGAATGGAACTCATTGACTTAAGACCTTCTGTTGATTGGCCTGGAGCCTCTATGTCGCCTGCATTTCCTCGTCGGACAATGAAGTTGGAAATGGTTAGAGAGCCAGAGTCCTTGCCAATCCTACATCTGCCCCGGCCGAGACGATACACGCTCAACGTTCCCATGCGGGGTTTGAACCCACAACCTTCCGACTCGCAGACCAGAGCGCTACCGACAGAGCGAGCCAGGCTGACGCACAAAAGCACAGGGGGATGTGATATGAAGAGCGCGGCAATCACTTGCTGTTGCTTTAACAGTTATCGACTTGAAGGGAAAGGTCTCTGGAAAAGGCAAACCCCAGGACATACCCCATTGCCAACTCATCAGTAGAGATGGCCCAAATATGAGAACCGACATTTTTCATCCAAATGACCAGACTTGACACATCGGTTGAGTGACTTTATTGCATGTGCCTATTATTGCGATTTGTACGATACATGGTACGTGCTAGTGAAGGATAAAAATGAAAAGGACAATGCTTTCTCTACTGGACAGCTGAAGAGTACACACACACACACACACACACACGCGCGCACACATCAGCGCAAAATGAAAACAGAATCCTTGTAATCCTAAATCGTGTTATGATCAAAGCATGGTTAAAAAAAAGTGAGGGGAGAGTTCGGTGGGGGCTGTTTGTACACCATCACACCCCACCCCACCCGCCCATCATCACTTTTGAGGTCAGCAACAAGTCAACCCAAACTCTACTGTTTGGGGATCGCATTGCTGTTTTCCACTGCCCACTCCGCCAATTGCAGCCCCTCATTTTTCTTCTGAGTGTCTGATATATGGAAACCCATCACCGTGTTTAAAGAATATTCAAAACTCATCCCCTGATCCCAATTGAGGCCAATCAAAGGCCCGACATGTTTTATTTGCAAGAGTTTGGTCAGAAATTCTTGTGGATAAAGGGATTTTTTTTGTGGATACAGGGATTAAGGGATATGGGGATAAGGCGAGTAGGTGGAGTTAGAATAGATCAGCTACGATCTTACTGAATGGCGGGGCAGGCTCGAGGGGCCGAATGGCCTACTCCTGCTCCTAATTCTTATGTTATAATAATCCTTGCATTTGATATAGCGCTTTTCACGTCTTCGAGACATCTCAAAGCGCTTCACAGAATATACTGCAAAGTGAATTGACTGTATATTTGTGGGCGAACGCGGCAGCCAATTGCGCACAGCAGTGTCCCACAAACAGTCGTGGATTGAAAATGACCAATTTATTATTGTTTTTGTTTTTGGAGGGATTATTATTATTATTAATTCTTATGTTCTTATAAAATCACATCCAAACTCTTGGGATTGAGAAAACACCAAACCCTCATTAGCGACTGGAGTCAGTCTCTCTTCCCTCCACAAATCAAGAACTGTAAATACAGTAAACTCCCCTGACTAATTTACAGATTGCACAATTATTTTCTTTTAAGCACTGAGGTTGCTGTTATATTTGTATTGCTGATCAGGTTTAGAGTTCAATCGATTGGATTACAGAGTCGTGCTTCATACTGTACAAGCTGAAACAACTGCTTTAGTTGAATGCCTCAAGCTTTTCTTCAAGAATCTGCGTCCGAAAAGACAACAGGAGCCAAGTGTCCAATTGGTCCCTGGCTCAAGAGCTCTTCTGAGGAAGCTTCACGGTCACCTGAATGCAAGAGAACAGATTATTTATCGATTTCTTAAAACAGAGAACTTTCCCGCTTTTTCAACAATAATAACCCTTACATTTGATACAGTGCCTAATCACGTAGCGCTTCAAATGAAGTAGTGAGTATTTTGGCCAAACATTGCAGCCAATTTGTGCACAGGAAATGCGGCCGCCACGAAGGGGGTGAAAGATGATTAGAGCAAGGTCGTCCAACTCTTGGGAACTGGATACTCCTAAAACTCCAAGTGCGTCTACAGAAATGCAAAACATCGTTGACGGTTGACAAGCCTCAACTGCCCTTTGAGCCTCGGCTGTAATAGGTAGAGCAGTCCTAGAAGGAAAAGGTGTGTTAATCAGTTCTATTTTCTCAGACTATAATAGTGCTGTTTTCAGATGAAACTGAGGGCGAGATGCCAGAGGCATGTTGCACTGTAACCTGAATGTTAATTAGTCACCAATTGCAGGATATCATAAAATCGTATGAAAACAAGCTGCCCGCATCTCTGAAATCTGAAGCCGGATGTTACTCACAGTTTTTATTTCTGTGTAAGCCTGTAATGCGTCCTCTCCAAGCTCCCGCCCAATGCCTGAAGATTTGAATCCACCAAAAGGTGCTTGAGGTACAAGCACATCATAACAATTTATCCTGCGGAAACAAACAAGAAGTCACATAATAATAATAATAATAATAATCCTTCCATTTGATATTATAGCACCTTATCACGGCTTCAAGACGTCTCAAAGCGCTTCACAGAATATACCGTAGAGTGAATTGACTGTATATTTTGTGGGCGAAACGCAGCAGCCAATTGCGCACAGCAACGTCTCACAAACAGTCGTGGGTTGAGTGACCAAATTATTACCACCCCCGGAAAGCAATCCGCCAATCGAATAACAACTGGGTTTCTACTTACTGCTGGGTAAACAGAAACTTGTGGAGTAAGGAAACTTGCCTATGTTTTCGAATAAATACTGTGCACGGCACTCTCAGCACTTGCCCGTGACACACAAATGGTTGAATATTGGAGACATAATTACTGAAGGTGAGAAATGGTCTACAGTAACAGGGACCTTACCAGACCGTCCCTGCTCGCAGTCTGTGAGACATGTAGTTTGCCTTGTTGAGGTCGTTGGTGAAGATTGCAGCTGCAAGCCCATATTTGCTGTCATTCGCTCGCTCAATCACCTCCTCCATAGTCTTAAACTTCAGGATCTGCATCACAGGCCCAAAGATCTACAGCCAAAGGCAGACAGAGGACAATGTTAGCTCTCTCCCCCACAGCACTATTCCAATAAGAGTGCAAACCACAGTAATAATAATGCGCTGTAAAATACAGAAAATCGTAGCATTTCAGCTCCATACTAGAATTATCAAATGAGATATTTACAGTGTTGCAGTCCAGAAACAGGTAATAAATAAATAATCCTTGAATTTCGTATAGTGCCTTATCACCTCGTTGAGATGTCTCTAAGCGCTTCACAGATTATATTGTAAAGTCGATTGATTGTATTCTTCTGGGCAAAGCACTCGGGACTGCACCAGTTGTCTCTCTTCTTCTCTATCTCTCTCACCTCTTCCCTGGCGATGATCATGTCATCCTTCACGTCCCCAAACACAGTGGGTTGGATGAAGTAGCCCCGGTCTGCTGCAGCCCCTCCTCCGCACAGCAGTTTGGCTCCTTCTCGTTTCCCAACGCTGATGTATCCCAGAATCTTCCCGAATTGTTCCTCGTCCACCTGGGGCAACGATCAGCCACAATCAGTTACCTCCACAACTCCAGGAGCCTGGACTCCCGAGCAAATAACCAGAGAATCTTGATCAGAATGCTATGCAACTACCGCACAAACACAAACAGGCTGCCGATGAGCGGAGCCAAGGAAAGGCCACCCTTCTTCTGCGTTACTCCGAATTGCAGCAGTGTGTTTGCTCACTCCTTCTTCCCGAAGGCATTATTTGACTCCTTTTTTGTCGAAATGGCCTGACTTCATATGTGAGCCTAGGCAATGTGTTTCATTAGAACCAAGAGAAGGTGGGTGGGAGGTGGGGGAGAAGAGAAAAGAGCCTCACAATGAAACCAGATTCTGTTCTCAGCGTCCGTGTGAACATGGGCACATCCTGCAGGAGTTATAGAACTGCAATCAAGAGAGGAAATGCTGACTGACTGTCTCTTCCAAACCTGGAAACTAAAGTTAGCAGGAAACCACGTTTGAGAGGTAACTCAGCACAGATGGGGGAATGAAACTAGGGCCTTAATGACTTGTCTGGCTGAGTTGCTCCCCCTTGCTGAGCCTCTGATTAGCTATTTTTCGGCAATTTAATCATGGCACTCTGCCCAAAAATAACGAAGGCAGTGAATATGTACGAAGGTGTAGGTTAATAAGGCCACACAAAGGCAAACCAGGCATTGGTTAGACCACACTTACCTACTGTGTGCAGTTCTGGTTCCCACATTATAGAAGGGATGCAGAGGCACTGGGGAGGGTGCAAAGGAGATTCACAAGGATGGTCCCAGAACTGAGAGGTTATATTTATCAGGAAAGGCTGAACATACTTGGACTCTTGAAAGCTTAGTTGAGGAAGGGCAGGAGGAGGCTCATGTGGAGCATAAATACCGACATAAACCAATTGAGCCGAATGGCCTGTTTCTGTGCTGTATATTCTAACGTTTTCAAATGTAACCGACAGCCAAGTCAGAATGCAAACCCTGGCAGAGATTCTCACATCAGAGACAGAGCTGCCGATTAAGGGTAAAGATTCTCTCCAACACAGCCTGGCCCCACGCACTCTACGGCTCGGAATTAATCTATACCGTGCCAACCAGAGATGAATCTCTCCCTCATAACATCTGCCCACAGAGGAGTAAAGGGCTACCAAGAGACGAGGCTAACACCTGTACCTCAAGTAGCCACTTAAACATGGTTTGTTTGAGAATCCGATAACTCAAACACAAGTTGAAAGCGCAGAAGATCAGTGTACAGATAAAAGAACATCATGTCAGGTGGATTGCTCCTTCTCTAGGTGAGCAACTAATGATAGTCCTTACGCTTGCTATAGCCCTTTATGTCGGAATGTGTCTCAAAGGACTTCACAGAATTTACAGGATATAGTGTAAAGTGTAATGACTTAGTTTTGTGGAAAAAACATAGAAATATGAAGCAAAACCAGTTACTTAATAATAATCCTTGGGTTTGATACAGCCCCTTATCATGTTGTTGAGAGATCTCAAAGCGCTTCACAGAATATATTGTAAACGGAATATTCTGATTATATTATTAATTGGATTATTAATATATTAACATATTAATTATTATTATACGATTGTAACAAAAATAATAATCAGCTCCGTCTCTGATGTGAGAATCTCTGCCAGGGTTTGCCTTCTGACTTGGCTGTCAATTCTTCATTCATTGCTTATATTAATCTTATAAATATGATAACTGATAACATTTGGTACCCGGGCACCCCTACCTGTGGGCCCTGCTCATTCTTCGGGTCAAATGGATCTCCCACTGTGCGGCGCTTGGCTCTCTCCACACTCTTCTCCACAAACTCATCGTAGATGGAGTCCTGCACATAAAGGCGAGATCCTGCACAGCAGCATTGTCCCTGGTTGAAGAACAGAGCAAAGTGCGCCTCCTCAACTGCACTGTCCACTGAGGGAGAGAGACACAAGGCAATCAGTAAGTGCAAGGACGACAGCTCATCCTTTTCGAGACGTCATTTTGCTCTGGAAGTCATCCTAATACAGAAACCCTTACATGAGTCGTATCAGTTGGGATCATACATTTAATATGTTCACCTAGCAGTAAGTAGGAACCTGGTTTTTAGTCGATTGGCGGATCGCTTTTCCGGGGGTAATATTCCCTTGAAAAATAACAAATAATAATTTGGTCACTTAATCCATGACTGTTTGTGGGACACTACTGTGGGCAACTAGCTGCCACGTTTAGCTCACAAAACACACACTCAATTCACTTTACAGTACATTCTGTGAAGCACTTTGAGACGCCTCGAAGACGTGATCACATGCTATATCAAATGCAAGAATTATTATTATTATTAATATGATTTATGCATCAAGTATGAGTTATGTCTCCCTCTAGTCCCGGCCACCATAACAAGTGAACTGTTGGAATGGGCCTTACAATCCACGTCAGAGAGGATGATATTCGGGCTCTTCCCGCCCAGCTCCAGCGTGACTTTCTTCACGTTACTTTTCCCTGCTGCCTGCTGGATCAGTTGGCCAACCTGCAAGAGACCGAGAGGGACATTTACTACAGAACTTGAGGAACAGAGGAAATCATTTTCGCTCTGGAGTGTTGCTAACAACAACTTGGCATTTATATAGCGTCCCCTCACGCAGGGTAGTGTCCCGGAGCGCTTGCTTCAGCCCACAAAATACTCAGTCACTTCACTTTACAATATATTCTGTGAAGCGCTTCGAGGCGTCTCAAAGATGTGATAAGGCGCTATATCAAATGCAAGGATTATTATTATTAGAATTATTGTCGACCGAGCCAGCCTGAAAATATTATGATGACAAACGAATAAAAAGATATACATTTCAGAACTTATTGAGATTTCCCTCCACTTAAATCTCACATTTGACAGCTCAGGCAGTGAGCGAGAGGCAAGCAACCCCTCTTCCTTGATTAATCCTCCGTGTATCCAGCTCCCCGCAAACGCAGAGAGCAGCAGACTATCCCTTTTTCCAATTTTCTTCTTGCATCAGTTATTCCGAACCAAAGATCAAACGGAGATTGCGACAGGGCTGTTATTCTATGTTGCAATGTTTTAACAATAAATTTACAGCAAACAAAGTAATTTAAGCCAGTTAAGGCACTCCAGGACACTACCCTGCGTGAAGGGCGCGATATAAATGCAAGTTGTTGTTAGTGCATCAAGTTTATACAGATTTTTTTCTATATCAAGGAACTATTCTAATCGTACAGGCGAACTCATTCCCCGACCATGTCATATTCAAGCAATGATTTCTTTCTTTTTTTTTTGTGTTCTCCACCCATTGGCAAACGCCTCTCCTCTCCTTGTCTGGCCTTCTCTTGCTCAGATATGGAACCTGGGCGCTGGTTCTCTCCAGCAACCTGTCCAAGATCAATCCATCGATTAATTAACCTGCCCTAGGCTGGTTTGGAAGCTGGTTATACGGTGGGAGTAATCAAGGAAAAGTCGCCTGCTTACTCGTTCACTACCTGAACAGGAGCTGCAACTCTCTGGCTGGTTTTACTCTCCCTGGTCCTGAGAAATTAGGGGTCAATTTATAATAATAATAATCAGCATTTGATATAGCGCCCTATCACGTCTTTGAGAAGTTCTCAAAGCGCTTCACAGAATATACTGTAAAGTGAATTGACTGTAGGTTTTGTGGACGAAATGTGGCAGCCAATTGCGCACAGCAGTGTCGTGGATTAAGTGACCAAATTATTATTACTTAGGCGACCACAAAAGCCCGGTTAAAACCGGCAACCTCACGCCCGACTGAAAGAATTTATGAAATCGACATCAACCAGTTTGTGAAAATTCCACATTCCTACCGGCCTCCTTGGTATGTAAAAAAAACACGTTTAGTTCTTTGTGTGATTAACCTATACCCATTATCTTGTTACTCCCTCTTCTCCCCTGGCACAATCCCAAAACCCACTGTTACTTCCAAACACATCAATCAACACACGTGCTCAAATCGTGCCTAGCACAGCTGCACACTATCCAGGCAACCTTGATAACGGATATTGCAGTTGCAGTCTCCCAACCAGCGTGGCTCAGTTGGTAGTGCTCTCGCCTCGGAGTCAGAAGGTTGAGGGTTCCATGTCGGGACTTGCACTCAAATCCAGGCTGACATTTCCGTTCAGTGCTCAGCGTTGCTACGCTAAAGCTGGTGTTCTTCAGAATGAGATATTGAACTGAGGGCCTAATCTGCCTCTCCTCAGGTGGATGTTAAAGATCCCATTAATCAAAGAGAAGTGAGTTTCTTCCACGGTCCTGCCCATCAATCCACCAGACAAATTGGTCATTTATCATAAAGGTGTTTGTTGGGATCTTGCTGGGCGCAAATTAGCTGCCACGTTATCCCACATAAAACAGTCACTAGACTTAACGGAGTTACTGTAAAGCTATTTGAGATATTACTGGTGCTCTAAAAAGGTCTGAAAACAAACCTCGGTGGATCCAGTGAATGCGACTTTATCAACGTCCATGTGAGAGGCAATGGCTGCCCCTGCTGAAGGCCCATAGCCGGGAATAATGTTCACAACACCTGGGGGGAATCCCGCCTGTCAATCACAAGGCAGGCGTTAGACATTCACATTAAAAACCAAACGAGTTACATTTGTATTAAGACCTTCCAAGGTGCTGGACTGTCACAATTTGCACCCGAGCTGCGGGTTGGAATCAGGGGGCAATGAAGGGTAGGGGTAGGAGGGTGCCCGAAGGCTCAGTCGAAGAGGAAGGTCTTGAGACGGGCCTTGAAGGAGGCGTTTATCTAGCGCTCTTCACATCGGAGTAGCGTCTCGGACTGCTCAACAACGACCCCAAACCAGAGAGAAAGGGGAGGTATATATACGTATAACCTCTTTACTCCCCAACATTAAACTGTGAAGGTTCCTTCGCTCACCTCCTTGATTAGATTTGCTACGTAGAGTGCCGTCAGGGGAGTCTGCTCCGCCATCTTCATCACCACCACATTGCCTGTTGCCAGGGCCGGCCCAAGTTTCCAGGCCTGCATCGACAATGGGAAATTCCACTGGGAATAATGGGAGAGGAAGAAAATTACTTTACCAAATACAACCCTCGGAAGCCATTGGAATCTGTAAATAACAATCCTATGATCCTTGCATTTGGTATGGCACCTTATCATTTGATTGTGACATCTCAAAGCACTACCCAGGGATTTTACTGTGAAGATAATTACTGTATTTTGTAGGCGAACGCAACAACCAGTTTTCACACAGCAGTGTCCCTCCCACAAACAGCAGTGAAGTGACCGACCAATTTATTTTGGGATTGTTGCCCAGGACACCTGGAGAAATTCCATTCTCTTCACGAATATTGCCGTGGGATCCTTGACATGAGAGCAAAGCCATTTCCCCAATTGTAAAATTAAAGCTTGGACTTTGATTATTTTAAAATAATTTCCTTTCAGAGTAGCTAACAATTCTGTGGTAGATTTCAAGCATTTCCAGATTTTTCTTTTCATTTCTCTTCAAGATACAACCCCGTCAAACAAAAAATCACATATTTCACCCACAAAATACACAGTCAATCACTTTACAGTATATTCTGCGAAGAGCTTTGAGACATCTCAACGACGTTATAAGGCGCAAGGATGATTATTATTATTATTATATAAGCAAGAATCAAATGAAGCATTAAAGGGCTATTGTTATAATAAAAGCTGATCAGGTTTAGTAACATTTTTTAGTTACTTAGTTTCAGGTTTAGGAATAATTTCATCTGATAATTTCCAAATTATCAGGATTATTCCTTAGCACTTACTCACCGGAATGATCTGTCCACACACACCAACTGGCTCATGTCTTGTGTAGCAGAAGAAGTTGCCATCTGCAGGGATGGTCTTTCCATGGTATTTGTCAGCCCAGCCGGCGTAATACCTGTTACACAATGCGGCAGTGGTTAAAGATAATAAATCTTTGATTTGGTACAGTGTTTTTTACATTAGCCTCTGTACGTGCAAACTGCCTACGCAAGATCTGGGTGGGGACTTGAACCCACAACCCTCCATCTCAGGGGCAACAGAAAGCTACCAAGTGAACCAATCTGACATCTTGTATTTAACCATGTAAATGAGTTAAAATGATTACTCGATCCAGTCAGACAGGAGCAAACCATTTGAGAGGTAGATACACATGGGCTTCTGCATCCCTCCATTCCACAGCTTTGTGCTTTGATAAATGCCATACAATCCATTTATTACAAATAGTAAGAGGAGTGTGAGAATTTTCAACGTGTGTGTTAAAAGTGATCCACAATTATGTTACAGCTTAAACTATTTTATCTCAAACTTAATTGAAAATGTGTCAAACCAACACCCTTCAATCAGTCATTGCCTTAAAAAAGCATTTTTGAACATTTTTTCCTTTGATATTAGGTTAATTTACCAACAACGCAAAGGGGGATTTCCTGATGTGTCAATGTTTAACATGATCGTTCAACCTATCTCTAAATAATGGAGCTTCGCCAGTCCTTGCCAAACTCCACTGGCTCCCTGTCACAGAGCGGATCGACTTCAAGATCCTCACTCTAGTGTTTAAATCCTTCCATTCCTTGGCACCCCCCCCCCATCTCTCTAACCTCCTCCCTCCCCACAGCAGTACCTGCGGCCTCTGCTCTACTGGGTCTGGTAGAGCAGAAGCCGCAGGGTCTGGCCTCCTCCGTGTCCTGGAGGAGGCTAGACCCAGTAGAGCAAACTGGAGAAAGGGAAGACCAATGTATTGTAGAATACCTGTAACATTTAATAACCATATCGAGATCCACATTGTAGGTCATTTGATAAGGTTTCCCACTGTCTAAGGTCTCCAGCGACTGAAATAAATTGAAAAAGTAATTATCGGAAAAGTGACATTACCCAATATATCAGTCAGGATTTGTACTACAGTCAATGTCCCCCACCAGTTCCCAAGCACCCTCTCCCCCATAATGATCACAAACCCAATAAGATGATGTCTCAACCACCTTATGATCTCTGGCATGGCTACATTAAACTTACTCTGTATGTTGAGAGCGAACAGAGGGATATGACCAAAGTCACTGTGAAATAATCCAGGAACTGCTTACTTGATTACTCAAACAGCTCTAGAAAGTTACAGCAGAAAGGGTTTCAACAAAACTATTCCAACATCCTGCCGGCAAGCTGCTGTGATCAGAAATACATTAAAGCTTAAAATATTCTTTTAGTTCGGTTAGGAATGCTCCTTTTGTCAGTTAGTGTCAAGCTGAGCTGTGACATTTGATTCTAAATTGGTTGTGAAGGTTACTTATGCTTGTTAGTCAGTATTGAAATAACTTGTAGAACTGGAAGCCTAATTAAATTGAGTTGAATTGTAGAATATATATCTAAGCCTGACATATCATGCAGCAGTTGGTATAACTCCACACAAAATGTTGTGGAACAATGTCAGTAACTTTTTTGGCCTTCAAGAGTTAAAGAAGTGTGTTTACCACAGCTGGAGCTCTCTTGTTCACGGTTGCTGTAACTGTCCTGCATTGTTTAATCAAAGAGTCAGCTCATGGATACCCATATCCAAGATGGATCCCAGCCTGTTTAAACAACTGTGAAGTGGGTGAGAACGTGCAGATTGGCACGGACCATCTTGGTGTTAAAAAAAATACAATTAAGGTGGTAATAGCTAAGCTATACTTTGCTCAGTCGGAGTTGGTCAGATGTGGTGTGGTGTTCGGTGTGAGTTGGTGAGAGCGAGTAAATCTTTTGCTTCCTTTGCACTGACCTTGAGGTTCTTGTATTTCAAGCAACATCGGAAGAAAGCAACAGAGAACAGACAACTGCAGCACATCTGCTGGAGATTCAACTTTTTTTGGATTCAATGCCTAGTTTCCAGTTTCAGAGGCAAGATCTTTAGCTCTTTATAATTCAACCCCCACTATTAATAGTGTTCCAGAGACAAGAGAATCGAGAAGCAAGAGCTTATGAACTTTAATGTTGTCATTACAACGACATTGCTGCGTGTCAGCATAGCAGCCAATACTGTTCATCGTAACCCTGCCTACTGTGTCTATGCTTAGTGATCAATGCAAAACGTTCTTTAAGCAATTAAGAACTTTACAATGTAAAAGACTTTGGCTCCTTTTCTTCACAGGTTCCTAATTTAAAATTTTGACTGAACAGAACTAAACTGATTTTCTTTTCTGGCCACACCTTTTGCCCCAAGCTTCAACAGAGTGCTTTACAGACTGCATCTTCGAACTCAACAACATTCTTTCACAGGTGTCTTACTGCCAAATAGCGTTTATCACGCTCAATCAGGTCAGCCAAGCGGTTCAGGAGAACTCCTCGGTGTGACGCGTCCATTGTTCTCCACGGAGATCCAAGTCGAAAGGCTTCTTTTGCTGCCTTTACGGCATTGTTCACATCGGCCTGCAGACAGATGAAATATTAAATAATAACGTAATAATAGTTCTTGCATTTGGTATAGCGCCTTATCACGTCGGAAGGAGGTTTCAAAGCACTTCACAGGAGTGACTGGCTATTTGTGGGCAAATGCAGCAGCATAATTGTGCACAGCAATGTCCCATAAACAACCATGGAGTGAGTGACCAATTTTATCGGGGGGATTGTTGGTCAGGACACAGGTAGAGAGAAACTCCCTTCCATTTTTGAATAGCACCATCGGATCTTTAACGTCCACCTGCAGAGGCAGATGGGACCTCGATTTAACAGCTCATCCGAAATATTACCGGATGAATAACATGCTTGAAAGAAGTAAAACATTATCACTTAAGTGAATAGTCTACCAAACAGAAGAGGCATTACACTGGACAAACAGAATTAAGTGCTAAAGTATCTTTAAATGCCTAACAATACCAGTAGGAACACATTTGCCTGCATTAAATTTATACAATTACACTTCAAAGCATACATGCAAAAATTACTTTTGCCCCACCATTCCACGTAGAATATCTATTTGGAGATTTTATATAAAGTATGTATGGGACAAGAGTTTTAACAAATCATCAGACAGAACGTTAGCAGTGTAAATTGTACTTGACCTCAGCTCCCTCGGCGACCTGGCAGATAATCTCCCCGGTGGAAGGGTTGATGGTAGGAAAGGTCTTCTTACTAACAGCATCGTGCCAATCGTTATCAATAAAAATCTGTAATATAAAGAAGCTGTAAGCACATAGGTGCGGCCAATTCAAAACAAAAGGGAAATCTAGTCATAGAAAATGAAGGTATGGCAGAGATACTCGATGAGTGATTTGCCTCAGATTTTACAGAAGAGAATTGTCGGGAGACACTGAGGGTAAGAAGATGTACAGCAATTAGACAGGAATAACTATAGAAAAGAAAGTTGAGCTAAAGAAATTGGGAGTCTGGGAGGAAATAGATGCTTTGACTACAATTTTTCAAATACTCTTGGAGGGTAGCTAATGAAACACTTTGGGTTTGAAGCTGGGGGAGAGGAGAGGAGAACTGATGGGTCCAATCCAGGCACTCTGTCAATAAACTGACAAGCAAATCCATACAGCAAAGTTTCTACATAAGTAAGCATGGAATGAATGATGGGAGCTTACAGCCCAGTAATAATAAGGAAACCGTGGCCACTGTCACCAGTTACCAGGAAAATCCCCTGCACAAGGTCATAAAAGCTGTGAGTAGCTCTTCAAAAGCAAAGGATGTACCAAGTTGGGATAATTAACCATGCAATACGACAATTTATATTAGATGGTGTCAGTGTCTTGCCAGTGTTCATGCTAGACAGCTGCATTATAGGAATCGGGACAGAGCTGATGTAGCCTTGCGTTCAAAGCTCTCCACGGCCTTATCAGTGAATCATTAACTGAGCTCAAGGAAAAGCAGTTAATTGCAATTCCACAATCAAATTTGGCGGAAGTCTGCAACATTATTCAATATGCCTCCAAGTAATACAAATAAAACTCACTATCTACTACATACGGTCATTGCAAAATCAATAAGCACTATCTGTGTTCGTGTAATATCTGTGCAACCATAGAGAACAGATGGCTAACAAGTTCATGCTTTCTGGTGAGGCAGCGTTTTTAAAAAAAAATTCCTTTTACCTTATGATCCTGATTAGAATATGTAAAGTTGAATGCAAAATAACATGTCAAATGTAAAACACGTACATAAAACTTTACATTTATACGATGGCTTTCATGTCAGGAGGATGTCCCAAAGCCCTCGATACTGCTGGCACTGTCAAAGAGGTAGGTCTTGAGACAGACCTTGAACCGAAGAGAGGAAGGGAGCGAGTTGGGGGGTGTCTGGGATACCCTACTGAGCGTGCCGCATAACAGTAAAATCTGTTTTGGAACCTGTTCGCAAACGAACACTTACTCAGAGGCCACTCTTTTATATTGAGGCCACTTTAGCCTCGTCCCCGAGCGGTTGTTGAACACAGGTTTGACAGTACATATCAGAGGCACACCTCAAGACCCTCCACTTTGACCATGCCTTCGGCCACCTTCCTACCCTCTCTGCCCTCCGCCCACCCTGATCCCAACTCCCACCCCGCTCCGGTCCTAATCCCTGACTGTTCAGCGCAGTGGGACGTCCTCCTTCCGACGTGAAAGGGGCTTTGCGAGAGAAATTTCGTGTTGTACGAACGATTGCACGGAAATGAATGCACTCTGTCCCTGAAAACACACACCCTGCTAACTAAGTTCCAAAGGGCTGCAGAGGGGAGAACGGCTGAGAGCCTGCACGCCGATGAGGCTTATTATTTATTGCTTACTCAGAGTCTGATGCACATTATTTTTGGATCCAGGCATCTGCTTAATCCACATTACTTCAAAACATTGCTGATGACTAACCCAGATAGCCCGGCCCCTTAGCGGGACCAGAAGGAGCAGGCCAGTCACTAAGGGCCTGGTATTTTTTCCCACTTCGCTCCCATTAACTCTGCGAGACAAAGTCTTGTAGGGGAGGGTGATCCTGGCTCCACAAGAAGCTGGAAGCTTGCCAACGTTTACAGTGATAAGCTACGCAGTTGCGCCGTTTAAAACCAGCCCCTTATTCAAGGTGTGCGAAACCGGGTGAGCTCGTCGGGTGCTCAAACAGGTTTGACTGGAGGTGGGGTTGCTTTGGAGACTTTTCTCAGGACAATCAGAGGGACTGGTTGTTGGCCAAGACACCGGGAGAGAGAAACTCTTTTCCTCTTTCCGAACAGCGCCACAGAAGCTTCGACGCACAGAAGGGACCTCGGTTTATAATAATAATAATGATCCTTGCATTTGATATAGCGCTTTTCACGTCGGGAGGACGTCCCAAAGCGCTTCACAGAACACACTGTAAAGTGAATTGACTGTATATTTGTGGGCGAACGCGGCAGCCAATTGCGCACAGCAATGTCCCACAAACAGTCGTAGATTGAAAATGACCAATTTATTATTGTTTTTTGTTTTGGAGGGATTATTAACGTCTCATCCGAAGGACGGCGCCCTCCGGCTACCCCAGCGTCAGCTTGGACGGTATCAGTCCCAGTCCCGACACGCGGTACGAACCCGCAACCTACCTACCGCCAACCTTGGCCAAAGCCCACAAAACACGCGCCAAGAACGACAAGAAGCGAGAAAAAAAGCCTTCCGACACTCGGCACCCACTTTCTGGAACTCCAACCCGCAGTCCCTCCGTCTCCCCCCCCCCTCCCTCCCTCCCTCCCTCCCTCCCTCGCCACCTTCAAGACCACACCTCAAGACCCTCCTCTTCGACCGTGCTTTCGATCTCCCCGGCTTCCCCCTCTGCCCTCCCCCACCCCGACCTTCAGCTCGGGGTCCGTAACTCTGTCCGTCCAGCGCCTTGGGACGTCCTCCCGACGCGAAAGGCGCTTTACGAGTGTAATGTTGTTGTTGTTGTTGTTGTTGGTATGAGGCGAAGCTTGACATTCCCTGTTACAGGGAGAGCTGTTACCCAACACAGTCCAAACAACAACAACAACAACAAGATTCCATTTATTGAGCACCTTTCACGTCGGGAGGCCATCTATTCACTGCAAAACAAGACACATCGTCCGCATAATTGCATAGACCCTTTTTTAAAAGAAAAGGTGCAAACTTTTCCCCCCAAATGTCGGCAAACAAGTGACAACAGCGACAACAACCAACCAACCAACCAGCGACAACAGCGACAACAACCAACCAACCAGCGACAACAGCGACAACAACCAACCAACCAGCGACAACAGCGACAACAACCAACCAACCAGTGACAACAGCGACAACAACCAACCAACCAACCAGTGACAACAGCGACAACAACCAACCAACCAGTGACAACAGCGACAACAACCAACAACCGACAACAGCGACAACAACGACAACAACCAACAAGTGACAACAGCGACAACAAACAACAAGTGACAACAACGACAACAACCAACAACAGCGACAACAACGACAACAACCAACAAGTCCTGAAGTAAAACTTTTCGGGCGCGATGCCCCCAAACACTCAAGCTGCCGCCCCCCCCCCCCACCCCTCCCCCCACCCCCTCACACACACAAAAAGAAAACCCCAAACGAGACCCGTGAGGAGAGGTTTGCGGGTGAAGTGCGGCGGTACCGCTGTCGAGACCTTGTTGTAGTGAATGTCGGGCTGGGTGTCGGGGGCTGGAAGCGCCGCCGCCGCCGAGTAGCTCCTCGCCCCGCGGGCAACCAGGCCGACGGCCCGGGGTGAACGGCCGACCAACGCGCGCAGCATCTCTCTCCCTCCTTCGACCAAAACGACTCCACGGGACGAAAAAAATAGAAAGAGGCGCCACGGCCGCCGCCGCCCCCCCCCCCCCGCCTGTCAGTCAACCTCCGGTTCCGCCAATCACAGCGCGCCCTGCTCTGTCAGTCACCGCGCTGGGACCAATGGCGGCGCGCCTTGCTCCTCGGTCTGGGCCGCGTCGGACTGGGACCAATCGCGGCGCGCCTCGCTCCTCTGTCAGTCATCGCGCTGGGACCAATGGCGGCGCGCCTCGCTCTTTCAGTCATCGCGCTGGGACCAATCGCGGCGCGCCTCGCTCTGTCAGTCATCGCGCTGGGACCAATCGCGGCGCGCCTCGCCCCTCTGTCAGTCATCGCGCTGGGACCAATGGCGGCGCGCCTCGCTCTGTCAGTCATCGCGCTGGGACCAATCGCGGCGCGCCGTGCTCCTCTGTCAGTCATCGCGCTGGGACCAATCGCGGCGCGCCTCGCTCTGTCAGTCATCGCGCTGGGACCAATCACGGCGCGCCTCGCTCTGTCAGTCAACCCGGCTCCGCCAATCAGAATCCGCCCTGCTCTGTCCGTCACCGCCTCCCTCTGCCAACTGTGTCATCGTCACCAACGCCAACAACAACGACGACGACGACGACGACGACTTGCACTTACACTGCGCCCCTCATGCAGGATAGCGCCCCAGAGCGCTCGACGGGGGCGGAGCACGACGCCGAGGCGAGGGTGGGTGGGGGTGGGGGGGTGACCCGTAGGCCCGGTCGAAGAGGAAGGTCTTCAGGTACGACCTGAAGATGGGGAGGGAGGGAGGGAGGGAAGGAGGGAAGGGGCGAGGCGGAGGGATAGAGGAAGAGCGTCCCTCGATCCCGTCAACTCCTTCCCTCTGTGCCTGCATCTTCGGTCAACTTCCCGTCCCCCATCCCACCCCCCAATCCCCACCCACCCACCCACCCACCGTCATGTCCGTGCACCCCCTCCTCCTCACTTATAACGACGACGACAACAACAACAACAACAATAATCCTTCGCGCTCGACGTCTCGAAGCGCTGCACAGAAACCCAACGCGCTCCGAAGCGAATCGACGTGTGCATTCCGCGGGCGACACGCGGCAGCCGACAGAGCGGCGTCCCCCCCCCACCCACCCCCCCCCCCCCCCCGGCGTCCCCCCCCCCCCCCCCACCCCCCGGCGTCCCCCCCCCCCCCCACCCCCCCCCCGCAAACAGTCGTGGATTTGAGCGGCCAATCATCGTTATCACTTTATTGGGTGAGGGCGGAATTCGGCTGCGCGCTGACACTCTTACCTCCGAGTCAGACAGTCGTGGAATTGAGTTCGATGTCGGGACTTTGAAGCTCGAGCGCAGTGCAGGGAGAGAATTCTACCCCTCGAGCATCTGAGATGCCCCCCAAGGCAGTGACGTCCAGTATTGGGAGAGCGCTATGTAATTTTCCCGTGTGATCTCCGAGTGTCCACCAGGCAGCAGTGCAAGACTAATTTCATTTTGTCACAGTACTACTGAAACTCTGTTGGGGGCAGAATTGGCAAACTGTTACCTGCGCTCCTCAATGTGCCCGGGGGGACACTTCTCCGGAAACTGGTACCACCGCCCTTACCTCTCTCAAGTGCCTATTCCTCCAGCGCTCCGAGACACTACCCCGGGTGAAGGGCGCTGTGTGAATGCAAGTTCTCTCTGATGAAAAACACAGCGATCCAACCGTTTCCAGCGGGACTTGGATTTAACAAAGAAAGAGCACTTATTTCTGCAGCATATTACTACATTTGGAAGGTCTCGGAGCATTTTACGGTCATTACTGAACCTTCTGACCTCGGAGAAGAGAGTGCGGCCACTGAGCCAGGCTGACACAGAGTTACACCAAAAGCAAGGATTATGATAGTTGTTATGTTGGGTATCGAGCAGCAACTTTAACCACCGAGCCTTCGAGAAAAGCTTATTTTGATAAACTGTTTACCATTAATGGGAGCAGAAGATGTTTTGGTAAACCAGCAATTGGTTTACCATCATTCAGTACTTCACTGGCCCAGAACCGCTCTTTCTGCTTCAGTGACTGAGTTGAATATAAAACCACGATATGTGCCGTTCACTTTAAATATGCATCATTCTGTAAATGAAAACTTTTGGAGAGATCCCTCACAGGTACAAACTGCTTCTTTTAAAATCTAACTGATCTGTAGACTCATAGCGAAGTGGTTAGAGCGCCTGCCTCACAAACGAGAGGACCCGGGTTTGATTCCCGGAGAGGGTGATAACCTCAGGCAAGTTTCCTTACTCCACACCCCTCTGTTTACCGAGCAGTAACAAGGAACCCAGTTAGTCGCTTTCTAGGGTTAATAATCCTTTCCCCCCCGTCCCCCCCAAAAAATGTGGTCACTCCATGACTATTTGTGGCACACTGAGTACCCGCAAAATATACAGTCAATTAACTTTACAGAATATTCTGTGAAGCACTTTGAGACGTCCCGCCGCCGTGATAAGGCGCTATATCAAATGCAAGGATTATTATTATTATTGCACATGTTTCAGTTGTTGGTCAGTGCACTGCAGCAGGAGAATCATGGGGGTAACGGGACTGTGCGAACACTCTGTACAGTATCAGGTTAGCAACAATATGAGACCTGACAGGGTGGAGCCCATGTCCTACCCCACTCTACTTAAAAAAATATCTGGACCATTTTATTGTTTCCAGACTTTGGCGTCTCCTCACAATGTGGGCACAGGGGAGCAAAATCCAGGAAATCCACCACAATGTTACACAAGCATTAATCATCTTCTCAGCCCATGCTGGGAGAGAGGCACAGGCACGTTTCTGCTGTGTTAAGTAGACACGGTGAATCAGCAATGGGAATTGAACTCAGGTTTTTTACAATAATAATCCTTACGCTTGATAAGAGTTCCTTATCGCGCCCTTGAGATGTCTCAAAGTGTTTCGCAAGGTTTTACGTCCTTACAGTTTGGTAATACTGTAGCGCCTTTCAAGTCAGAAGGACGTCCCAAAGCATTTCACGGGATATTACTGTAAAGTGTAGTGACTATGTATTTCTGGGCAAATGCGGCAGCCAATTTGCACATAGCAATGTCCCACAAACAGCCATGGAGTGAATGACTTTTTTTTTTACTGGGGGCTTGTTGGCCAGGACACCAGGAGAAATTCTCTTTTTGAATAGTGCCACGGGATCTTTGACGTCCGCCTGAACAGGCAGTCGGGACCTCGGTTTAATGTCTTATCTGAAGGACAGCACCTCTGACAATGCAACACCCCCCACCAGCACTGCCCCAGAGTGTCAGCCTGTACTGTGAGTGTGAGCGGGACACTGAGTGTGAGCGGCCCGGTGAGTGTGAATGGGACAGTGTGTTATCTTATATCAGCACACGTCTCAACGAAAGCTGCAACAGCATCTCTTGTCTTTCCACAGGAAACAATTTTTAACTGCAGAAAGTCCTGTCCTTCGGTATGAGTTATTGGTCCTCATCTGGGAGATTTATCCTGTGCTGTTTCCCGATTTCCATCCCACTCGCTCTTTATCTCCTCTTGACATGCAAAGGGCTGTTTATTGCTATGTCTATTGACAGACAGAATCTCTGCATTGTTGATATAGAGCAAGAGTTGACCTCTCCTCCTATTGTGTGCCGTTGCAATGAATGCTCTGTCTAATGCCATTTACTCTGCAAACTGCTGACGTATTTTAGATGGTTGTGGGTTCAAGCCCCCCATCAGTACTGGGAATTAGTGGTCTAAGCTTGGGGAGCACCGCATTGTCAGAGGTCCTCCAGATGAGACGTTTCAGCCACTACGCCCTGAAACTCTGGAACACTCTTGCTCTATCCTCTGGCATTCCCCATCTACAGGTCACGCCTGAAAACCTTCCTCTTCGACCCTGCCCAGGGTCAGCTCCCCCCCTCCCTTCCCCCCTGGCTCGGCGTCATGCTCTGCCGTTGTTGCTGTTGTCGCGTTTTGCCTTTAAATAATGCAGTCAATTGACTTTACAGTATATTCTGTGAAGCGCTCTGAGACTCTCAAAGACGTGATAAGGCGCTGTATCAAATGCAAGGATTATTGTTGTTATTTTTATAGACTGATCCGCTGCCCCTGTAAGGGGCACTGACTGACTCTGAGGGAGAGACTGATTGATTTAATGCCGTGCTCAGCAGTGTTGAGCTTGTGACTTGTGGCCTTGCACTCACTGCACTCTAAGCCCAGATGGTCTCACACTAATTGCGCTGAGCACTCTGTAGAGGGTGGGGACCCTCATCTGTCAATCTGCAACGGATTTGACCTCAGTCCACGTGTTCCTGAGGTTAAATGTAATCACATTAAATGAGGTTAAGGCACAAAACATCTGATTCCAAAAACATTTTAACAAAGAAGGTGAGTGTAGGGCAGTGTGATAACTAATAATATCTCTGTGGCGTCGTGTAGCGTATTGGTTAAAGCCCTCGCCTCGCAAGCGAGAGGACCCGGGTTCAATTCCCACAAAATATACAGTCAATTCACTTTACAGTACATTCTGCGCAGCGCTTTGAGACGTCTCGAAGACGTGATAAGGTGCTATATCAAATGCAAGGATTATTATTATTACGATCTATAGTACAGTAAATGCTGTTAGCTAGGTATTGAAACTCCAAATCCTCCAAATGCTCTTTCTCTCTGTGATTTTATTTGCTATTCTAATTAAAACCGTTAATTTCGAAAAGGAAGTATCCTTATACCCACAGTGTCTCGGTGTGTCAGCTCGGATTATGTTGAGGTCCTCACCCCCAGCTGCTAGTGGCTGGTTCTTTCGCTCTACCAGATGAACAATAACACAGTAAATCAGGTCCCTGGTCCCACCACCTCCGTCTTGTCAGTAGACTGCAATCAGATCGCCCGTCTGAGAGGAAATTACTCGCAATCCGTTCACCCCTCTCATCGCTGGGTCGTAAGGGGATCACGGACACAAGGTTCAGAGATCTTATCTCTCGGCTCTATGTGTGTGCGAAGTTAGCACAACTTCTTGCAGGTCTCAATGCACACACTAGGGCTGTGTA